GCTGGCCCAGATGGGCCCTTGGCCTGATCCAGTGGTCTCTCCTTGTCCTCTTATGTTCTTAGCAATGTTAGGAGAGACAGGACTCATACAAGGGAGATGTTGTTGTTGATGTTTAGTCGTGTCCGACTCTTTGTGACCCCCTGGACCAGAGCACGCCAGGCCCTCCTGTCTTCCACTGCCTCCCACAGTTTGGTCAAACTCATGCCGGTAGCTTCGAGAACACTGTCCCACCATCTCGTCCTCTGTCGTCCCCTTCTCCTTGTGCCCTCCATCTTTCCCAACATCAGGGTCTTTTCCAGGAGTCTTCTCTTCTCATGAGGTGGCCAAAGTCTTGGAGCCTCAGCTTCAGGATCTGTCCTTCCAGTGAGCACTCAGGGCTGATTTCCTTCAGAATGGAGAGGTTTGATCTTCTTGCAGTCCATGGGACTCTCAAGAGTCTCCTCCAGCACCAGAATTCAAAAGCATCCGTTCTTCGGCAATCAGCCTTCTTGATGGTCCAGCTCTCACTTCCATACATCACTACTGGGACTACTGGGAAAACCAGAGCTTGAACTATATGGACCTTTGTTGGCAAGGTGATGTCTCTGCTTTTTAAGATGCTGTCTCACAATGGAGATACCTCTTCACAAAGTGCATAGTCTAAATTTTGGAATTCCCTCCCACAAGTTGTAGGCAGGTCTATCAAACTGGATGGTTTGAAAACAGGATTAGGCACATCAACAGAGGAATAGGCTATCTGTGGCTATTGGCCATGTTGCCTCCACAACCAGTGGCTTAAATGCTTCTGAATGCTGGTTCATGAGAACTGCAGTTGGGGAGAGCTGATTTCGCACCCAGGTCCCGCTTGTGGGCTCTCACTGGGGCACATGGTTGGCCACTGTGAGAACAATGTGCTGCACTAGATGTGGCTTTGGGCCTCATCCAGCAGCCAAGCCCTTCTGATGTTCTTAAGGTTTTAAAACCTTTGCGTAAGCCAATTAATTTTTCACTAAGGGCTGTTAGGGTGAGCTGCGCTTAGTGGATCTGATGGGCATGTGTGTGTTCACTGTGGTGTGTGTGTGTGTGTGTGTGTGTGTGTGTGTGTGTGTGTGTGTGTAACTGTATTTATATCTGTCTTCCTGGACCAGTCCACCCCCAACTTGATGCCCACCACCCCCTCAGCCAGCTAAATACCTGCCAATTTCCAGGTTAAACATCAGAACTGAAAATAAGTTCTGGGCCCAGGCTGTCCCCAATGAAACCCTGATTTTAATCACTCCTTTGCTCATCCCATGAGCAGGAGTAATTAGCACTCCTGAGCTGGATTGGATGCATGCATTTTGGGCTCCCTTGACATATTTGAATGACAGACATTATCCCTTGTTAACCTATGCTGCAATAACAAAGGATTGTATCCAATGCTAGACTTACGCAGAGCACAGCCATTGAAATTCATGGGCAAGGCTAACTTAGGCTCATTAATTTCAGTTGGTCTACTCTGATGATAATTTCGTACAACCCACTGACATCCATGGGCATGACTAACATCGATCCAGTTATTTCAGTGTGGGTCTACTCTGCACATTGTTTAGCTGGATACCAACCCAAAGAGTTTTGGGTTCATTAACCTAGTGTCAGATTCTTGCTGCTTATCGGAGGAGATTTGTGACAATCTTTCTATAGGACAAAAGGGGGGTTATCCAGCCCCTTCTATAAGCCGGAGAGGGGAAGAAAAGCAGCTCTTTTTTGAGATTTCCCATTTTGCAAATAAAATAAAAATGGGGAAAGCATCCTGAGGGTTAACACAACTTCAGGATGTTCCCCAAAACATGAAGTGATGTGTTTCCAATCTTTGGCTTTCTGGGGCGGCTAGCTTAGATGGCTTTCAAATAAGATTGCACAAATTCATGGCCAGTGAATGCTACTAGCCACGACGACTATGCTCTGGCACCATGGACAGAGCCAATAGTTTTTGCCATCCATCTGTCTTGAGGGACAATGGAGTGTGCCTCTGGGGGTGAAGTCAAATCGCTGAAGAATCACAGCTCCTGCTGTGGCTGGAGAGACCAGTAACCCATAAACCCCTGTCTCCTGCATTGTTTTTGCTGCTTTATCAGCAACTGTGACCCCTCTGGCGGTGCAAGCCTGGGCAGTGTGCATGGATGTCCTGAGCTGCCCAGATGACAAGACACCCGCCGGTCTCACCAATGTGGTCTGAAGGCACCAACATTTGGCACCAACTTGGCTGCAGGAGTTTCCAGTACAAGACGACATTCAACCGTCTTAGGGACTCCACTATGGATTTGTGTAGGGCAGGGGTCAGCAACCTTTTTCAGCCGTGGGCCGGTCCACCGTCCCTCAGACCATGTATGGGGCCAGACTATATTTTTTTGGGGGGGAGAACAAATTCCTATGCCCCACAAATAATCCAGAGAAGGAAGTTATATTAGCCTCAACCAGAGGCAGGGCCTTTTCAACAGTGGCTCCGGCCTGGTGGAATGCTCTGTCTCATGAGACCAGGGCCCTGCAGGATCTGATTTCTTTCCGCAGGGCCTGTAAGGCAGAGTTGTTCCGCCTGGCCTTTGGCTTGGAGTCAATTTGATTCCCTCCCCCTCTTTCTTTTTCCTTTCTCCTCCTGTGATGAGGCTGCATTTTAATGTTTTAATGTTGTATTTTAATCTTGTTTTTTAAGTTGCATTTCAATCAACTTGTTTTTTATTGGTTGTTAGCCGCCCTGAGGCCAGTCTTGGCTGGGGAGGGCAGGGTATAAATAAAATTTATTATTATTATAGATGCATTTTAAATAAAAGCACACATTCTGCTCATGTGAAAACACCAGGCAGGCCCCACAAATAACCCAGAGATGCATTTTAAATAAAAGGAAACATTCTACTCATGTAAAAAGATGTTGATTCCCAGACCGTCAGTGGGCCGGACTGAGAAGGCGATTGGGCCGGATCCAGGCCCTGGGCCTTAGGTTGCCTAGGACTCTTGTGTTGGAATCCAGATTGTGTGTATCCTGCAAGGATCTGGGTGGCCACTGTGAGAATGGACTAGGCAGGCCACTGGCCTGACCCAGAAAACCCTTCCTTGGTTCTTATGACTACAGGGAGCGAATTAGACGGGGAAGTCCTGTGTCGTATACGAGGCATAAAAATAACTTGTGGATTTCAAGACCGCAAGATGTATACAGAGGGCCATTTTGGGTCACCGATGGCTTCACAGACATCTTTCCCTTGATCTCTCCATCTGAACCATTGAGTTGTTGCTTAAATGGAATGGTTTGATTGCCTGGTTTTTTAGTCTGTCCATGTTTTGACGGAGTGGTTGGGAACTGGATCCAGCCAGTTCTTTACCCCTCCAGCCTTCCGCCTGGATGGGGCCACCCACCTGTCAATCATTATGACACCAGGGGGCCGCTTGAAAAGGCAGCTTGCAACATGAGAAGATTTACGTAATTACAAAAGTGTAACAAAAGTAGACATAAGCAGTAAACAAAAAACGTACCAAAATATGCACAGGGAAATTAAACAACCCCCACGTGAGTCATAATAAAATCTAAAAACACAGTGAAACCTGATAGGATTAGGATGGAGACCAAAAGAGACCAGCAGAGCAGGGAGATTATTATGTTTGTTTATTTATTGCATTGTTCTTGGTACTGTTTTGTATCACTTTAACGTTGTTGTTGTTTAGTCGTTTAGTCGTGTCCGACTCTTCGTGACTCCATGGACCAGAGCACGCCAGACACTCTAATAAAAATCACTTTAATAAAAATCCCAATAAAAGTTATTACCAAAGATCTAAAAATTAAGATGCAACAAATGAGTATAGATAACAGGAAAATGAACATCTCCAAAATTAAATCAGCCCCTAAGCAATATCGCATCCCTGTATCCCGCAGAAATAAGGTGGGCCCTGGGAGGGAGGCGTTATTTGCCCCCAGGTGGGTCTGCAAAGTTTCCAGGTCACTCTTTGAAAGCAGGTAAAGGGCTCCTTTCTCAGGGTTTAGGATTCTTTGCATGGCTCCCCTCTCAGCCCGCGCGCTGCTCTCGTCTCTCCCGAGCCGGTAATTTGTTGCCGGTCCCTAACTCTGACATGATTATTAGTCGGGGGGGGGGAGGAGGAGGGGCCGCCAGGGCTGTGTGTGCTGCTGGAGGTTTTGTTGGTAAAGAAAAAGATTTGAAACAGAGCTCAAGATCCATTAAAGGAAGGGACCGTCAAACCTGAAAAAGCAGCCGAAATCGCGCTCTTGAGGTGGGGCTGGGGGGGAGGGAAGGAAGGAAATTTTAAAGGGGTGGGAGGGAGGGAAAGAGCCGTCAGGGTGCGAAAATGAATCAATAAGCGAAGAAAAGAGAGGGGGGAAGGAGGAGGAGAAGAAGAAGGGGAAAAAATCACAAGAAACCCCAGAATCTCAACCGCGCCGCGGAAAGTTAATCAATAAACTAATTAACTGCTTGCAAGCTTTGTAATTGTTTGATCAGAAGAATTAGAATGAGGGTCTGGGGGCTGCCCACGACCCTGGGATAAGGCCGAATCGTAGAACTCTTTGCATTATTTTTAAAAGAAGAATTGTTATTTTATTTTTATCTTTTGAATAGGAATTTTATTGTATTTTTTTGCACCCGTGGGGGGAAAAAAGGAAAGGAAATCTCTCTGTCCCTCTCTTTCTCGTCCCCCTACCACACTTCCTCATCCTCCTTTTTATAAAAGAAAATAATAATAATTGAAGGATTTGGGAGAGAAGCGAGGCAGACGGAAATGCCGTTCAATTAAAGCGAGATTGGAGGGAAAATTTGTCTCTCAAACTGCTGTCGGCTTTTGATCTCTTTGTTTCCACACACACACGACGAAGACGACCAAGTCCAGCTTGGGATTTTCTGCTGGTTTTTTTCCTTTTCTTTTTTTCTTTGTTTTGTTCCGGCGTGGTTCCCCCCCCCCTCCCCTTCCTTTATTTTTTCTTTCTTTTTGGTGAACATTCTGAATTCGAGGCTCGCTCCAGCTTGCTCCTTTTTGAACCAATGAAGGAACCAGACGCCATCAAACTTTTCATTGGACAAATCCCCCGGAATTTAGAGGAGAAGGACCTTAAGCCTATCTTCGAGCAGTTCGGCAAAATCTACGAGTTGACAGTCATTAAGGATAAATACACCGGCATGCATAAAGGTAAGGCGCGCGTTACGCGCAGAGACCAAGCGCTGCGCCCCGGGTACCGCCGCGCGTCGGATGCGCTGGTGGCAGCGGTGGGATGGAATAGAAACGGGCGAAGAACAACAAAGCCGATGGGGACAGGACTGGGGCTGGGGGGGTGGGGAGAGAGAGAGAGAGAGAAGAAGAAGAAGGAAAATTCTGAGCCCAAAGTATCGCCTGGAATTGCACTACCCGGTTGGAGGAGGGGGCGCACAAAAAACGAGCAGATAAATCCGTCGTTCAGAAAGCACCGCCCGGCTCGTCACTGGCGAGCGTTACGCGCGGAGTTTGTAGGCTTAGGGAGGGCTGTCAGAGCAAGGCATTTGAGGGTAAGCGGTTTTTCCAGGAGGAGGGGGGGGCGGGAGATGGTAACAGATGGCCGGAGATAGAGAGCCAGTAGATTTCTCCCGCCTCCCCCCCCCCCGCAAAAGGGTACCATGAATAGAACCCTGGATGTCTAACCACCCACAGGATGGGGTTAGAGACTTGCCTGTCAATAGGATGGAGGGTGGGCATCTAGATTCTGATTTCTTGGAGTCGTGTGGAGTAAGGTTTGGAAGCAGAGGACCCTAACTTAGCAGGGGGGAGCAAGAATCGTTTAGAGGGGAGGAGGGTGTTTTGAGCAGATTTGCACTGACTTTGAGCTTGGGGTGTGTGAGAGAGAGGGGGGGGGCAAAAGATTTCAGACCCTTTCTCCAGTTCATTTCCTCTTTTATGTTTTCCTTTTGGAGTTGGAAAGAGGGAGGGGTCCAGGCCCCCCTTTCAGAAAGGGTTTCAGTGATGCCTCTCCTCTTAAAGGGTCGCTAGATAAATCCACCGTTGTTGGGTTTTTTTTACCTGTGACGGCAGAGCTTCTGGATTTTTGTAACCTAATCACTTATCAAGTTTTGTCTTGTCTTTTCTTTAAAAAACAAAAGGAAATTAAAACCACCTTCTTGAAGAGGAAACAATGTGTGATTTTAGCTGGGTGACACAATTGCAGCCCCTGGAACGATTTCCAGTTTTAAACATGCCTGTTCCAACAGAACTCTGGAGACCTCTTGGTTTTCAGAACAAGAAAGCTTTCGTCTTTCTTGGGTGGTTTTTATTATTTTTGCTGGATCATTCCCCCTCCAGATTCCCCAGCAAAACTGCCCCGCATTGTCGCTGCCTCCCCTTCCCAGGCCTTTATTCTCAGCTGTGTAAGAGAGTAGCCAACTCTGAAATTATTATTTTTTAAATTGTATTTGAAACCACATTTCAAGATGCATCAAACTTTTGTAGGTGAGTGGCAGGAAAAGTTGCAATACCGGATTATTATTATTATTATTATTATTATTATTATTCCCTGTGATACTGGCTGGTAAACACGGCTCTGCCCTCAGGTGCTGATTCAGAGGGAAGAGAAAGCGAGCAAAATCCATTTAGTGCACCCTGAAGGAACACAAGGAAGGGAATGGAGTATAATTAAGAACATTAAGGGGTTTGGGGGTCTTTTTTAAAGTGGCAAAAATTCATGAGGTCCAGCTTCGCTTAATTTCTGAGATTTCATCAGCATCCAAATTTTGGCAACCGATAGAGGCGTCTCGTATGTGTCTGGGCTTGCTGATCCAAAACCCTGATTAATGGACGTTGTTTGGCAGGTATTTGCGGCACCGTTCCGTGAAAAATGGTTTTGGCTTCGTAAACTGCTGGGAGAGGGGGCAATAAGAGAAAGAAGTAACATTTGCTGAGCCCATTTGAAGCTGCTCTTGTCTTTGAAGTCTAGGAAAAGAGAACTGATCACCCATCAGGCCAGCTGGGAACACAATAACCAGGTGTGAGGCCCTTGGGTTGGTTTGTTTCTCTTTGTTTTATTGCAAATGGTATTTGATAGGTTTCGCGCAGACAAGGAAGTTGCCAGCTTTTTGTGATCAGCCTGTGCTTCCGTGACTCGGACAAGGGTTCCGCTGACAAGTGTTTACAAGCGGACCATGTTTATCTCCAGTGCCATGAAAAAAAATATCTCTTTCCCCCACACACACCAGCCACGCCACCCCAAGTTCCAATGAGTTGAGCTGCTATTAAAGGCGGAGGAGCAAGGGCAGAAAAAGGAATTGGCAAGCTTTGTGAGAAGGGAAATGCGTCGAGATTGAGGCCTATAGCCTGAGTATGTTGGAAGTTGCAGGGCGTGGGATATCCCCCCCCCTAAAAAAATAATAATAAACAGGATGTTTGAGCAGGAGTTAAAGTTTCATGTTTGGTGGTATTGGATGTTTGGCGTTGCAAAACACTGGCAATAAAATAAGATCAATTAACGAACCAGTTCCCTCAGATTTGCATGCAAGGCTTGGGGGTGGAGGACAAACCTCCAGGTCTGGAAAAACACAAGCATATTCTAAATCTGCAATATGATGCAGTTTGAATGTATTTTTTCGTTTAGAATTCCTTGAGTAGCCTCAGTTTCTCTGTAGCTGAACGAGGGAAAAGGTTGGGTGTTCTGAGGAGAAGCCGTTTGGGATCAGTGTGTGGTTGTTTTCCCCTCACCACATCTGACCAGTCCTCTCAGAGGGGTCCTCGGACCCTCACGCCCAGCCGCCAGTGCAGCAACAGGCAAGGAGGATGGGATTTGTAGTCTAGCAAGGGCACCACATGGCTACCCTTGCTCAGAGGATCAGGCTTATGATCAGAGGAACAGGGTTATGATTGACTGCTAGCCGCAATGGCTATGCCAATGGAGGCAGGATGAGTCCTCAGTTTCCTGAGCACATTCTGTGTTCCTGGCCCTTGCCCCAGGCAAATTGTTGTCCCTCCTTCCTCCCCCAGTACTTTTTCTTCATATTTGTGGATGCCTTGAGCCAGTTGTGGTGGTAAGCTAGGGTTCGAGAACCCCATTCAGCCACTGGGTGAGACATCGAGGCCATTCTCTGTTTCTCAGCCTGACCTCCCTCACAGGTTTGTTGTGAGGGTAAAACAGGGAGAGGAAGAACCATGTACGCGGCCTTGAGCTCTTTCGAGAAAGGTGGGCAATAAACGTAATTAATAATAATAATAATAATAATAATAATAATAATTTATTGGGACATGGGTAGCGCTGTGGGTTAAACCACAGAGCCTAGGACTTGCCGATCAAAAGGTCGGCGGTTCAAATCCCCGCAACGGGGTGAGCTCCTGTTGTTCAGTCCCAGCTCCTGCCAACCTAGCAGTTTGAAAGCACGTCAAAGTGCAAGTAGATAAATAGGTACCGCTCCAGCGGGAAGGTAAACGGCGTTTCCGTGCGCTGCTCTAGTTTGCCAGAAGCGGCTTAGTCATGCTGGCCACATGAGCCGGAAGCTGTACGCCGGCTCCCTCGGCCAATAAAGCGAGATGAGTGTCGCAACCCCAGAGTCGGCCACGACTGGACCTAATGGTCAGGGGTACCTTTACCTTTAATTTATTATTTGTACCCACCCATCTGGCTGGGCTTCCCCAGCCACTCTGGGCAGCTTCCAACAAAGACCAAAAATACACTAAAATGTCACACATTAAAAATTTCCCTAAACAGGGCTGCCTTCAGGTGTCTTCTGAATGTCAGGTAGTTGTTTATCTCTGATGGGAGGGCGTTCCACAGGGCAGGCACCACCACCGAGAAGGCCCTCTGCCTGGTTCCCTGTAACTTGGCTTCTCGCAGTGAGGGAACTGCCAGAAGGCCCTCGGAGCTGGATCTCAGTGTCCAGGTAGAACGATGGGGGTGGAGACGCTCCTTCGGGGATACTGGACCAAGGCCGTTTAGGGCTTTCAAGGTCAGCACCAACACTTTGAATTGTGCTCGGAAACGTACCGGGAGCCAATGTAGGTCTTTCAAGACCGGTGTTATGTGGTCTCGGCGGCTGCCCGCAGTCCCCAGTCTAGCTGCCGCATTCTGGATAATAATAATTAGCTGGTGCGAGTTTGTAGCAGAGTCCAAGCACCCCTGACCCCGTCAAGGAATCTTTAGAAGCAAAATCTCTCCATGGGAAAACAAATGCACCTCATTGCTTTAGCGCCCGTGAGTGCTAAGGTGTTAGGTTCCCGTTTCACACATCCTGCTCTAGCAAGAATGATCCTAACCCACCACCATCCTAATCTAAAGAACTAAACACCTCTGTGGCTTTTAAACTGACAGGATTTCAGAGGAGCTGGTGGATCAAACCAGGTGGAGAAGACCCTTCAGCAGGCTTCCTCAACCTCGGCCCTCCAGATGTTTTTGGCCTACAACTCCCATGATCCCTTAGCTAGCAGGACCAGTGGTCAGGGAAGATGGGAATTGTAGTCCCAAAACATCTGGAGGGCCGAGGTTGAGGAAGCCTGCCCTTCAGTATAACTAAGGTTTTTTGAGGTTTAAAAAGCAGCAAAGGGCTGCTTGCAAATGTGCTTTTGAAACCGCCTGTGCTGCATTTTGAAGTCCTGACCGTCGTGGCACAGTGGTGTCAAAGTGATGTCAGGTGATTGACAGGTGATTGGTCCCACCCACCTGTCAAATTTGGCCTGGCAGGGGTGGGGAGTGAAAGATCTGGTCTGACGGCCAGACCAGAAATGTTCCCCACCCCTGGCATAGAAGTATAAGAAGTTGGTATGTCTATATAATATCCACCTAACAACCACAAAGGGACGCGGGTGGCACTGTGGGTTAAACCACAAAGCCTAGGACTTGCTGATCAGAAGGTCGGCGGTTCAAATCCCCGCAACGGGGTGAGCTCCCGTTGTTCTGTCCCAGCTCCTTCCAACCTAGTAGTTCGAAAGCACGTCAAAGTGCAAGTAGATAAGTAGGTACCACTTTGGCGGGAAGGTAAACGGCGTTTCCGTGCGCTGCTCTGGTTTGCCAAAAGCGGCTTAGTCATGCTGGCCACATGACCCGGAAGCTGCACACCGGCTCCCTCGGCCAGTAAAGCGAGATGAGCGCCGCAACCCCAGAGTCAGCCACGACTGGATCTAACGGTCAGGGGTCCTTTACCTTTATCTTTAACAACCACACAGCTTTGGCAGTGAGCTTGCCTTCTTCCTTCTTGCTCACCAATTTCCAAAAGCCTAATCACCCGAGATGAAGGATGCCCAACAAGTTATTGTTTACATAACCCAGAACTGAACGGTCTCTCACTTTCCATTATACAGGGACACACAGGGAGGTTGAAATCCATTCTATACTTACCTGTGAACAAGCCCTGTTGAACGCAGTGGGACTTCTTTCTGAGTCAAGCTGCGTGGGATGGTGCTCCCAGTTGACATTCCTAAACCGTGCTTACTCTGAAGCGAGCTTTGCCAAAACCTGAGAGGCTTGCTTCTGAGTAAACACGCTCACGAGGGTCTCCTTCTGTCTTGTACCCTTAATATTTAGACACTGGTGGTCAGTGCCCATGGAGACCAGTGGGGTGGAAGACAGGGAGACCCACAGTGGGCGGAGTCAGAGCCCACGATGGGCGGAGCCAACAAATTCTCCATTGCCCCCAACCTCTTCCTTGCTGTGTTCTGCTAGGACAAAATTGAAGCTCAGGGCTAGGAAGATGACAGGGAGGGTCAAACCACAGGCTGCTTGAAAGTCCGAAAGCATGGAGCCTCCATAATGCTCAGGATCTACCTACCGGTCTTGTCCGATCACAAATGCCGAAATCTACAGCAAACAGCTCCAGGTTCCAGGCAGGGAGATAGGACAGCAGGGGTCTGTCAACTTATTCCACCCTGTCTTTATATAACTTGCAATATTTTAAACAATTCAAGGGGCAAACTCAGCCTCCTTTTCCAGGAAGATTTGAACAGCGTGTGCCGAGATAAATAAAAAATAAAATCTGGAATGATTGTGGGGCTTTTATTTCCTCAGTCTGTCTGTATACACCCCCCCAAAATAAGGGAAACGCTCCTTAAGCACAGCTGATGGTGGTTTTTTTTAAAAGGGAAGATAGGCCAGGCTTTGCCAAACTGGAGCCCTCCAAGTCTTTTGGGCCACAATTCGTATCAGCCCCAGCCAGCCAGCTGTGCAGCATTGCACGCTTTTAGATCCGTATTTTTCGCCCCATAAGACGCACCTAGTTTTTAGAGGAGGGAAACAAGAAAAAAAATATTCTGAACGAAACAGTGTATGTATGATTTTTGTGGTTCATTCTGTGGCCACAGACATGATAGGTGATTTGATGGTGAATTTGGGGTGACCCAATGCAAAAATCCTGAGAATCCATGTGGATCCATCCTTTGAAACCACGTTTTTGCGCCATTGCGGCCCCACGAAACAGTGGATACGTGTGTGTTTTTTGTGCAGGCTGTAGCCATGGACATGCTATGTGATCTGATGGTGAATTTGGGGTGGCCCAATGCAAAAATCCCCAGGCAGCCTCCTTTATTGCTAGAGTCCCTAATCTCCCTCCTGTTCGCTTGCCGATCAGCTGCTCAGTGGCTTTGTTTCAACACCCACTTCACTCTTTCTAAAAAAAAAAGCACGATCTGCTTTTTGCCCCTGGGCAATTCGGCTCCAGGGACCACACATTCACTCCATAAGACACACAGAATTCCCCCTTACTTTTTAGGAGGAAAAAAGTGTGTCTTATGGAGCGAAAAATACGGTAACTCTTTGAGAAGGGTCTTTGGGAAATGATGAAGGAGGCCTTTATTTCGCTAGTTCAGGTGGTTGCTTGTGGTGTGGGGGTGTGCAGCAGAATCTCAGGGGTGCCTAGCTAATAAGGAAAACTTAGGGGGAGAAGAACCCCACCCCTCTCAGGACAAATACTCCCAAGCCAGGGGGAGCTCGCCTGCCTGATCTCCTGCCCCCCACCAGCAGTCCATTTCTCTCTCATTCCATAAAACCGGTGCAGAAGATTCAACTCTGCTGCTCTTTGTTGCTTAGGTTGAGTTTGGTACAGCAAGATCTGAGGAAGAGGGGCTTTGGGGGGGGGGATAGATATGAAATTAATTTTGCCCAGGGCAGCTGTGATAGCTGGTTCCGCTCAACCCCCAATTTGGGTCTGGGGGTGAGGGAGGGATACGGAAATTGCCAAATCAGAGCGAACAGGAACAGCTGCCAAATTTAATCTCTTAATTGCCCCAACGGGAATGGCTCATTATAATGTAGGAGCATATTAACTAACTAAGCAAACAAGGAAAGGAGAGACAGGTAGATGGACTTGAAGATAGACAGGCCTCCCCCCTCTCTCTTGGCTCAGACAGCGTGGCCTGGGAGAGTTTCACGGACCCCTGATGGATCAAGCCAAGGGAGGCCCATTTAGACCCAACACACTGTTTCCGTTGCAACGCACAGCTGGATCCTTCCAGGAAGCTGAAAGGATCCTGCTCCCATTGCCTGTTCCTGCACAACTAGCATTTTATTCGTTCGTTTATTTGCCAGTTTATAATCCACTTTTTCAAGGCGGCTTACAACATGTCGAAAACACCACATTTATAAATATCCGTAAAAAATTATTGGGAAACGTCAATAGAACCTTGGTGGATGGTGGAAAAGAGAAGCTCGTCTTGGGAAGTCCTGTCTAAGCAGCATTCAGTTTTCAAAAGACACATGAAAGAAGTCAGGGGTGGTTCCACCTGAGCCTCAAGAGGCAGGGAGTTCCACAGGGCAGAGCCTGCTGCGTTAAAGGGTCAGTTAAGGCCAGCTGAAAGGGACGTGGGTGGCGCTGTGGGTTAAAAGGAACGTGGGTGGCGCTAGGACTTGCCAATCAGAAGGTTGGCGGTTCAAATCCCCGTGACGGGGTGAGCTCCCGTTGCTCGGTCCCTGCTCCTGCCAACCTAGCAATTCGAAAGCACATCAAAGTGCAAGTAGATAAATAGGTACCGCTCCGGCGGGAAGGTAAACAGCATTTCCGTGCGCTGCTCTGGTTCGCCAGAAGCGGCTTAGTCTTGCTGGCCACATGACCCGGAAGCTGTATGCCGGCTCCCTCGGCCAGTAAAGTGAGATGAGCGCCACAACCCCTATTTATCTACTTGCACTTTGACATGCTTTTGAACTGCTGGGTTGGCAGGAGCAGGGACTGAGCAACGGAAGCTCACCCCGCCGTGGGGATTCGAACTGCCAACCTTCTGATCAGCAAGCCCTAGGCCCTGTGGTTTAACCCACAGCGCCACCCGCGTGCATTGAAGATGTTAGCCATCTCCAAATATCTCTCACATGGAAGATGTTTTCTCATGCTCTGGGACCCAAATCAATGGATTCAAATTACAAAAGAGAAGGTTTCAACTAAACATCAAGAAGGACTTCCTGGTAGTAGGAGCTGTTCGGCAGTGGAACAGTCTCCCTCGGGAGGTGATGGACTCTCCTTCCATGGAGGTTTTTAAGCAGAGGTGGGTGGCCACCTGAGATTCCTGCATCCCAAGGGGTTGGACTAGATGACCCTCGGGGTCCCTTACAACTCTACAGTTCTATAACTCCTCCAGAAAGACCGCAGTTCAGTGGGAGAGCGTCTGCTTGGCAAGAATACTGTCCAAAACCCCGGAGAGCCTCTGCTGGTCGGTGTCAACAGAAGGAAGCTGGGTGAACCCAAGGGTCTACCTTGGTGTAAGGCTGCTTCCTCAGTTCCTGTTACGGTTGATCCCACCAGCAACCCTCAGATCTGAACGGCCAAAAGGGTTGGGTCTGCATAATAATAATTATCATAGTAATTTATTATTTAGACCCCACCCATCTGGCTGAGTTTCCCCAGCCACTCTGGGCGGCTCCCAATTGAGAGTTAAAAACAATACAGCATTAGATATTAAAAACTTCCCTAAACAGGGCTGCCTTCAGATGTCTTTTAAAATTAAGATAGCTGCTCATTTCCTTGACATCTGATGGGAGGGCATTCCACAGGGCAGGCGCCACCACCGAGAAGGCCCTCTGCCTGGTTCCCCGTAACCTCACTTCTTGCAATGAGGGAACCGCCAGAAGGCCCTTGGAGCTGGACCTCAGTGTCCAGGCAGAACGATGGGGGTGGAGACGCTCCTTCAGGTATACAGGACTAAGGCCGTTTAGGGCTTTCAAGGTCAGCACCAACACTTTGAATTGTGCTCGGAAATGTACTGGGAACCAATGCAGATCTATCAGGACCGGGGTTCTGTGGTCTCGGCGGCCGCTCCCAGTCACCAGTCTAGCTGCCGCATTCTGGATTAATTGCAGGTTCCAGGTCACCTTCAAAGGTAGCCCCACGTAGAGCGCATTGCAGTAGTCCAAGCGGGAGATAACCAGAGCATGCACCACTCTGGCAAGACAGTCTGTGGGCAGTTAGGGTCTCATCCTGCGTACCAAATGGAGCTGGTAAACAGCCGCCCTGGACACAGAATTGACCTGCGCCTCCATGGACAGCTGTGAGTCCAAAATGACTCCCAGGCTGCGCACCTGGTCCTTCGGGGGCACAGTTGCCCCAATCAGGACCAGGGATTCCCCCACACCCGCCCACCCCCTGTCCCCCCAAAACAGTACTTCTGTCTTATCAGGATTCAACCTCAATCTGTTAGCCGTCATCCTTCCTCCAACCACATACAGTGGTTTGCTACCCATCAGACAACTGATGTAACACAGATATTCAGGGTGTGGTTTAAAGTGTGTCTGGTTTAAATCTCACCTCGACAGGCTCGCCAGCTTCTTGGACTGGCCTCTCCCTCCTGAGGCTTGAAGTAACAGGAAAGCAGAGCCTGGGGTTGACCCTACATTATTTCCATGCTGCCAATGGTTTCACTTTCCTAGTTTCCTGCAAATCAGCTTGCTGAAATGGGCGCAGGAGCAGTCTAGCCTGGGTTTTTCATGGTCAGTTGGCATCCCCTTATCTGAGAGACGGGGGATAGGTTAGGCCAGGGGCAGATGAAGTCCTGGGCCTTGCAGACTTGAGTAAATGAGAGAGGTGTCAGTTGGGACAGATTTCTTAGACTGGAGTGACAAAATCAAACTTGTGAAAATTCCCTGTAAATGGTACCAGAGGCCAGTGGACCTCATCCTGCACACAGAAATCTTTGGAATGCCTCTAGATTATTTGCTGTCGCTCAGCAACCATGGGATAGGGGGAGAAATTTGGCAGAGTTCTCATTTAAAGGCAAAAACCTACCAAATTCACACTTTCCAAAACAATTCACGGACCGAAATGCAGCCCTCCTGCAAAACTCACACCCCTTTGAATTTTGCAATGCAGTTCTCCACCCAAGTGACGTGTACATAAATGCATATACTGCGGTAAAGTGTGCATAAGAATGCATATAATGTACAAATGCATGTTGTATTGGGGGGAACTGCTTTGCTAAAATATGTGTCTTAGGCTAAAACTGCATGCGAGCATGTGGATATTAGGAGAAAATTGCACTAAAATACCGGTGAGGACCGGTAAAAAAAAAAAGGATTTGCAACCTGAGGTGGAAGTGTGGAGAACTGAACTTCAGACTGAGAACTGAAAACAGACACATCTGCCCATCCCTAATCCCAACCCTCCCCAAAATTGTAATATATGGGTAACAAATGGGGTCTGCAACAAAATGTTGCAGCATGGAACACTCCTGCCAAGTTGGCCAAGATACCCTATTCTCTTCCACCTCTTGCTTGTTTTTTCCAAGTTTTTCTGCCCCCCTCAACACACACTTTTTGGTCTCCCCTGCAAGTAGTTTTTTTTATACAATAAATTTATTAGAGTTCCCCCAAGCCTGCAACTACCTCTCTCTTAATGCATGGGTGCTGCTGCTTTGAGCTGCGGGAAGACTAGCCATCAATTGGATAATTAAATTTTGCTATGAGGATACAACACTAGAGGCCCACCTTAAGTGGCTGCTGTGAAGTTTACTGAGATGATCTATTTCTTCCTGAGTTGAACCATGTGAATCTGATATCACTGAAACCAGGGAGCCCTTACAGGGTATGGCTGTAGAGGGTTTGTATGTGAGTGTGTGTAGCTTCTTTTGTTTAGTTGATCTGATTTAGGGGACGAATGGGCAAAAGTGCAATTTTTTTCCTGCTATTTTGCCATGCTCTGTGATTTCATCCGATACCTCATTTGTCTCCCTCTCTCTGACCTTAGTTAGTCCCCCAAAAGAGTATCCTGAGCTGGCTTTGCAAACAGATATGTAGATTAGGGTTACCAGACGTCCCCGGTTCCTGGGGACAGTCCCCGGATTTGCAGATCTGTCCCTGGACAAATTATGTCCCCAGAATGTCCCCAGATTTGCAAATCTGTCCCCGGAAAACGTGGCCTTAGCAGCCCGGAGCCAGCCTGGTAGCGCAGTTCGCTCTGGCTGGCTTCAGGAACTGCTCACTGCTGTGGCGCCCGCCATTTTTCCTCACCAGAAGTCCCCATATGATGTGTCTTGTGCGCATAGGATGTGTCTTGTGCGATCTCCTGCCCGCTTCCCCCTTTGTTTCGAATGATCGGGGGAGGCTCGAGAGTCGCTGGCGGGCAGCCCTTGCCCAGTTTTTTAAAAACTCTGTGCATTTATGTTTCACAGGGTGCTAAAGAAGGTTTTTGCACCTTTATACAATATGCATGGGATGCGGTTGGCACTGTGGTTTAAACCACAGAGCATAGGGCTTGCCGATTGGAAGGTTGGCGGTTCGAATCCCCATGGTGGGCTGAGCTCCCGTTGCTCGGTCCCTGCTCCTGCCAACCTAGCAGTTCAAAAGCACGTCAAAGCGCAAGTAGATAAATAGGTACCGCTCCGGCGGGAAGGTAAACGGCGTTTCCGTGCGCTGCTCTGGTTAGCCAGAAGCGGCTTAGTCATGCTGGCCACATGACCCAGAAGGAAGCTGTATGCGTGCTCCCTTGGCCAATAAAGCGAGATGAGCGCCGCAACCCCAGAGTCGGTCACGACTGGACCTAATGGTCAGGGGTCCCTTTACCTTACAATATGCATTTGTGCTTGGGCCCGGGGTCTTTTGCCTCACCATCCCCACTACTGACTCCCTGTTGCTTTGTTGTTGTTTAGTCGTTTAGTCATGTCCGACTCTTTGTGACCCCCTGGACCAGAGCACGCCAGGCACTCCTGTCTTCCACTGCCTCCCGCAGTTTGGTCAAACTCATGCTGGTAGCTTTGAGAACACTGTCCCACCATCTCGTCCTCTGTCGTCCCCTTCTCCTTGCGCCCTCCATCTTTCCCAACATCAGGGTCTTTTCCAGGGAGTCTTCTCTTCTCCTGAGGTGGCCAAAGTATTGGAGCCTCAGGTTCAGGATCTGTCCTTCCAGTGAGCACTCAGGGCTGAATTCCTTAAGAATAGACAGGTTTGATCTTCTTGCAGACCATGAGACTCTCAAGAGTCTCCTCCAGCACCAGAATTCAAAAGCATCAATTCTTCGGTGATCAGCCTTCTTTATGTTCCAGCTTTCACTTCCATACATCACTACTGGGAAAACCATAGCTTTAACTATACGGACCTTTGTTGGCAAGGTGATGTCTCTACTTTTTAAGATGCTGTCTAGGTCTGTCATTGCTTTTCTCCCTGTTGCTACTCAGCTTCAAAAAAAGGTGTCCCCAGATTCATAGAAAAAAATCTGGTAGCCATAATGTAGATGCAACCACCATTTGAAAGAAAGAAAGAAATTGTGTTTTGCAAATGGACAGGCGTTGTCAGCAAAAGACTCTGGTGATCAGGGATAGAAGTGGAAGTTTGTGGTGAAGGCAGAGACGAGATGGATGCTCAGAAGCCAATAGAAAGATCCTTGCTGTTCCAACTGCCTTGCTGGATGCAGACAGGCCCCAAGGGACTGCAAATTAAAGCCCAAACAATCAGAGAACACACAGAGAGACAATGTATATTAGGGTTTCCAGGGTCTCCAGGTCCCACCTGAATTTTACAGGTTCACCTGCCCTTCTCCAGGCGGCAGGTAGAGGACTTCAATTTCCAGGGTGGTGAGAGGGCCTTGAATAATAACAAGAAGAAATTAACAATAGCAATGTTTTGAAGAGTACGTGAGTCAACACTGTTCTGAGGAAAACGTGTTGGTATGTTTAGATTAAGTTTGTAAAGTAGACCCAGGAAAAATTAATATATATAGAACATTAAAGACGAGCTGCAATGTGAATAAGAACTTAAAGTTCTTTGATGAGTATTGGAGGAGGGAAGTCACATGGGTGTGCTAATATTATTATTCTCTCTTTTATCTTTCTCTTTTTTTCTCGGCTTTTCTTTTCAGGGTTAATATATGTATTTTTGTCAGTGGGAATAATCATTGTTTGTTTTTTCTGTCTATGAAATAAATAAATAAATATTCCCAAAAAAGAGAAGAAATTACGAAGGAGACTGTGCGTGCAGCTTGCAAGCTTCAGTTTGGCAGGAGCTGATTGCAAATTATAGCATAGACACTCAGGGTGCTGGAGCTCCATCTCCAGGAACGGCCCCTGGAATATCACCAGGGGCCGCCTCTGTGTCTCAGGTTTGGGCTCTCAAATCTCAGGTTCTAGGATGCTGTTGACCCGGCAATCCTAATATAGTGGTACCTTGGGTTAAGTACTTAATTCGTTCTGGAGGTCCGTTCTTAACCTGAAACTGTTCTTAACTTGAAGCACCACTTTAGCCAATGGGGCCTCCTGCTGCTGCCACGCCGCCGGAGCATGATTTCTGTTCTCATCCTGAAGCAAAGTTCTTAACCTGAAGCACTATTTCTGGGTTAGCGGAGTCTGTAACCTGAAGCATATGTAACCTGAAGCGTATTAACCCGAGGTACCACTGTACACGCAAACACACACCTTTTCTGGAGTAAGGTGAAGCAGACTAGTTTCTCACCCCAAAATGAGAAGGATAGGGCCTATGGATTTTGTTTCATATTTGCTTGTTTATTTCATTTTTTAAAAATAGATACTGCTTGTTAAAAACAGCACAACAACCTCAAAGCAGTTCTCAAAAAGAATAAAGCAGTGAAACCGTCATCTTAATAAAAAAAACAGCCTTGGGCATTATTTTCATTTCAAAGGGGTGTTTTCCCCTCCCATACTAAAGCAAATTGTCCCTGCTTTCAAACACAAAATCTCCACTGTTTTAGGCAGAAATTCACATGCAAATGTTTGTGCTTTTTGGTCTCCCAAATGAAAACCGCCTCATCCTAGGTGTGAAGCAGTTTCCAAGACTGCAAATTCCTGTTTAGGGTGAGATACAAAAATATGTTCGGTACATCTCAGATTCTTCAAATGCTCTTGCGAAAGAAAGAAAGAAAGAAAGAAAGAAAGAAAGAAAGAAAGAAAGAAAGAAAGAAAGAAAGAAAGCTGGGAATCTGGGGAGTAGGGTTTGTTTTGGGGATACACACCCATATACTGTATTTTTCGCTCTATAGGACGCACCGGACCATAGGAGGGGGAGAACGGGGGGGGGGATTCTCCGCATCTCTGCTCAGCGCCCCTTCCATTTCTCCTCCCGCTTCGCTGAAGGGGCGCTGCGCAGAGAGGGAAAACTGTGCAGCACCTCCCCAGCGAAGCGAAGCCTGGAGAGCAAGGGGGATCGGTGTGCACTGACCCCTCTCGCTCTCCAGGCTTCAGGCAGCTATCCGCAAGCCTTCAGAGCGCAGCGGGAACTCCTGCTGCGCTCCGAAGGCTTGCAGATAGCTGCCTGAAGCCCCCGGAGCACAGCGGCAGTTCACGCTGCGCTCCGGGGGCTTCAGGCTTCTCCTTTTTAGCCGTGGGGCCCCCAAAACGGGTCGGGGAGCGGCGGTCCCTTCTCCCTCTTGGGGAAAAGCCCGCAAGAGCCGCGCGAAGCTTGTGTACGGCTCTTGGGGGCTTTTCCTGCCTGCCTCCCCCCTGCATTCGCTCCATAGGACGCACAGACTTTTCCCCTTAGTTTTTAAGAGGGAAAAAGTGTGTCCTATGGAGCGAAAAATACGGTATATATTGATGGCCTTTGCCACCGTCCTTTTTAACCATGGGTGGGGCTGGAAATCGGGGCTCAGCTCTCCAGACACCCCACTCCACTGTCTTGCTTGGTATTTCCCCACTATGAATTGTATCCAATGCAAATCCTACCTAGGATTCAAATCAGTGGCATCAGAACATCAGAAATCTGGACCATCTAGCCTAGATTCCTGTTCTCACAGTGGCTGACCAGATGACTGTCAGGATCCGAGCATTTTCCCCTTCTGCGGTTTCCAGGAACTAGCATTCAGTGAAGGCAGAGCTCCTGGCTAGGAGCCATCAGCAGACTTTTGCTCCACAAATTTGCCCAACAATCCTCTTTTAGGCCTTCCAAGCTGGTGCTCCCCTCCTGAGGCAGTGAGTACCATAGTTTAACTGAGGCCCAGCGCCGAGGCCTTTCTGGCGGTTCCCTCCCTGCAAGAAGTGATGTTACAGGGCCTTCTCAGTGGTGGCACCTGCCCTGTGGAACTCCCTCCCACCAGATGTCAAAGAGAAGAACAACTACCAGACTTTTAGAAGGCATCTGAAGGCAGCCCTCTTTAGGGAAGCTTTTAATGTTTAATAGGTTATTGTATTTTAATATTCTGTTGGATGCCGCTCAGTTTTCTCCCTATCCTCCCCCCTGGGCTAAGTCCTGCAAGGGGCAACACCAAAAGGGAGGAGGAGGAGGAGGCTGGCAAGCAGAGTCGCCCCATGGATGGGTTGTAAGAAAGAGAGAGTAGAAGCATGAGCTGGAAGGGACCCCGAGGGTCATCTAGTCCAACCCCCTGAAATGGAGGAATCTTTTGCCTAACGTGGGACTCGAACCCACGACCGAGATTGAGCAGATGGGCGGGGTATAAATAATAAATAATGATATATTATTATTATTATTATTATTATTATTATTATTAATTATTATTTTATTATTATGTGCTGTGTGAAATACTTCCTTTTATCTGCCTTCCAACGCACTTCCTTCTTCTAATGTTTCTCCAATGCATCGGACTAACTTAGGTTCAGTTATATAAGGGGTCAGCAAACTTTTCCAGCAGGGGGCCGGTCCACTGTCCTTCAGACCTTGTGGGGAGGGGGGCAGACTATATTTTGAAGGGGGAGAATAAACAAATTTCTATGCCCCACATATAACCCAGAGGTGCATTTTAAATAAAAGCACACTGAAATATACTCAGAGTCGAGTATGGATTTCATGCTCTTTATTCAGCTCATAGTGGTGAGGAGGAAAGGAAGTTCCCCCGAAAGGTCTGCTTTATATACATTATTTACACAATGGGCCCCACGTGATTGGCTAATTCCGGGATTCTCCTGTAGGCCAATCAGGTTGCGGATTCACTTCCACCTGGAGTTGGATTGGGTGGCTCCTGTGGACCAATCAGACTGCTGCCTTTTGGATCCTATTCAACTCAGTACATAACACACACATTCTTCTCATGTAAAAACACCAGGCAGGCCCCACAAACAACCCAGAGATGCCTTTTCAATAAAAGGACACGTTCTACTCATGTAAAAACACGCTGATTCCCGGACCGTCTGTGGGCCGGATTTAGAAGGCGATTGGGCCGGATCCGGCCTCCGGCCTTAGTTTGCCTACCCCTGGTTCATTCGCTTCAATGCATCTAGTCTGAGTGGAACTCAGTCAGATAAAATCTAGTGCCTCTTCAGCCAACATGGGTGCCCCAGATTTTTTTTGTCTGTTTGCTGGCTGTGGGGCAGGGACCATTTTGCCAATTTTTGAGTGGGCAATGGCCTCCTTTTTTGTCTATGTTGCATTTGTTTTTGGGTGCATGTAGGTGATTCCTAAGTGTGATCACTTTTTTCTTCTTTGAAATCGGTTTTGTGGTGCCTGTGGCTGTTCCTTAGATTTCCAAAGGGGCTCCGGAAGGTTGGAGACCTTATTTTCTATTCCTTATAACAGAGTCGCAACAGGCCAAAAATAAAATAAAATTTGACAGGCAGCTATAGGGACAGTGCACCGGTTGAATTTCTGTCTGCTCTGCACACCCTCTAAGTAAGGGCCCAGCAGGGCTTAAGCATCTGTTTTTCTGAATGTCAGGATTCCACCATGGAATATAGGAAGGCGCAATCATAGAGGCCTCACTCTGTGCGTGTACAAAGTGTATTTTCCCCCTCAGGGCTGCCTTTCAAGTCTCTGTAGTGTCTGAGCACTCATGTTCCAGCAACTGAGGTTTCCTGGTGGAGGAAGAAACGGAATAGATTATGCAAAGAGCAGCCTATTTGCATAATTCATGCAAGCGACAAACTCTGCCGTTTATCGGCACAGGGTTTTTAAAATTCATTTTCTCTATTTGCCAGGGCGACGGTGACCCACAGTCCCTCCCCTCGTTGAACTCATCTTAATCCCTTGAGCCCCACATGCGCTGTGCTTGTCTGTTGGACGCTGGACTTAAAAAAATTGCCAGGTTGATAAGTTGTTTGTATTTTATTAATCGAAATTTCTTCTTACCCTCGTCTTTGGTGTGAAAGATTTATTCCCCTCCCTCTTTTGGGGGGGTGGGGAAGCGTTGCGAGCCCTTCATAGGTGTTCTCTTGAAGAACCTTAAAACAAGGCTTAAGAATGAGGATCTTAGAGACCTGGGCAGCATTAGAGAAGTGTTGGGGTGTCTCTGGGGGGAACCCCCCGAATAATAATAATAATAATAATAATAATAATTTATTTATACCCCGCCCATCTGGCTGAGTTTCCCCAGCCACTCTGGGCGGCTCCCAATCGAGTATTAAAAACAATACAGCAATAAAGCCATGGAGCTCAAAAGCGCCTACCGTATTTTTCGCTCCATAGGGTGCACCAGACCATAGGGCGCACCTAGTTTTTTGGGGGGGGGGAATAAAGGAAAAAAATTATCCCCCCCCCCCGGTCCAGGAGCAGCGGCAAGATTGCGTGCAACCTCGTCGCCACTCCCGGAGCTTGCGGGACTGGGGGCTGGGAAGCCCGAGCTTCCCCCGACCCCAGCCCCCAGAACAGGCAGCCATCCGCAAGCCTTCCTAGCGCAGCGGGAACTCCCACCGCACTCAGAAGGCTTGCGGATGGCTGCCTGAAGCCCGGGGAGCGCAGCAGGAGTTGGCGCTGCATTTGCCGGGCTTCAGGCTGCAGCCTGCTATCCGCAAGCCTTTGGAGCCTGGCGGGAACTTCCGCCGCACTCAGAAGGCTTGCGGATAGCTGCCTGGAGAGTGAGAGGGGTCAGTGCGCACCGACCCCTCTCGCTCTCCAGGCTTCAGCGAAAGCCTGCATTCGCTCCATAGGACGCACACACATTTCCCCTTCATTTTTGGAGGGGAAAAAGTCTGTCCTATCGAGCGAAAAATACTGTATTCAGAGAGGAGGGCTGCCCGCTGCCTCTCTGGATGAGTCCTTGTTCTAGGCGTCCCTCCTTCCCATCAGCCTCTCCAGGAGGGCACACGTTTCTGCTACACCGTTGCACTGGGCGCGACTTTTCCCTTCGTTCACTTTTGGTGCAGAGACTCGGATCAAGTCCTGTCCGTGGAGAGGACTGTGCCTGTCGCATCTCTGTATGATTTGCTGTTTATCGGCGGGGTGAATTTTGAAGCGGGGACTTCTAGACTTGCTGCTTACCGGTCTGACCCAAATCCTCAAGTTTCTAGTCCATGGTGGGTTTTGTTTTGTTGGTTTTTTTGCCCCTTTCCACATTTCAGTTTGCAGTGCGCTGGTTAGCGGAGGGACGGGGACCAATCCACCTCTTTTGCCAATGGCCTCAGGTCATTTGCAGGCAGTTTTTTTTCCTACTGAGCCCAGGGGAGCAGCAACGGACGAGGCTGTGCACAGAGCCATCTTCTTGTCCCGCACCCCTCCCCCCCTCTCCCAGGAAAGCTACTGCCAGCGGCTTGTCCGCTCAGCTGACGTGGCGCCGCAAGATGGGCCCGCTGGAGTGTGACGGCTTTTGCTTTTCCGCCTCGCTGCTCCTTGCGACAGGCTCGCTGGCAGGGAATCTAAATATAGAACTCAGCACTGCAGCTTGGAAGAAAAGGAACATATTTTGCTCATGAATTTTTGAGAAAGGGTGGCGGCGGGAGGGAATGGGGGCAAACAGAATCACTCCAGAGCAAGTTTTTCCGCCTTTTCAAACTATGCATGAACTCTGCAGTGGCGAGCTGGGAAGGACAAAGATCCCCAGGGAAACGTGATCGCCTGGCCTGGAGCTCAGTTCGCCATAGGGCTGTGCGATGTGGGTTTTTGTTCTGTATATAGGTCGGATCTCTTGTGCGTGGCTCCTCTTTGCCTAGCCGCCCGAAATGTTTGCGCCTGTAAAAATAATAAATGTCTCTGTGGAATCTAAGCAGCGATCTAGTCCTGCGTCCTGTTCTCACTGGGGGCTGTCAGGAGCTCGTCCTACGCTCGAGTAGGACCCTGGCAGAGACACATGCCCGACTGACATGTTCCCTCCCTCCGGGTCGATCATTCGGGAGCTTCAAAAGCTTTCTTCCGCCCGAACATCACAGCGACCGGCGCCAACAGACACCGGCACACTTAGCGATCCCATGACTGCAATCACGGAGCAGGAATTCTAACAGGGCCAACCAGTGGGAAGCCCCACACCCCACCCCACAAGCAGAAGCTGAGCTGATAAGTGGAGAGTTCAGCGATTCTGCTTTTTCCAGGCCGTTCTCTGCAAGGAATGCACTGGCAAAGCAGCAGGATTGAACCCTGCCCATCGGCTGGTGATGTCAGTTGATTGACTGGTGGGTGTGGTTTGGGGAAATGGCTTCATTGGCCACACTGGGCTCCCTTCCCACCCACCCACTCGGTGGACCAAGACTGGCCCATGGGCTGGAAAATTCCCCACCCTGCCAAAGAAGCAGCCCTGGCCCTGTGATCATTTTGAGGTTGAATGCTGACAAGACAGAGGTACTGTTTTGGGGGGACAGGAGACAGGCAGGTATGGAGGACTCCCTGGTCCTGAATGGGGCAACTGTGCCCCTGAAGGACCAGGTGCAAAGCCTGGGAGTCATTCTGGACTCACAGCTATCCATGAAGGCACAGGTTAATTCTGTGTCCAGGACAGCTGTCTACCAGCTCCATCTGGTATGCAGGATGAGACCCTCCCTGCCCGCAGACTGTCTCGCCAGAGTGGTGCAAGTCACCAGAGGGTGGTGTGGGGTTTTTCTCAGAAGGGTAGTAGGAGATGGGTGATTGACTCAATGGTTATGGTAAACCTGTTGAGGGCTGTCAATGACTGCAATTAGTCCTACAGGAAAAAGCAAGGGATACTATTCAGATGACCAAAAATATCTTTAGCATTATCTATCCTGAAGTGCATGCAAAATAGCGTCAATAAAGTGGTTCCATGTGTAGGATAGCAAAGTAATCAGTGGTGAGGTGAAGACTCAGAGATACCTTCATTACATGACATCCCTCTTTGGAAAAAAGATTCATGCCTTTGATATGCGTAGAAATCCACAGGCCTGTTTTCATTGTGGCGAAGGATTACCATTTAAATAAATAGACTTAGTTTCATTGCGGGGAATTGAGAGATGCTCAGTTAGTAAAACCCACAAGTGCAACACTGACTGGGGTTTTCCCACCCCCACCCTCTTTGATCCTGTTTAAATAGTCCTGCAGTTCAGGAATATTCAGTGAAGCAATGAAAGTCTCTGCCTATTTGCCATCTCTCTGTCACCTGGAGACACACACCTGGCTTGCTCTTCCAGGTAACGTCAGCGATGACTGAATTCATTTACAACATGCACGGCACTGTTTAATCATTAGTGTTTCTAAGAACAGAAATAAACCGAGAGAATAAACCAGCGGAAGTCATAAAGCCCAAACATAAACCTGAACGCTACCTTATATTTCCAGCTGGACTAAGGAGCCCCTCTGAGTCTTGCCATCTGATGGTTCCCAAGACGTAACTAGCTGTACATTTGAAAAAATAATATATACTATTCATTGTATTGAATTGTAAGATAAAGGTAAAGGGATCCCTGACCATTAGGTCCAGTCGTGACCGACTCTGGGGTTGCGGCGCTCATCTCGCTTTATTGGCCGAGGGAGCCGGCGTATAGCTTCCGGATCATGTGGCCAGCAGGATTAAGCTGCTTCTGGCGAACCAGAGCACTGCACGGAAATGCCGTTTAGCTTCCCGCCGGAGTGGTACCTATTTATCTACTTGCACCTTGATGTGCTTTCAAACTGTTAGGTTGGCAGGAGCAGGGACCGAGCAACGGAAGCTCACCCCGTCGCGGGGATTCGAACCACCGACCTACTGATCGGCAAGTCCTAGGTTCTGTGGTTTAACCCACAGCGCCACCCGTGTCCCTGTATTGAATTGTAGATTTCAACAAATCCTTGTCTCAGACTCTGTGAAAGGATTCTGTGGAACTGCAACAACCTTTCATGTGGACTGTTGGACTCTATGAACAGACAGGTGGAATAGACACTTTCACATATGTGGACCTTATGCACAAACTGATTAGAGGAGGAACTGATCTGCTGGGTCTTCTACTTTTTTTGTTGAAGTTAATGAGCTACTTTTGTTGAAATCTACAATTCAATACAATGAATTGTTGTTGTCGTTTAGTCGTGACCCCCTGGACCAGAGCACGCCAGGCACTCCTGTCTTCCACTGCCTCCCGCAGTTTGGTCAAACTCATGCTGGTAGCTTTGAGAGCACTGTCCCACCATCTGGCCCTCTGTCGTCCCCTTCTCCTTGCACCCTCCATCTTTCCCAACATCAGGGTCTCTTCCAGGGAGTCTTCTCTTCTCATGAGGTGGCCAAAGTCTTGGAGCCTCAGCTTCAGGATCTGTCCTTCCAGTGAGCACTCAGGGCTGATTTCCTTCCGAATGGAGAGGTTGGATCTTCTTGCAGTCCATGGGACTCTCAAGAGTCTCCTCCAGCACCAGAATTCAAAAGCATCCATTCTTCGGCGATCAGCCTTCTTGTTGGTCCAGCTCTCACTTCCATACATCACTACTGGGAAAACCATAGCTTTAACTATACGGACCTTTGTTGGCAAAATACTATGAATAGTATATATTATTTTTTCAAACGTACAGCCAGTTACGTCTTGTGTGTTTATTGAATATCTTTCACGTAACCAGAGATTTGTTGTTGTTTTTCTCTGATGGTTCCCTTCATGGGCCAGCTCTGGACTCTGGGTTCTGGGCTCTGCTCATGGCCCATCTAGCTACCTCACTGCCCAGCTGGCTTGACACCTTAGCATATCTCAGTCCAAGGGGTTTCAGTGCAACTTTGGCAAAGTTTAACCAAACCTTGATCAATTATAACTTCATTACATCACAACACATTTAGGGGGTTCTGCCTCCTCTCCAAACTCATAATGCTGTTTGGTGTTTTTAAATTTTTCATTTGCTGTTTGGCTTTTTTAAATAATTGCACAATGCTTAGAAGCTTTTAAAAAAGAATTAAGAGGTGTATAAATGCCTCCAACTGGGTGATTATTTCGGAGCCAAGGTGTGAGGGATCAGGGGTGTTTAGGTTTCACAACATCTGCTGGTAATAATTACAAAATTTCTTATTTCACTACAGTCATACCTCATGTTACGTCCTCTTCATGTTACGTTCTTTCAGGTTATGTCCCGCGGCGACCCGGAAGTACCGGAAAGGGTTACTTCCAGGTTTCGCCGCTCGCGCATGCGCAGAAGCGCAAAATGACGTCACACGCATGCGCAGAAGCGGCGAATCGTAACCCACGCTTACGCAGACGCGCCGCTGCAGGTTGCACTCTTTTCATGTTTGCCAACGGGCCTCTGGAACGGATTCCATTCGCAACCAGAGGTACCAGTGTATTATATTTATACCCCACCTTTGCTCCAAGGAGCTCAAAGAGGCCTGCGCAGTTCTCCTCTGCCTCCATTTTATCCTCACAACGACCCTGTGAGGTAGGCTCGGCTGAGAGACTATAGCCACCCCAAGGCCACCCAATGAGCTTGCTGGTCCAGACAGGAGATAAACAACGCACTCAGATTTCTGCTGTAGACCGCCTTTTCTGTGATGTAGGTATGATGTTTCTGGGGGTGGTCTTGGACTCCAGGGTGGGCAATTTAAAATGTCTATATAAAGTCGGGCACACCTTGGTTCTGGTTCCTCCTCCTTCTCCTGCGTGTGAGGGGAGCACCCTGTTGCAACAGATCAATAAAGATCAGACTTACAAGCTGCTTTGCTTCTCAGTATTTTCTGGTTGGCCTCTGTTCTTTTCTCCGACTGATGGAGAACCTGCAAAGGACTCTATAAGGGCTCTGGTGTCCCCCATAAGGGAATAAGGGCAGGTTTTTGTTTATTACACAGGCTTCCCATCGGGGAAGCTGGATTGGTCAAGCGGGGTCTTGAACCCTGTTTTCCCAGGGCCTAGGCTGACACCACAGTATGTCACCATTTCTGCCTGCCACCCAGTGGCGGCTGGTGCCCATTGGGCCTGGCAGGGCGCAAGGCAGAGAACTTCACAGTAGGCGGAGCCAAAACCAAGGAGAGGCGGAGCCAACTCATTCCAGTTCTCTCCCTATCCTTCCCCCCTGTGCTAAATTCTGCAAGGGGCAACACCAAAAGTGAGGAGGAGGAAACTGGCAAGCAGAGTCACCCCATAGATGGGTTGTGAGAAATAGAGCAGGCAGGTAAGCCTAGGATAGCTCAGTCGGTTGAGCGTGAGATGCTCAATCTCAGGTTCGTGGGTTCGATTCCCACGTTGGGCAAAAGATTCCTCCATTGCAGGGGTTGGACTCAATGACCCTCGGGGTCCCTTTATATATCCGACCCACCCTCCCTCAGTTTGGATGAATTTCCAACTTCACGGTGGCCCCGATTCCTGTGGTTTCAAAACGTGTTCTGCGCTTTGGGCGCCGCCGCTGAGTGTTCAATCCATGTGGAAAATTCTCCTGTGAGAATATCTTCAGGGAAGTTCCTGCCTTTCTGTCTCACACTCTGCACCAACAGATATATTTTTAGCTTTTTTGTTTTGGGCTGCTGGAAAGATGTTAAGACGATTCGGCGCCCAGGTGAGAAATCATATCATTTTGGGGTGTGTGCTTTTATTTAAAAGAATCTATTAAGTTGGAATCAAAAGATTTGGAGTTTGTACAATTTGGAACATTAAATGTGATTTGATTGGATTGTTAAAATGGGAAACTTAATAAAAATGATTTTAAAAAAAAGAAAGAAAGATTTCGAGTTGGGAGACAGCAAGCGAGGTGGGGTGACTTGAATTTCCACCCCATTATCTAGCGGCCCCAAATTCTTTTTAGAGTGTGGGTCCCAGCATTCGTATCCCAGAGGTGGGAAACCTCTTCCTTCTCAGAGGCCACATTCCATTCTGAGTGGCCTTCCGAGGGCCACACAGCCTCCCTTCTAAGTGCCGCTCATAATTGAGGCAGATCGGCACCTTTTGCAAAATTGTAAGTAAAAAAAAAAAAGAATAATGTGTCCATTGGGAGAAATTTGTCTTAAAACACGGATGAATTTTCAGGAGCAGTTTTACAAAATCCGATTGCAAGCTGATCTAGAAATGCGGCGAATGCGGCTTTGTCAGTGGCTACTAGAAACTGGCAAAAATGTTCCTCTTTGACCAGGCTTTTTGCTGATTGGCATCCGATGCCCTTTTAAAGTTTGTTGTGGAAGGCGGGGATTATTAGGTTGTTTTGGTTTTCATTAGTATTTTGCGTAGGTTTTTTAAATAAATATAGTGATTTTATGTTGTGAACTGCCCTGAGATCTATGGGTATAGGGTGATATACAAATTCAATAAATAATAAAAATGATAATGGCTGTACTCTGGCCCCACAGTTGTGAGGCATCGATGTATCTGAAAACCCAGCTGCTGTAAACCACATGCGTGGGGATGCTCTCGAGTTCGAATTCTGCTTGCAGTTGAAATAAAAAAAATAATTTCTTATATATATAATAAATGTTTGTACAGTGGTACCTCAGGTTACATACACTTCAGGTTACATACACTTCAGGTTACAGACTCTGCTAACCCAGAAATAGTGCTTCAGGTTAAGAACAGTTTCAGGTTAAGCACGGACCTCCGAAACGAATTAAGTTCTTAACCTGAGGTACCACTGTAAATGTACCAAGCAAAAGCATACATAAATATATAAACCACACGTCTGAAGCAGCACAGGAAAACAGCCCTGAAACCATTTTGACTCCCAAACTGACCAAATGATTTCTCTGCAAGGTCAAGGGAAATGGAAAAGCCTCCCCACTGTTTTTTCCTTCACAAATCCTGTCTTAAGGGTATGTCTGTGTTTGAATAGGGTGAGCCTGTGACCTGGCTCAGGAACTAAGTAGTTATCATTACAAAAGACTGGCCAGTCTCCCCAGGGTATCCAGTCAAGTGAGCATTATCAGGTGACCTGCCAGACAGGAGATAAACAACGCACTCAGATTTCTGCTGTAGACTGCCCTTTCTATGATGTAGGTATGATGTGTCTGGGGGTAGTCTTGGTCTCCAAGGTGGGCAATTTAAAATGTCTATATAAGGGCAGGCACACCTATGTTCTTGGTCCTCCTTCTCCTGCATGTGAGGGGAGCACCCTGTTGCAACAGTTCAATAAAGATCAGGCTTACGAGCTGCTTTGCTTCTCAATATTCTCTGGTTGGCCTCTGTTCTTTTCTCCAACCGATGGAGAACCCACAAAGGACTCTGTAAGGGCTCTTGTGTCCCTCATAAGGGAATAAGGGCAGATTTTCGTTTATTACACAGGCTTCCCATTGGGGCAGCTGGTTGGCCACTGTGAGAACAGAATGCTGGACTAGATGGACCACTGGGCTGGTCCTGTGGGCTCCTCTTATGTTCTCAGTGGCTAACCAGATGCCTCAAAGGGAAATCTACAAGCAGGACCCAATGCATCTGAAAGTAGAGGCGGGATGTGGCCGCCATAGCAAGAAGCCACAATGGCCTCGTGAATCTGCCTGTTGTTGTTGTTGTTGTTTAGTCGTTGAGTCGTGTCCGCCTCTTCGTGACCCTCTGGACCAGAGCACGCCAGGCCCTCCTGTCTTCCACTGCCTCCCACAGCTTGGTCAAACTCATGCTGGTAGCTTCGACAACACTGTCCCACCATCTCGTCCTCCGTCGTCCCCTTCTCCTTGTGCCCTCCATCTTTCCCAACATCAGGGTCTTTTCCAGGGAGTCTTCTCTTCTCATGAAGTGGCCAAAGTCTTGGAGCCTCAGCTTCAGGATCTGTCCTTCCAGTGAGCACTCAGGGCTGATTTCCTTCAGAATGGAGAGGTTTATCTTCTTACAGTCTATGGGACTCTCAAGAGTCTCCTCCAGCACCAGAATTCAAAAGCATCCATTCTTCGGCGATCAGCCTTCTTGATGGTCCAGCTCTCGCTTCCATACATCACTACTGGGAAAACCAGAGCTTTTACTATATGGACCTTTGTTGGCAAGGTGATGTCTCTCCTCTTTCAAAAGCCATCCCGTTTGGTGGCCCTCACTGCCTCTAGTCTGAGCACATTCCAGCCGCGCTGTATGGGATACAAATCTGGTTCCCCATAGGTTTTACTTCTAATCCTCCCCCTCCCCCTGAAAGAATACCTCCTTTGCTCTTTTAAATTGGCAGAGGATAAGCTGTTGCCCTACAAATGACTATAGCAGAGAGAGGAAGCAAAGGCTTCGGCAGTGTGCAATAATAATAAGAACCATGGCAGTGTTGCTCGCTGCCACAATGGGGGCGTTTTCAAAATGTCCCCGTTTTCTTCTCTGAGATATTGAACAGGACTTAGCGCAGGCACAATGTCAGCTTTCAGCCTGGTTTTAAAATCGTTTCATGGTTTTTTTCCCCTTTTTTAAAGTTATTGCCTGCTAAAATGCATTTTCCATTTCTTTGATTGGAACATTTTGAACTGTCCTGGGCGTGGGGTGGGAAAGGTGTGTCCCTTTGAGAGTTAAAAGCTGGAGTATATAAATGATATGGTTTGCTTGCTTGCTTGCTTAATGAGTTTGGATCCTACCTTTCTCTTGAGCTGGGATTCAAGGCAGCTTACGACGTTTGGGAAGCATGGTTCAAAAATACAAACAAACTGGTTAAAAACAATACAGTGGTACCTCTGGGTGCGAATGGGATCTGTTCTGGAGCCCCATTCACATCCTGAAGTGAACGTAACCCATGTCTGCGCATGCACAGGTCACAATTTGCCGTTTCCGTGCATGCGCGTGACGTCATTTTGAGCATCTGTGCATGCGCAAGTGGCGAAACTTGGAAGTAACGCATTCCGTTACTTCTGGGTCACCGCAGAGCGTAACCTGAAAACACTCAACCTGAAGCATATTTAACCCGAGGTATGACTGTAGTTTAAGGGACGCGGGTGGCGCTGTGGGTTAAACCACAGAGCCTAGGACTTGCCGATCAGAAGGTCGGCGGTTCGAATCCCCACGACGGGGTGAGCTCCCGTTGCTCGGTCCCTGCTCCTGCCAACCTAGCAGTTCGAAAGCATGAAGTGCAAGTAGATAAATAGGTACCGCTCCGGCGGGAAGGTAAACGGCGTTTCCGTGCACTGCTCTGGTTCGCCAGAAGCAGCTTAGTCATGCTGGCCACATGACCCGGAAGCTGTCTGTGGACAAACGCTGGCTCCCTCAACCTATAGAGCGAGATGAGCGCACAACCCCAGAATCGGTCATGACTGGACCTAATGGTCAGGGGTCCCTTTACCTATGACTGTAGTTAAAACATTTTTAGAACCAGCAATTAAAATCCAGTTTGACCTGACAGCAGCCTAATTTCCAAAGGCCTGTCTGGACAGGAAGGTTTTAGCCAGCAGGCGGGAAAATAACAAAGAGGGAGACAGTCTGACACCTTTGGGGAGGGAATTCCACAACCTGGGAGCAGTCACAGCAAAGACTTTCTCTCTCTCTCTCTCTCTCTCTCTCTCTCTCTCTCTCTCTTCTGTGACCACCACCCATGCCTTGAATACTGATGGGATCAAGAGAAGGTGCTCACCCAAGGATCTTAGCACCTGGGCAGGTTTGTTTGGGGAGATCATTTTCCCAGGTAACCCAGACCCAAGTCATGTTACTTTTGTACCCCGCCTTTCCTTCGAAGAGCTTGAGGTGGAGCACGCAGCTCTCCCCACCCCCCTTTCCACCTCACAACAAGTCTATGAGGCAGGTCAGGCTGAGAAAGGCAGGATCTGGCCCAGGGTCACCCGGTGACCTTCATGGCTGAGTGAGAATTTCAACCCTGGTGCCCCAGGTGATAGTTTGACACTCTGCCATTGAAACTGTCAGAAGATGGCAGAAGATTGCAATGCCTTTTTGCAGTGGCCGCCTTCAGGACGTAACTGGCGCGAACATCTTTGGACAGGAGCTTTGCTGTCTCATCTTGTTCTGGACATAAGAGTCAAAGGAAGACGCTCACTGCATAGGTTTGTTGAGAAACGGGAGTGTGCAAACGATTGAAAACTATAAAACACAATGTCGCACCTGTTTATATATTGTGCAACGCTGCATAAGGTGATTTTTCAGAGAATTGTATGGTGTTGCTGGTTTTGATACTTTATTGCTGCAATAAAAATTAAATTAAAAGCAATAAAAAGAAGTAAACAACGTGTGACTGTGGAGTTTGCAATGGCAGCAAAGTGAGGCATCGGAGCATTGGAGGGGAAGTCGGGAGACGGTAGCTGTGTGGCACGGAGGACAATGCGAGACCCTCCCAAATTTTGCTGGACTCCAACTCCCCGTGGCCAGCATTCCTAATGGTCTTTGTTTTAACTATTTATATGTGCGTTTATCTTGCATTTTTATCTTGTGAACCGCCCTGAGATCTTCAGCCGACGGGCCATATATAAATTAGATAGATGGATGGATCATTAGATTTTGTAGCTCGCTGACTGGTTGTGAGAAGCCAGCCTCTGCTTCTGAGATTGTGGGTTGCTTACATATGGATAAAGACAGATACGGTGGAGTACAGGGTCAGGTTTAAGGTGCTGCTTTTGACCTTTAAAGCCCTACACGGCCTAGAACCCATGTACCTACGGGACCGCCTCTCCTGGTACGCCCCACGGAGGACCTTAAGGTCCACAAACGACAACACTTTGGAGGTCCCAGGTCGCAAGGTGGTTAGATTGGTCTCAACTAGGGCCAGGGCCTTTTCAGTACTGGCCCCGACTTGGTGGAACGCTCTGAAGAAGAGACCAGGGCCCTGCGGGACTTGACATCTTTCTTCAGGGCCTGCAAGACAGAGCTGTTCTGCCTGGCCTTTGGTTTGGACTCAGTCTGACCCTTATGTTTTCCCTCCCCTTGTGGTTTTGATCTATGGGCTACTTACAAAACGAGGCTGCATTTTAAATTGCATTTTAACCTTTATTTTAAATTGTTTCCCCCCTATTATGTTTTTACTGTAATTTTACTGGTGTTAGCCGCCCTGAGTCCAGCTCTGGCTGGGGAGGGCAGGGTATAAATAAAATTATTTATTATTATTATTATTATTATTATTATTATTGGTGTGCGTGCGATGCCTAGCACCCACCCAGTGGCGTAGCGTGGGGGGTGCAGGGGGGCCGGCCGCACCGGGCGCAACATCTGGGGGGGCGCACTCGCACTCGCAGCTCTCTGCCCCTACCTGGCTCACTCACTCTCTCTCACTGCAGTGCTGGCTGTGCGAATCCGATCCGAGCCACTGGGTCGCCGCCCACTGTGGAGGGGGTGGGTGCCAGGCGTGCGGTGCGGAGAGAGAGCGAGGGACTATCTGGGGGAGGGACAGTGCAGTGGCCGCCCAGCGCAGCGCTGAGCACGGGAGAGAACCACACCAGACCAGCCCAGGCAGCAGCAAGAAGAAGCTGGCAGCGGTGGCAGGTTAGGGGTTAGGGGGCGCAAATTACTTGCCTTGCCCCGGGTTAGAGGGCGCAAATTACTTGCCTTGCCCCGGGTGCTGACAACCCACGCTACGCCGCTGCACCCACTGCAGGCCTTTGATAACATTAGTAAATAAGAAGAGCCCTGCGGGTGAATCAGTCCAAATGGGACCCATCTAGACCCAATGTCCTCTTCTTACAGGGGCCATTTAGATGCCTCGATGGGAAGCCTCCGAACAGGGCTTCAGCGCAGCACCTCTCCTTCCCCTCCCTGGTTTACTAGCGAGTAGGATTCGCGGGTGGCGCTGTGCATTAAACCACAGAGCCTAGGACTTGCCAATCAGAAGGTTGGTGGTTCGAATCCCCACGATGGAGTGAGCTCCCGTTGCTCGGTCCCTGCTCCTGCCAACCTAGCAATTCAAAAGCAGGTCAAAGTGCAAGTAGATAAATAGGTCCCGCTCCGGCGGAAAGGTAAACGGTGTTTCCGTGCGCTGCTCTGGTTCGCCAGAAGCGGCTTAGTCCTGCTGGCCACATGACCTGGAAGCTGTACGCCGGCTCCCTCGGCCAGTAAAGCGAGATGAGCGCCACAACCCCAGAGCGGCCACGACTGGACCTAATGGTCAGGGGTCCCTTTACCTTTACTAGGATTCAAGAGGCAAGCAGCCTCTGACAATCACCGAGGCATCGTGGGCTAGGAGTAGCCCATGGCAGACTTCTCCTCCTCCAACAATTTGTCTACAGTGGTACCTCGGGTTACGTACTTAATTCGTTCCGGAGGTCCGTTCTTATCCTGAAACTGTTCTTAACCTGAGGTACCACTTTAGCTAATGGGGCCTCCCACTGCCGCTGTGCGATTTCTGTTCTCATCCTGAAGCAAAGTTCTTAACCCGGGGTACTATTTCTGGGTTAGCAGAGTCTGTAACCTGAAGCGTATGTAACCTGAAGCATCTGTAACCCAAGGTACCACTGAATCTTGCATTCTGGAAATGTACATCCAGGTGTTTTTTTCGTTCCGGAGGTCCGTTCTTAACCTGAAACTGTTCTTAACCTGAGACACCACTTTAGCTAATGGGGCTTCCCGCTGCCCTCGGAGCACGATTTCTGTTCTCATCCTGAAGCAAAGTTCTTAACCCGAGGTACTATTTCTGGGTTAGCAGAGTCTGTAACCTGAAGCGTCTGTAAGCTGAGGCATCTGTAACCCAAGGTACCACTGTAATCCCCTTTTAAAGCTGGTGGTGGCTGCTACCTCTTTCCGGAACAAATGCCACAGTCTGAAGATTACATTCCCACCTCTTTTTCTTCCAGGATGCGCCTTCCTGACCTACTGCGCCCGCGAGTCAGCTCTCAAGGCCCAAAGTGCTCTCCACGAGCAGAAGACGCTACCTGGGGTAAGTTGTTTGTGCTGTTTGCCGATTTACCTTGCCGTCCATCCCCTATGCACACACACACCTACCTTCCTGGTCACTCTCTTTCTGTCTGTCTGTCTGTCTGTCTGTCTGTCTGTCTTTCTCTTGCAATAACCACATGGCCGTTTCTCTCTGTGTGGAGCCAGTTGGGGAATGGACTCTCCTGAGATTTCAAACCCTCTCTCTTTCCCTCACTCTCTCTCACACAGACCTCTTCGCTTAGACAAGGAGAAGTTCTGCAGGAACGCGCTCCTTAGAAATCCTGCCTTTGTTTGGTTGCGGTTTAAGTTATAAAGTTAGTTAGTTGCATATTACCTTGTACATGCATTAGTCTGAACTGCCAGTGCCTTTTTGTGGAGCCTGGTTCCAGAGGTCCAAGGCTCAAACTGGCAAACACACGTGGCGTCAGAAGTCAGTAAACAGGATAAACTTTGCCTATGTCCAGCAAAATTTCAGATGCCAAGAAAGGTTCGTCTGGGAAGAATTTGCAGAGATCTCGGGGCACAGGAGAGGAAGGGTGGGATTTTAATCACAGGAACCTAGGAAGCTGCCTTGCATCAGGCCATTGGTCCATCAAGTTCAATATTGTCTACACTGACTGGCAACAGCTCTCCAGGGTTTTTGGCTGAGGACATTCCCATCTCTACATGGAGCTGCCAGGGACTTGAACCCAAGACCTACATGAAAAACAGGTGCTTTGTCACTGGGCTGTGACGCTTCCCCTTAGATTGCAAACCTGCAGACAGGACCCTGTTTTATGTTTAATTTCTTGGCAGCACCTAGTGACTTTAGGCACCTTTATAAATAATAAACAGTGATTCTTATTCCTTAGGAAAAGATGTTTACCCTGCTGTTCTGTACATCCCCCGAGGCAGCTAAGAATAATAAAACTCATCAAGATATTGGGTCGTTGGACGTTTTTCCCATTATTATTTTAAAAAGCCCAAATAACCAAGGAGACTGAAAATGAAAGCAGTTAGCCAGTGAAGCCTCATCAACACACCTGATAAAACATTAATAACCAGTAATGGGTCGTTTTTATTTTTTTAGAAAAAGCAAGGATTCCGGCAAATGGGCAAATTGGTCAAGTTCATTTTCTCTCACTTTCCCAGGGTTAAGTTCAGTTGTCCAAATTTCCACTGCCAGTTTATGATTTTCTTTAGAAGCCCTCGTGAACATTCAACTGCATTTGAATGCAAATTTCTCCTAATATGCCTAGCTTTTGTCTGCGATCTCTCCTTGTTGTTGTTGTTTAGTCGTTTAGTCTTGTCTGACACTTCGTGACCCCCTGGACCAGAGCACACCAGGCACTCCTGTCTTCCACTGCCTCCCTCATGTTCATAGCTTCGAGAACACTGTCCCACCATCTCGTCCTCTGTCGTCCCCTTCTCCTTGTGCCCTCCATCTTTCCCAACATCAGGGTCTTTTCCAGGGAGTCTTCTCTTCTCCTGAGGTGGCCAAAGTCTTGGAGCCTCAGCTTCAGGATCTGTCCTTCCAATGAGCACTCAGGGCTGATTTCCTTCAGAATGGATCAGTTTGATCTTCTTGCAGTCCATGGGACTCTCCAGAGTCTCCTCCAGCACCAGAATTCAAAAATATCAGTTCTTCAGCAACCAGTCTTCTTTATGGTCCAGCTCTCACCTCCATACATCACTACTGGGAAAACCATAGCTTTAACTATACGGACCTTTGTTGGCAAGGTGATGTCTCTGCTTTTTAAGATGCTGTCTAGGTTTGTCATTGCTTTTCTCCCAAGAAGCAGGCGTCTTTTAATTTCGTGACTGCTTTCACCATCTGCAGTGATCATGGAGCCCAAGAAAGTAAAATCTCTCACTGCCTCCATTTCTTCCCCTTCTATTTGCCAGGAGGTGATGGGCCCAGTGGCCATGATCTTCGTTTTTTTGATGTTGAGCTTCAGACCATATTTTGCACTGTACACAATTTTTGCAAAGCAATCTCCCCTCATAGACGCAGGCCTGAGGATTGTGTGGCTGATTGTTTTGTGGGAACACAGGGTCTGAGGGGGGAGCCAGGCTGAGGGAAAAGTTAGCAACCAGCAGGAAGCCAACTTGGCTCAGTGCAGATCCTAGGAGCTCACTACCAGACCTTGCAAACAGGGGCGTTTGCAAGGGCGTTTAGCGGGAGAGGCCAGATTTCTGTCTCTTGGTGTGTATATTGCCACACCTCAAGTGACAGGACAATAATAAATAATAGTAATAATAAATTTTTATTTATACCCCACCCTTCCTGGTTCAAAAACCCAGCTCATGGCTGCTTTAGCTGATATTCCTGCATTGCAGCGGGTTGGACTAGATGACCCCTGGGGTCCCAAACCAACAGTTCCATGATTCTAAGATGCATTTTGATACATTGTTTTCACACTTTAACCCTACGGATGCGTACATGTTATTCATACATGACTGGAGAACAGCATTGCAAAATTCAGAGAAGCGCAAATTTCCAAGGCGACGGCTGCATTTCGGTTCACGCATTGTTTCGAAAAGTGTGAATTCATGTGCAAACTGGCTCCAATATCTCCCCCATCCATCACCTTAATCAGAGAAACACCTCTTCCAAAGGAAAAAAAGGAAAACAAAAAACCCCAGTATCCTTAAGGATGTAGTGATGTGTGGAAGTGAGAGCTGGACCATAAAGAAGGCTGATCGCCAAAGAATGGATGCTTTTGAATTCTGGTGCTGGAGGAGGCTCTTGAGAGTCCCATGGACTGCAAGAAGATCAAACCTCTCCATTCTGAAGGAAATAGCCCTGAGTGCTCACTGGAAGGACAGATCCTGAAGCTGAGGCTCCAAAACTTTGGCCACCTCCTGAGAAGAGAAGACTCCCTTGAAAAGACCCTGATGTTGGGAAAGATGGAGGGCACAAGGAGAAGGGGATGACGGAGGATGAGATGGTTGGACAGTGTTCTCAAAGAGACCAGCGTGAGTTTGATCAAACTGCGGGAGGCAGTGGAAGACTGGAGGGCCTGGCGTGCTCTGGTCCAGGGGGTCACGAAGAGTTGGACACGACTAAACAACAACAACAATCCTTAAGGATCTCCCTTTCATTTTGTTGCCCCCCCCCCAAAATAGCCCCTTCTCCATCCTCCTTCTCTTCTTCCCCCCATCCACGGCCAAATGCACAACAGCAGAATTAAAATGGTGGGAAACCTAAATATCCCCTTCCCTTCCTTGTTTCCCTTGTGGGTCTGCAGAGCAGATGTTTCTCTTTGTCTGTGGGGCAAAAATTATTTATTTTTTACCCTCCTTCTGCCTCCTCCAGCCCCCACCCACCACCTGCTTTCACTTTCCAGAGTTCTTCCTTCAGTAAAATGCTTGTTGTTGCTAGTGATTTTTATTTTTATTTTTGGGGAGTGGGGTGGGGGACAGTGTGCTGGTCAGAAATGTCTGCTCCTCCCCACAGACCACCTCGTTTCCCCCCCAGTTTTGCTCATTGGATATGGGAAGTTCGGAAGGAGAAATGTGCTTCTGAGCCGACTATAGCAAGCTGACTTTCACTGTATAGTTTAGTATTATCTACACTGGCTGGCAGCAGCTGTCCAGGTTTTCAGGCAGTGGACAGCAGGTTCTCTATCCTCTGAGTTACCCCCCTTCCCTTAAAAATGAAGTTAAGATTCCAGTCCTCATGGTTCTGAGGAAAGGACAGCTTTAAACAGGAACGTAGGTAGCTGCCTTATATGGAGTCAGAACATTGGTCCATCTAGTTCAGTATTGTCTGCCCAGACTGGCAGCAGCTCTCCAGGGTTTCAGGCAGGGGGCATTATTGTCAGCTCTCCCTAGAGATGCCGAGATTCGAACCCAGGACCTTCTGCATGCATAGCAGAGTTACAGCCCCTTCCCAAAGACCCAATAAGATTCCAGTCCTCCTGATTCCCTTTTCTCCTTTTTCCAGTCTTTCGTTCGGTTTGCTACATTTCTGTCGTTTTTTGGAACAACTCCTCAAATTTTTTTGTCAGGTCTCCTAAGGTATACAGTGGTACCTCGGTTTACGAACTTAATCCATTCCAGAAGACCGTTTTTAAACCAAAACCGTTCTTAAACCGAGGCAAAGTTCTCAAACCGGGACACTACTTCCGGTTTTGCGGAGTTTGTAAACCAAATCGTTCTTAAACCGGACTGCTCTTAAACCGAGGTACCTCTGTACATTTTTTGACGCAATTTTGCCCTTACGTACAGAATTTTTTAAATTATTATTATTTAGCAATTGCGTTTTGTTTTGTTTTTTATAAATTTTTATTAACAATTTCAACATAACAATTACTTAACGTAACAACAGAATTCATTTAAAAAGAAAGGAAAAAGGAAAAAAGAGATTTTAGAAGAGATTGCAGAAAAATAGAAACAATTGTCAAAGAAAGCAAATAAGGAGTCAGTTAAACAGGCAACCAGAACACAACAAACTCAATATTCTATGATAATTAATGAGGGAATCAGCTGGAAAATGAAAAGAATGAAACAAAAATATTTTGAGCGTGCCAATAAATCAGGAAAACGGCAGCTGAAGAAAGTGAACAAAGGAACTCTATTAATAAAATTAATATAGCAATTGCATTTTGTATACCATTTTCACTAATGCAGGGAAGGCACTCTGCACATGCGCAAGGATACCCTTGCTGCCTCACAGTCTTCAGGCCTGAACTCGTACCAGCGGGCTTTTCTCTTTCGCAGCCTTTTGTTCTTTACGCGTTGGCAAAACAGCAGGTGTTTTATGCATTTGTGGGTTCCAGCTCTGCCTCTGCACAGCTTGCCTTATTTATTTGGGGGGAGGGACGGGAGACGAACACTTGCTCTTCCACCTACCTCCCTTACACCTGGTTTCCTAGCACCTGCTTAGCAAAGGAGGAGGTAAAACAGCAACACGTTCAAAGGGCAGGTGTTTCGCCTGATGTCTGAATAGGAGCTACAGTTGCTACCTTTGTTCTGGCGGGGCCTGAGGCCCTGACCATCGCAGTCACCTGTCTCTTGCGTTTCACCTGTGCCCATCCTTTCAGCTACGGTTACAGGTGTGTGAGAGCTGCTTTTTTAAAAAAAAATTGTATTGATTTTAACATATAAATTATAAAATGTACCACAAAACTTATCACTTATACCATCATTTTAGACTTCCATCAGCACCTCTGTTTTAACCACTTCTTATGCATTTCTTCAGTTTATCTTGCCTTTACATCTCTTAACAAATCATCCTTCCCCTTCTCCATTTTTGCAATACTTCCAATCATTGTAGTTGTTTAGTTGTTTAGTCGTGTCCGCCTCTCCGTGACCCCCTGGACCAGAGCACGCCAGGCCCTCCTGTCTTCCACTGCCTCCCTCATGCTGGTAGCTTCGAGAACACTGTCCCACCATCTCATCCTCTGTCGTCCCCTTCTCCTTGTGCCCTCCATCTTTCCCAGCATCAGGGTCTTTTCCAGGGAGTCTTCTCTTCTCATGAGGTGGCCAAAGTCTTGGAGCCTCAGCTTCAGGATCTGTCCTTCCAGTGAGCACTCAGGGCTGATTTCCTTCAGAATGGAGAGGTTTGATCTTCTTGCAGTCCATGGGACTCTCCAGAGTCTCCTCCAGCACCAGAATTCATAACTTCCAACCATACTCCTCACAAAACTTCTTGCAAACCTACAAACGTCGTCTGATCTTCACAAATACATTTCAAATAGTCCGTAAATTTACTCCAGTCTTCTGTGAATTTATGGTCCCGCCGGTTTCGAATCCTTCCTGTTAGTTTATCTAATTCTGCATAGTCCATTAACTTCATCCTCCATTCTTCAATCGTCGGTAATTCTTCTTGTTTCCATTTTTGGGCCAGTAATATTCTTGCTGCTGTTATTGCATATAAAAAGAGCTTATATTCCTTTCTAAGGTGTGTGAGAGCTGCTGAAGGAAATTATCTTTGGTTCCTATCCTGTGATGAGTTTATCACGTTCGCACTTTGTGAAACAATGAAGAACCATCCTTCAAAATCTATTATTATTATTGTCAGGGCAGCCCTGACAATTATTATTATTATTATTATTATTATTATTATTATTATTATTAGTTTACATACCGCCCTTCATCTCAGGGCAGCTCACAACATAAAATTACAAGAGAAAAGCACAAAATTCGTAATAAAAATAAGAACAGGACAAAACCAAAAATCCCTGCCCCTTCCCTCAACACATTTAAAAGGGCAGATTTTACAACGCCGTTCTCCAGCCAAGCAGCTTTTACACAAAAATGCATCTATTATAAAAAAGGGTGTGTCGGTGAAAATATTGAATGTATTATAAAAAATGTGTTACATGTGGGGAAATGGCTCATAGAACGGAGTGCCTTAGTCAGAGCACCCTTCAAAAATGTGTTTATTGGGAGGAAACCGCACTAAAGCTCTGGAGAGTTTTCATGAAGATTTTCTTCAGTGCAAATCGCTGCAGAAATGGGAAGAGCCGGATTTAAAGATAGGGAAAGTGAGAAACAGAAACTTGAAACTGACAGTTTTATTACACCCCAAATGTCTGTATACTGGGATTCCACAGGGACAGTGCGGAACGTGGTAGAGGCTTCAGTTTGTAAGCTTTCAACGCAGCAGGTTTTCTAGTCCCTGTGGTGCCCTCAAGTCACTGAGCTTCCATCAGCACCGCCTGATTAGACCAATGGTCAGGGATGGTGGGAGTTGTAGTCCGACAACAATTGGAGGGCATAGTGTTGGCTAGCTGTACTCCAGCCCTTCCACCAGAGAGGAGAGACTGCTGACCCACAGGTCAAAAGCAGGCACCAGAGCCTCTCCATCTGCCCCACAGGTTTGTTTGTGTAGTAGTAGTAATAATAATAATAATAATAATTTTATTTATTTATACATATATACATACATACATACATACATACATACATACCCTGCCCATCTGGCTGGGTTTCCCCAGCCACTCTGGGCTGCTTCCAACTGAATACAGTGGTACCTCTGGTTAAGTACTTAGTTGGTTCTGGAGGTCCGTTCTTAACCTGAAACTGTTCTTAACCTGAAGCACCACTTTAGCTAATGGGGCCTCCCGCTGCCGCCGCACAATTTCTATTCTCATCCTGAAGCAAAGTTCTTAACCCGAGGTACTATTTCTGGGTTAGGTAAAGGTAAAGGTACCCCTGCCCGTACGGGCCAGTCGTGTCCGACTCTAGGGTTGTGCGCTCATCTCACTCTAGAGGCCGGGAGCCAGCGCTGTCCGCAGACACTTCCGGGTCACGTGGCCAGCGTGACGAAGCTGCTCTGGCGAACCGGCACCAGAGCAGCACACGGAAACGCCGTTTACCTTCCCGCTATAAAGCGGTACCTATTTATCTACTTGCACTTAAGGGTGCTTTCGAACTGCTAGGTGGGCAGGAGCTGGGACCGAACCACGGGAGCTCACCCCGCCGCGGGGATTCGAACCACCGACCATGCAATCGGCAAGTCCTAGGCACTGAGGTTTTACCCACAGCACCACCCGCGTCCCTTATTTCTGGGTTAGTGGAGTCTGTAACCCAAAGCGTATGTAGCCCGAGGTACCGCTGTATTAAAAACAATACAGCATCAGACATTAAAAACTTCCCTAAACAGGGCTGCCTTCAGATGTCTTTTAAAGATAGGATAGCTGCTTATTTCCTTCACATCTGAAGGGAGGGCGTTCCACAGGCAGGGCGCCACCACCGAGAAGGCCCTCTGCCTGGTTCCCTGTAACCTCACATCTCGCAATGAGGGAACCGCCAGAAGGCCCTCGGCGCTGGACCTCAGTGTCCGGTCTGAACGATGGGGGTGGAGACGCTCCTTCAGGTATACTGGACCAAGGCCGTTTAGGGCTTTAAAGGTCAGCACCAACACTTTGAATTGTGCTCATGTAGGTGGCCGTGCCCATATTTATCTTGGCCGTGTGCCCTCCACTGGAATGCACCCACTCCACCCCACCTCCCACTCCCTGGAGGATTGGCTAAGAGGGCAAAGCAGCCCCCAGGCACCCCTTTCACCGAAGAAGCCTTCTGGCTCAGACCAGAAATCTTCATCTAGTCCAGTTTCCTCTTCCCCATAGTTGGCCAATCAAATGCCTCTGGGAAGCCCAAAAGCAAGAGTTTGGCAACAGCTCTTCCTAGCTCTTCCTAACTTTTTGTTTCTCCGACGATGGCTGCAGCCCCTCCCCTCCACGGTCGGAGGCAGCGATGCTTCTGAATACCCCTTGGTGGAAACCACAGGAGGGGAGAGTGCTGTTTTCGCACTCGGGTCCTGCTCAGGGTGCCCACTGGGGCCGCTGGCTGGCCCCTGTGAGTGCTGGACTAGATGGGTCCCTGGCCACATTTAGCAGGACTCTCCTTGCATTTTAATACACTTCTTTAGAGAAGGCGAGAACCGAAACCCTGTGAAATTTGCGCTTTTCCAGATTGTGATGCAGTTCTCCCGTACACACACACACACACAAAATATGAATATTGTTAGCAGGGAGCGTGCACAGAAATGCAGCTGCGAGTGAAAAATTATGACGACGCTCTATGTGAAGGGAGACCGCCTGCAAAAAAGGAAATGTATACGTTAAGCAAAACTGCATTCGGAAAAGGGCATGTGAGGAGAAAAAAAAATGCTGACTTTTTAAATTAAAAGAAGAAGCGCCAAGTGAGGCGGAAAGGTGGCGAAGCAAACTTCAGATGGGGGGGTGACAAATGGATAGAAACTGAAATTGACAAGAGTCTGTCACAGTACTGCTCACAGTACGTTGATTTCAGGATGAAAGCCATGCAAATGATAACTGGTGGCAGAATTTAACAGAGGGGGGGGAATTATTTATTTCTGTGGAACTGCAGAAATATATATATATCTGGCACCCAGGTCTGGCTTCCTTGCTTTCCATCTCCCTCCCGGTCCTCCCTTTTGTTCAGGGACTTATCTGGAAACATCTGTTATAAATATCTCCCACTTTGCTCCTGGTACGGCGGCGTCACCTGGCTGCTCGGTTGCTAGGATACCGGCGGCTCGAGAAAGCACCGTTGCCAGGTAAACACGGTCCGGGCGGCTCATGGCAGGGAAGAAGGGGGGGTGGAGAGGGGGGATGGAAAAGGGGGGCAGGTGCGCCAAGCTGTGGGTGGCTGAGCTAACAATGGCAGGGGGGTCTGCCGGGGGAAGCAGTGGCGATGCGTCTGCCTTCTGCCTTGTGGGAATGGCATCCACGTCCCAGGAGGGTTTTGCGTCTGGGTTGATATCCGCGTCTGTTTTCCTTAGGAACCGGGCAGAGAAGACGAGAGCTCTGCTTCCCCACCCCATATCTCTCCACCCCACTCAGGCCTCTTTGGGGTCAGCAGTTTTGCGGGAGGGGAGAATTCTGGGGGCTGCAGCTTCTCCCCGCAGAGTGGGGAGAGGGGTTTTTTGCTTGTCTCTCGCTCTTGCAACTCGCAGGCATCCGAGCTGAACGTTGGAAGATTTCTGAAGTATGTTTAGAAGTACGTTTCCAAGCACAGTTCAAAGTGTTGGTGCTGACCTTGAAAGCCCTAAACGGCCTCGGCCCACTATACCTGAAGGAGCGTCTCCACCGCCATCGTTCTGCCCAAACACTGAGGTCCAGCTCCGAGGGCCTTCTGGCGGTTCCTTCCCTGCAAGAAGTGAGGTTACAGGGAACCAGGCAGAGGGCCTTCTCGGTGGTGGCACCTGCCCTGTGGAACGCCCTCCCACCAGATGTAAGAGAGAAAAAGAACTACCAAACCTTTAGAAGACATCTGAAGGCAGCCCTGTTTAGGGAAGCTTTTAATGTTTAATAGGTTATTGCATTTTAGTGTTCTGTTGGAAGCCGCCCAGAGTGGCTGGGGTACAAATAATAAATTATTATTATTATTATTATTATTATTATTATTAGCGAAAACCTTTCTGTTGCCCTCAGAAGCTCTTGATTGGACCTCCTCATTAGGAACCACCAAACCGGCTTTGAAATGTCACTCGGGGTGAAATTTGGTTTTGATATGGTAGATGAAATTGTCTCCCTTGTCAAGGCGTGGGCTTAGCCCTCGTTGGCCCTGATTCACCTCAAACGGGTGGGTCTTTTCCAGGGAGTCTTCTCTTCTCATGAGGTGGCCAAAGTCTTGGAGCCTCAGCTTCAGGATCTGTCCTTCCAGTGAGCGCTCAGGGCTGATTTTCTTCAGAATGGAGAGGTTTGATCTTCTTGCAGTCCATGGGACTCTCAAGAGTCTCCTCCAGCACCAGAATTCAAAAGCATCCATTCTTCGGCGATCAGCCTTCTTTATGGTCCAGCTCTCACTTCCATACATCACTACTGGGAAAACCATAGCTTTAACAATAAGGACCTTTGTTGGCAAGGTGATGTCTCTGCTTTTTAGGATGCTGTCTAGGTTTGCCATTGCTTTTCTCCCAAGAAGCAGGCCACAACCTCTCCTTTCCAACTTTCCACTTTTGGAAGGTTGAAACAACTAGCATGACTATCACAACCAAATTAACTCATTAAAACAATAAAAGGTAAAGGGACCCCTGACCATTAGGTCCAGTCGTGTCCGACTCTGGGGTTGCGGCACTCATCTCGCTTTATTGGCCGAGGGAGCCGGCATACAGCTTCCAGGTCATGTGGCCAGCATGACTAAGCCGCTTCTGGCAAACCAGAGCAGCGCACGGAAACGCCGTTTACCTTCCCGCCGGAGCGGTACCTATTTATCTACTTGCACTTTGACGTGCTTTCGAACTGCTAGGTTGGCAGGAGCAGGGACCGAGCAACAGGAGCTCACCCCGTCGCGGGGATTCGAACTGCTGGCCTTCCGATTGGCAAGTCCTAGTATCAAAATAGTTTAAACCCAGTCAACGCAATGCTTTCATTGCTGACACAGATGGCTTACTCTATATTTCTTATAATTCCTGTTAGCAATCCCACCTGATCACTACTCTAGGCTCTGTGGTTTAACCCCCAGCTCCCCTGAGGACCATTGAAACCAGGACCATTTTATGCTAAAAAAAGAAAGAAAAAGAAATTGTGTCCCTTGTCAAGGCCTGGGCTCAGCCCTCGTTGGCCCCGATTCACCTCGAACAGCGCTCCTTGCACAAGGCCTCACTCCCCGCGCAAGAAGGTGGCGGGTGAGATTTTCGCTCTCGTTTCCCATCTCTTCGCTCCAAAGGAAGGGCACGGCACTCTCGCCTGAGATCAGAAGGCATTTATCTGGGTGCCAACTGCTCTAAGCCGGCTTCTCGGGCTCCTCCCTGCCCCCAATGCAACACGCTTTGCCTCGGCTCCGCCAGGCCTAAATCCAGGGATTATCCAGCCCAATCCCAAATCTCCTTAGATCCCAGAATGCTGTGCATGGCCGGCGCATTACCGTGGGCTGCGTTGGTGGGGGATGAGCAGCCTGCTGTTTGTTTAGTATCGGTGGCTGAGGGAGGGCGATACGCCATTCGAGGTAAATGGCTCTGGAGAGGGAGAGAGGTGACAGGTCACCTCGCTGAAAATATCCAGGGATCAAGCGATCCCAGAGCTTAAAGACCCAGCTGGATCGATTTGGAGCCTCCGTGGAAAAAAATGGGAACTGTGACGTTTGTTATTCTTTAAGGGGGACGGCAGAGGAAGGTCCAGGAGGAAATAATTCAAATATCTGTGAGGCTGCCCTTAGTCCCGGCCATCTGGACTTGCAGTGCCAGACTCTGACCGGCAGCAGACCTCTAGGCCTCCACACACCCCTCTCTTATTTCTGAGATCCTTTCATGTGGTGATCCCAAGGATCGCTAAGCAAGGTCCCAAATGTGTCTGCCTTTCTCTTTTGGGGAAGTGTTCCAACCCCACAATCCCTCCAGCTAATCATTTGGGATTTCTCTCTGAAGCAAGAAGCAGCCCTGTTTATTTGCATTATATGTATATTATAGCTGGGAACGGGTGGATCTTTCGACGTCGGATTCTCTCCGTTTCTCACTTCTCCAACTTCGCCTTCACTTCTCCTGGTTTCCACATCAGTTTGCGAATCGTAGCTCCTCGTGAGAATTCATCCGCAGTTCCGTGTGAACTTATTCTAATGCACACATTTTGGGGGGTGTGTTATGCAACTTTGCCCAAGACATGCATTTTTTGCATAGTCATCCCCTCCTCCAATGCAATACATTTTCCCATGTTCTTTTCAGCCATGTGTGTGCTTTGGTGCACATTTTGTCCTATTATATGAATTCTTGAACACATTGCCCGGCTGGAGATCTTTGGATTGCAAAATCTGGTGAAGTGTGAATTTCGAAGTTGGCAGGCAGGAAGTTGAGGTGCTTTTGGGCTCCGATCCTGTTTCCACATTTCCCAAAGGCATCTGGTCGGGCACTGTGGAGCCATTGTGCCTAATAGCTGCTAATAGCCTTATCCTCAGTGCATTTGTCTAATCCTCTTTTAAAACATTATTATTATTATTATTATTATTATTATTATTATTATTATTATTTCTATGCTGCTATATATTGCAAAGGGAAAAAAAAAACTCAAAGTGGTTTACAACACAACAAATAAAACAATCCAAAATAAATTCAAAGTTTCTAGGGAAATATTTCAGAAGCTTCTCTAAGTGCTTCCCCTGTATTTATTAACCTCCTTAATTTATATATCTGCCCCACAGCAGAAGTACTCTAGGAAGCCCATGTGGCGTAGCAGTTAGAGTGTTGTACTAGGATCTGGGAGGTCCGGGTTCAAATCCTCAGTCAGTCAGGAAGCTCACTGCATGACCGTAGAGTCGGTCATAGCCCCTTAACCAGGCATAGGCAAACTCGGCCCTCCAGCTGTTTTGGGACTACAACTCCCATCATCCCTAGCTAACAGGACCAGTGGTCAGGGATGATGGGAGTTGTAGTCCCAAAACATCTGGAGGGCTGAGTTTGCCTATGCCTGCAAGTCTTAACCTACCTCGCTGTAGGGATTAACCGAGGAAGGGAGTGAACTATTTACCCCTCGGGAGAGAAAGGTGGGATATGAGTGGATGGCCATCAATGGCCTACTGCAGCAGTGAGTTCCACAGTTTGAGCTGCTTCGCAGTACCATTTCCTGGAAGGGGAGGATGCTCTCACACTCGGGTCCCGCTTGCAGGTTCTCCCCCACCAGGCATCTGGTTCACAGGAGGCTGGACCATATGGGCCATTTGCTGTTCCAATGGATGTTCTCTTGTTGTTGTTGTTTAGTCGTTTAGTGGTGTCCGCCTCTTCGTGACCCCCTGGACCAGAGCACGCCAGGCACTCCTGTCTTCCACTGCCTCCCGCAGTTTGGTCAAACTCATGTTCATAGCTTTGAGAACACTGTCCCACCATCTCGTCCTCCGTCATTCCCTTCTCCTTGTGCCCTCCATCTTTCCCAACATCAGGGTCTTTTCCAGGGAGTCTTCTCTTCTCATGATGTGGCCAAAGTCTTGGAGCCTCAGCTTCAGGATCTGTCCTTCCAGTGAGCACTCAGGGCTGATTTCCTTCCGAATGGAGAGGTTGGATCTTCTTGCAGTCCATGGGACTCTCAAGTGTCTCCTCCAGCACCAGAATTCAAAAGCATCCATTCTTCGGCGATCAGCCTTCTTTATGGTCCAGCTCTCACTTCCATACATCACTACTGGGAAAACCATAGCTTTAACTATACGGACCTTTGTTGGCAAGGTGATGTCTCTACTTTTCCATTAATATCGATGGATCTACTCTGAGTGTGACTGGAAACAGCCCAGCCCAGTGCCATCTGTACATGCTCAGGAACATTTTGCCTTCGGATTTATTTGTTCGTTACACTTTTGGACAGGTCCGGGGGGGGGAGAACCTCAGAATAAAGTCCTACTTATTTTCTTGGGGGACGGAACTTTATGCCCAAGGAAGGATTTACACCCGTGGCAGAGAAGTGGTGTCCCTTTGGATCTCAACAGGCTCCACCTCCTTGACCATTGGACATGCTGGCCAGGGGATGTGAAAGTTGCTGTCCAATAGCATCAGGAGTGCTACAGGTTCCTAATGAGGAAATTAGTTGGAAAATAAAAAGACTGAAACAAAAATGCCAATAAATCAGGAAAACTGCTAGCGTGGCTGTTGAAGAAAAGCGAACAAAGAAACTCCATAAACAAAATTAATATAAATGGAAGGTTAGTGTGTCTCTTACTAGCAGATTCCTTCCTTCCCACCCATCCACCTGCCCCAAATCTCCCTCTGTTTTGCTTCTGGGAATAAAGGGTGGAATAATGCACACGTCTTGCTAGAAAGGGAACGTGTCGCATGCCAGCTACAGATGGCCAAAGAAAATTAAACCTGTGTCTCCATGTGGGTAATCTGCGCCTTAATCTCCCCCACGGAGGCACCGGCAGGAGGGGGGGTCTCCAAGCAGCGGAGACAACTGTGGGGGGACGATGACGGACTTTCATTTTCTTCCCTTCTATGTGGGTTTGGCTCAATAAATCTGGAGTCTGCCCTGTCCAGGAACCAGAATTCAGGACTTGCAGGAACCTTCAGTGCTCACTTTGAAACCTGCTTGAAAACCTTTCTGACTAGGCCAACGCCGGCTGTCAAGAATACACCATTCCGAAATGTTGTATGTTTTAAAGTTCTTTTTTAGGGTTTCTAATTTATGGGGGTTTTTTTGTTTTGTTTTATAGCTGTAAACTGGTTTGGTACTTTTTGTGACACAGCTGTACATACCGTATTTTTCGCTCTATAGGATGCACCAGACCATAGGAGGGGAAGAATAGGGGGGGGACTTTTTTTCTTGTTCTCCCCCTCAAAAACAAGGTGCGTTCAAGAGCAGGTCGGGGAACAGGGCAAAGCCTTGCCGCTGCCCCCCAAGCTTGTGGGGCTGGCGATGGGGGAAGCGCTGCTTTCCCCCACTGCCAGCCTCAAAGATCCCTGAAGCCTTTGGAGCGCAGCTGCGCTCCAAAGGCTTGAGGCTTTGGGGACATCCTTTGTAGCCTCCGCAGGGCGGTGGGGTGAAGGAACCCCACCGCCCTGCGGAGGCTTTGCACAGCCATCCCGAATCTGGAGCACGCCGGGCTCCCCAGGCTTGCGGATAGCTTCCTGAAGCCCGGAACGCGAGAGGAGTCAGTGCGCACCGACCCCTCTCGCTCTCCGGGCTTCAGCAAAAGCCTGCATTCACTCCATAGAACGCACACACTTTCCCCCTTCATTTTTGGAGGGGGGAAAGTGCGTCCTATAGAGCGAAAAATACGGTACATACTTTCAGACATTAATTATAAAAATAAGTAGTATTTCAAAGAGGAAATTTCCACGGGTGCATGGATGTAACATATCTTCAGACATGATTGTGGCCCCCGCCCCCCAAAAAGTATTTTTTTTTTTTACACAATGCTCTAAAACACATGTTTTAGAGCACTATGCAAGATCGCTTAATCTGGCCCTGAGTAGGCACCTAACTTATTCAATACCATGAGGGCTAGCTGCTTGATTTTTTTTCCTTTCAAGGGAAGAACAATAGCTTCATTCCAAGGGGTAGATAGATCACTGCCAGTTTTTTTATAGTGGGAGTAGATCGCAGTCAAACGTGGGTTAAATCACAGAGCTTAGGACTTGCTGATCAGAAGGTCAGCAGTTCGAATCCCCGCGACGAGGTGAGCTCCTGTTGCTCGGTCCCTGCTCCTGCCCACCTAGCAGTTCAAAAGCACGTCAAAGTCCAAGTAGATAAATAGGTACCGCTCCGGCGGGAAGGTAAACTGCGTTTCCGTGCGCTGCTCTGGTTCGCCAGAAGCGGCTTAGTCCTGCTGGCCACATGACCCGGAAGCTGTACGCTGGCTCCCTCGGCCAATAAAGCGAGATGAGCGCTGGAACCCCAGTCGGCCACGACTGGACCTAACGGTCAGGGGTCCCTTTTACCTTTAGATCGCAGTCTCTTGGGAGTTGGACATGCCTCGTGTAGACCATACTGAGGCACACGGATCGAGGGTTTGGTTCGGTACATGGTTGTTGTTGTTGTTTTTAGTCGTGTCTGCCTCTTCGTGACCCCATGGCCCAGAGCACGCCAGGCCCTCCTGTCTTCCACAGTTTGGTCAAACTCATGCTGGTAGCTTTGAGAACATTGTCCAACCATCTTGTCCTCTGTCGTCCCCTCCTCCTTGCGCCCTCCATCTTTCCCAACATCAGGGTCTTTTCCAGGGAGTCTTGTCTTCTCCTCGTTACATGGTACCTTCCTGTATTCTTCTGTTCACACACAGACACACACTCGCCTCTCCTGAGTACCAAACAGAGCTTCAGCATCCTTGACATTTCCCTGAGCCCCTCGTGGCTCTTAGCTCCTGCTGTCTTTTGTCAAGTCCCCTGGCTGCTGCGCTTGCCAGCGATGGGGCAAGAGCTTTTGGCTCTTGGCCAAACGCAGCAAGGGCCCGTTTTATTTGCCCATCGCATCCTGCCCAACTGCAAGCAGCGAGACCACCTCCCAGGATTCCGCCTTCAACTGCTGGTTCACCCAGCAAAGGCTTTGCAAAGTCTCCGGTTGCGGGGAACATTTACTGATCCTGCTTTTAACACCACCAGGGACCGAACCTGGGACCTTCTAGACGCGAGTTGCTGTTTGTTGGGCTCCCAAGAGCAGGGGTCAGCAAACTTTTTCAGCAGGGGGCCGGTCCACTGTCCCTCAGACCTTGTCGGGGGCCGGACTATATTTTGAAGAAAAGAAAAGAACGAATTCCTATGCCCCACAAATAACCCAGAGATGCATTTTAAATAAAAAGACACATTCTACTCATGTAAAAACACGCTGATTCCCGGACCGTCCACAGGCCGGATTTAGAAGGTGATTGGGCCGTTTGAATCAACATTCACAAATTCTTTATTGGTAATATACAGATAGATAAACTGAGGATCTTTACAATTTTGTAACATGCAGACAATTTTTTTTTTCTTTTTTAGGGGGAAATGGGGGGGAAATGTGAATGATGTATTTTTGTTGAAATTCTTATGTTGGAATGCCTAATAAAAATATTTTTAAAAATAAAAATAGAAGGCGACTGGGCTGGATCCGGCCTCCAGGCGCTAGGAGCTGGCCCCACAGCAGGGACCCCCTTGCTCAGTCATTAGGGCCCCTCTGCTCCACCCCAGAGGGGGCTGCATGCGAACCCCTCAGCTCGGCTCCTGTTTCCCCCAAACCGGGGCTGTCGCGCTTCGCCACGGCACCGCCGCGCTATTCCCCAAATCAGCAAAACAAACCCAGGGCTGTGGAACAGCGTCTCCCATGGGGCTGGGGATTCTCCTATAGGGCCCACACTTCTGCCACACCGTGTCATCTGCACACACAACAGGACTGGTGGGTGGAAGCTGGCTTTGCCCGATCAAAACTTGCGTGGCGTATCAGCACGGATAAAAACCAAATGGGGGGGGTTTGGCGGGGTGGAGCGGAGGCTTAGGAGCAAATTGTTTTTGCGAGCTGATCTCTCCCGATTTTTGTGAAACACAAACAAACCGACCCACGCACACACATCATCTTCTGCAAATACCTTGCCGGTTCACCTTTTGTTATGAACATTTCCTTCCTCTCCCCCCCCCAACCCAAAAAAACACACACCTTTCCTTCCCACCCCCTTCTATTCTCTCCTTTTCCTTTGCCAAAGTCTCCAGGTCATTGTTTATAGAGATAAGTTATGATGTCAGCGCATGTTCCCATGGCAACCCAATGGGTAAATTGGAGATGAGTGGGTGGTTACCATGGAGTATATTCTTCCGTTGCCATCGTTACAAAGCACCTGCTCCCTCTTTCTTTCTTTCTTTCTTTCTTTCTTTCTTTCTTTCTTTCTTTCTCTCCTGTCCCCCTCCACTCGTGATTTCGATAGCATAAATGACTGGCGGTTGGGGGGTGGGTGGGGGGAGGTGGTATCAGCAATTTCCTGATGCGATCCTTTCTGGAATCATCCACATCTGAGGGAACGGCGTCGGGAATGAATACACAGGACGGAACCCTTTGCCCCGGTAAAAACGGGATACGGTCCTGTGTTGGGTTGAATCGGAAGGAAAGGGCCAAGATTTTAAAAAATAAAATAAAATACGCTGTGAATGCTAATGGAAATGGGGTGGTTTGTTCCAAAAAAAAAACACCATGCACATTGATGAGTTCATATCTGACACCACCCCTCAGAGCCAATCCCTCTCTTGAAATTTGGCTTGCAGCTGAAATAAATGCTAATTTTTCACCAGTTTTTATCAGCTTCACCCCTCCCCTCTGTTCAGTTTTCGAATGGGAGCTGCTTTTGGCAAGGACTTCTCCTCTTGTATTGAAATTAATGCATATTCTTTCTGAGATTTCTTTCTTTCTTTCTTTCTTTCTTTCTTTCTTTCTTTCTTTCTTTCTTTCTTCCCCTTCCACTATTTCCCTTTCTGATGTCAAGTTTTAGCTTCCCTCTTTCCCATTATTTCTTACCACCTCTACGGGTCCAACATCAGCCCTACCTAGAGTAGACCCATTGAAGTTGAATAACGGTTTCTGGTTCCCCGGAATGGTTTAAAATCAATGGACAAGACAGGGCCTATCATTAGACAGGGAGTCACTAGAAATGAATGGGCCTAAGACAGGCCATATTCACAGCCTACATCAGGCATAGGCAAACTCAACCCTCCAGATGTTTTGAGACTACAGTTCCCATCATCCCTGACCACTGGTCCTGTTAGCAAGGGATGATGGGAGTTGTAGTCCAAAAACATCTGGAGGGCTGAGTTTGCCTATGCCTGCCCTACATTTAAAGCGCTTTGATACCACTTTAAACAGCCGCGGTGTCTCCCAAGGAATTCTGGGAAATGTAGTTTGTTAGGAGTGCTGGTGAGAGTTGCTAGGAGAGCTCACAGAACTGTAATTCTCAGAGTGGTTTAACAGCTATTTCCTCTTCACAGGGAATTCAGGAAACAGCAGCCCCAAGTGGGGAATGGGGGGAATCGCCTACTGCCTCTCAGTGCCCTTAACAAACTACATCTCCCAGAATTCTTTGGGGGAAGCCAAGACTGTTCTTAAAGCAGCGTCATAGTGCTTTAGATGTATGGTCAATTAATTAATTTCCATGGGCCTGTTTTGAGCAGAACTTGAGTTGCTTGCCATCCTATAGAACTACTGTTATTAAGTAGTAGTAATTAACAACGAATTGGGCAGTTAGCTGGCTGGGGGGCTGATGAGCGTTTCAGTCCAAAACATCTTTATTATTTTCAACGGTGATGATGATGGAAATAATAAAGATGTTTTCGACTGAAACTCCCGCCAGCCCCCAGCCAGCTTAACTGCTTGTCAGCTCCTAGTTTAAATGTCAGTACTGAAAAATATAGTTTTTAAATACTCTTTGGCTCGTCCCGCAAGCAGGAGTAATTAGCAATCGAGCGATGGATTAGATGTGTCCCTTTGGGACCCCTGTAACATGTTTGAAGGATGGGCAGAGAGAGCCTTCCTTAACCCGGACTGCAAAAACAATGGGTTGCTTGCTCTTAAAAGGCCTCGTTTGCTACTCCTTTAATTCTCACAACGATCTTGCAAGGTAGGTTAACCTGAGAATGAATGGATATGCCTAAGCTGGGCCCATTCATTCCAATGGGTCTACCCAACCCATTAGCTGCAAATCCTAAAACTATAACCCTTGCATTAAAATTGTGACACAGAGGGGTTTGTAACCCACAAATAGTCTCTAGGCAGAGATGTATATTCTCTTTAGGGATGGGGAATCTTGCAGACCTGAGTTGAATAAATGCAACACTTGTTGTTGTTGTTATTGTTTAGTCGTTGAGTCGTGTCCACCTCTTCATGACCCCCTGAACCAGAGCACGCCAGGCACTTCTGTCTTCCACTGCCTCCTGCAGTTTGGTCAAACTCATGCTGGTAGCTTCGAGAACACTGTCCCACCATCTCGTCCTCTGTCGTCCCCTTCTCCTTGGGCCCTCCATCTTTCCCATCATCAGGGTCTTTTCCAGGGTCTCTTCTCATGAGGTGGCCAAAGTCTTGGAGCCTCAGCTTCAGGATCTGTCCTTCCAGTGAGCACTCAGGGCTGATTTCCTTCAGAATGGAGAGGTTTGTTCTTCTTGCAGTCCATGGGACTCTCAAGAGTCTCCTCCAGCACCAGAATTCAAAAGCATCCATTCTTCGGCGATCAGCCTTCTTGATGATCCAGCTCTCACTTCCATGCATCCCGACTGGGAAAACCATAGCTTTAACTATATGGACCTTTGTTGGCAAGGTGATGTCTCTATGGACAAAGACAACAGGCATATAAATGCAACACACACATACACACACACACAAATACACACACCAGCAAGAGGCATTTTATTTTCTCCCTGCTCCACCTCATCAAAGTCCCAATGAAAGGACCGTACGCCTGCCTCTCTCTCGCTTTAATTCCCGGTGGTGACTCTGTCCTCCTGTTCTGATTTTAAGTGGCAGGAACACAGCAGGAGGAGGAAGGGGGAAATAAAAACTGGGAGTGGTGCATTATTGGTGAGGAATAATAATAATAATAGAAAGAGCTCCCATCCCCAACTACTTGGCTGCGCCGGTTGCTGTGGCAACGAGAGGCAAAGGAGACGATGAGGAAGAATGGTACCCCGGCCTCGGGCGCCATGGCAACCAGATCCCAATCCCTGCGAGCAGCTTTAGGGGGTGGTTTGTGAGGATGGGGAGGAGAGGGGAGTTCGTTCCTCCGCCCCAGTGCGAAGGGAACCATCTTATAAGGCCAGGGCTGGTGTTGTCCCTGAAACACAGTGGCCTTTTGGGGTTGCCAAAATCCAGCTTCTTTAAATCCCGGGCTGTCCCTGGCAAATAGGGACATTTGGAGGGTCACACCCTATCAGGGTTTCAGCCCTCCATGGGGAGGGAAAGGCACTCTGCACATGATCAGAGGGCCTGCCCTTTGCTGGTGGTCAGCAGTTGTCAAGGAACGATGGTCTCATTTGGGCTCGTTACGTTGGTGATCCACAAACGAGAATTAAAACACGAGTTTCTGTGTCTCGGCCCTACTCAGACCCATGGCGACATATCCGGGTGCGTGTCGTAAAATCTCCCTGCGTTGCCTTAGCTGGCTGCGCTGCGTACCCAGCACACCCCACTTTTGCCGCAGGCTGCCCCTATTTGATCGTCAGAGCCCCCGTCCGCAGTACATTAGTGATAGCCATCGATCAGCGGGTCAATTAGTAGAGCGTTCATTACGCTGATCGCTCAGTTTGGAGCACACACACCCCCAACTTCAGCGCCGGAGGGCGAGGAGGGGGGCGAGAGAGGTGGTTGGAGGTCAGTGGAATCTAGTGGTGGAACAGCGAAGAGAGTTGGGATTATTATTATTATTATTATTATTATTATTATTATTATTATTAAAAAGTTTTATCCAACCTTTCTTCTGAAAAGGAACCCATCTCCACCACAAAGCCAGTGTGCTTAGAGCGCTGGACTAGTCCCTGCCTGGGAGAGACCAGGGTTCGAATTGCCACAGAGCCAAGAAGCTCACTTGGGCCAGTCACTGCCTCTCAGCCTAACCTACATCGCAAGGTTGTTTTGTAGGGATAAAATGGAGAGCTGGGAGGACCTTGAGCTCCTTGGAAGAAAGGGTGGGAAATAAATGCAATCCATAAGTGAAATTGTTCTCATTGCGGCGACGGGGTGGGAAGGAATGAGCCCCTGCGTACAAGGCTCTTGTCTACACTTGCAGACTTAAATCTGGTTTAGTCGCACAATCCCTCTTTGCAGGGAATCTGCTGTTTTTTGGGGTGGGGAGGGATGGTTCGGGCATCTCTGTTGCTCACCAATCTTCTCTATTGCTGCACCTCACGAGTGAGGAACTTGGCATCCTCTCCTTCTTGCACCTCCCGCTATCGATTCTTATTTATATTTATAGTTGAATTCAATACGCTGCTGGGTCTTGGGCCATCAAGGTACACTCCCAGCGTCTTGGAATCAATAATTAAAAAACCCTATTAACCGTTCCATAATAAGAAAGGAAGAAGGTTCCCCCTTTATGATCTTTAGAGAAGGAAGCACACCTGGGACTTCAAGAAATTCTGCACCACAGATTTATTTATACCAGTTGCAGCTTCCTTCCCCCGCAAAGCAGAGAATCCAGGGAACTATAAATGTTGGCTCTAAGCACGCCATGCATTTAAAGTATGTTGCTCCCTCAAAAGACTCCTGGGAACTTTAGTTTGCCCCTAACAGACCTAGAATCTCCAGCACCCATAAACTACAGTTCCCAATTTCTTGAGGGTGTTTATAATAGCTTTCCCTCCTTCCCACCATCCTTTGTCCTCAGTATCTGGTTTTCACAAGTAGATCCTTTCTGAGCTGGGGGGGTACTTTTCAGATATTTGCCAGCTAGTAGCTGTTAACAAAGGTCCGTATAGTTCAAGCTCTGGTTTTCCCAGTCGTGATGTATGGAAGTGAGAGCTGGACCATCAAGAAGGCTGATCGCCGAAGAATGGATGCTTTTGAATTCTGGTGCTGGAGCAGATTCTTGAGAGTCCCGTGGACTGCAAGAAGATCAAACCTCTCCATTCTGAAGGAAATCAGCCCTGAGTGCTCCCTGGAAGGACAGATCCTGAAGCAGAGGCTCCAAGACTTTGGCCACCTCAGGAGAAGAGAAGACTCCCTGGAAAAGACCCTGATGTTGGGAAAGATGGAGGGCACAAGGAGAAGGGGACGACAGAGGACGAGATGGTTGGATGGTGTTCTCGAAGCTACCAGCATGAGTTTGGCCAAACTGCGGGAGGCAGTGGAAGACAGGAGTGCCTGGTGTGCTCTGGTCCAGGGGGTCATGAAGAGGCGGACACGACTAAACGACTAAACAACAATAACAAGCTGTTAGCAGACCCATAGATTAGTCTAATGCTCTCCTAAAGGATTCCAAGGCAGTGTTCCTTGCTATATCATGTGGCAGGGAGTTCCATAAGAATGTGTTGGGTGAAGAAATCAAATCCTTTGGTTCCCTACTTAATTTCCTACCCATCAGTTTTGTCAGGTGACTCTGAGTTCTAGTGTCATGGGTGAGGATGGGAATGAAATCAGTCTTCAGGCTTGCAGTCTGAAAGATGTGATAAATCAAGGGGGAAAGAAAGCAAAGTCGGCTGCCGGTTCTTAAATAATTTTTAGGATGACCAGCTGGAATGGAAATGGTTCAAGAAGAGGCAGAGTTCCTCGCCTTCTGCTACAGCCTCCACTTTCTCTACACTGGGCATAACTTCATAAAAGCCTGTTTGGCCTGCGCACCCCGTCCCCAGAGTAGGGAATGGATGGATCTGCCCATTTCAGTTTTTCTCCATTTCCTTATCTTAAATTCCTTATCTCCACATTTCTGCTGCAATTTGTGAATTAGAAAAATAAAAACAAATCCTCGCGAACATTTCAGTGTGAATTCTCTCCTGCACATTTTCTTACGCCGTTTTGCTTAACATGCACATTTTTTTTTGCAATGCGATTTCCCTCTGTATAATGTATTTTTAAATGCTGTTTCCAACAATATAGGCAGCTTTTTTGCACACTTTGCCCAGTATGTATATTTGTATGTTTTGTTTCGTAAACAATACCCTGCTGGAGAACAGCAGTGCAAAATTCGGGGAGTGAAAATTTCAACTGATGGCCATTTTGTTGTTGTTGCTCATGCATTGTTTTGGAACGTGCAAATTAAGTAGAATTCGCCTTTAGATGTGACCTCAATTGAATTTCTCTCTCAGATCCATCCACATTTTAAAAGCCCCAAATACTTTCATCTCTCCTGGGAGAGGAGATCCTCTGCCCCTGTTTTCCTCACCCTTTCTCCGTGTTTATTCCAGCTCCACGAAATCCTCTTATTTTATTTTATTTTCTGAGATTGAGCAGCTAGAGCATGAAAAACGAGTGTTATATCACTGACGTCCTCACGGCAGCTTGGGCAAAAGCACCACGGCGGCTCACGAGAAAGCCCATCCGCCCAGGAGCTCGGATTCGCTCACAGAAGGCTCACCAGAGAAAGATGCATTCTGAACGGTCAGCTGCAAACCTCGACAAAATCAAGCTCCGTCGAGAAGGAGTCCCATAATCTGGCGCCACTTCTCTGCGCCCTATTTTTGGTCCAGGATTACCTCATTAGGAGAGGCCGTCTGCACCTGTGGCGCACACAATGCCACCAATTTATCTTATTTCACAGGCAGGGGGAAGCGCGCTTTGTAATAAATAACTCACATTCTGGCTTTGGGAGGATTTTTTTAAGGAAAAAGGAAAACCCAATGTTGCGGCCTGAATTTGACTCCGAAGCATCAAGAACTGAAAAGGATTCACTCTACATGAGGCCGTGTGGGTTGTTGCATCCTGGAAAAGCTGAATTTTCTGAACTGCTTCCAAGGGCAGCACCATGTACAGGGCATTGTAGTAGTCAAGAGCATGAGACCTAAGTCCTTAACTTTTGGAAAACACAACCACAATCAGTATCTGAGTGTCTCAACAGCACAATCCTATCCGGTCTTGAAAGACCTACATTGGCTCCCAGTATGCTTCTGGGCACAATTCAAAGTGTTGGTGCTGACCTTGAAAGCCCTAAACGGCCTTGGTCCAGTATACCTGAAGGAGCGTCTCCGCCCCGGACGCCAGGGTCCCTCTCCCGAGGGTCTTCTGGCGGTTCCCTCCCTGTAAGAAGCCAAGTTACAGGGAACCAGGCAGAGGGCCTTCTCAGTGGTGGCACCCGCCCTGTGAAACGCCCTCCCATCAGATGTCAAGAGAATAAACAACTACCAGACTTTCAGAAGACACTTGAAGGCAGCCGTGTTTAGGGAAGCTTTTAATGTTTGATGCATTACTGCATTTTAATATTTTGTTGGAAGCCGCCCAGAGTGGCTGGGGAAGCCCAGCCAGATGGGCGGCGTATAAATTATTATTATTATTATTAATAATATTATTATTATCCGTGTTCACTCCGAAGTAAATCTCACTGCGCTTGTTGCCAGGATTGCATGCATATAATTGTCATAGAAGTATCAAGTTGGAAGGGACCCGCCGCAATGAAGGAATCATCACTCTTAAGGATTTTAAAGGATGATGTGTTTACAGTGGTGCCTCGCAAGACGAAATTAATTCGTTCCGCGAGTTTTTTTGTCTAGCGAATTTTTCATCTTGCGAAGCACGAAATCCCATAGGAATGCATTGAAATTCAATTAATGCGTTCCTATGGTCAAAAAAAGTCCAAAGCAAGCCAAATTTGGTACAACAAGAGTTTATTAAGTGCTCTTTAAAGTCACACATACTGTAAAGAGCATTTCAAAAATTGAAGGAACAATAAATTAAGTTTCTAAACATGACAGAAAAACATTTAAAAATCAACAAAGTGTACAGTACGTTTTCTAAGACTCTGGGGGACAACTCGAAGAAGGTTCCTCTTCCACTCTTTGCTTCTTGCTGAAGAACCTGTCCATGGTCTGCTGCTTTATCCGCTTTTTCAGCACCTCCCTGAAAGGCGACATGACCCTCGTATCAAAAGAGTTCGCAAGGTCATGTGCCACGTGCTTGTCAGGGTGGTGCCGCTGTGCAAAAGACTGCACATCCTTCCACTTCAGGCAAACCCCTCCCCAACTGTTGCAAACCCCTCCCCAACTGTTCCCCCAGTCACCCACCGCACAGAAATTCAAACCCAGAATTTTTTTTAAAAAAAACAGCAGAGTGGCCCAATGGTCACAGAAAATCATAAAAATGCAGAAAAAAACCACACAAGCTTCCACATTCTTGCAAACCCTCCCCAACTGTTCCCCAGCCACCCACCACACAGAAATTCAAATCCAGAAATTTTTTAAAAAAACAGCAGAGTGGCCCAATGGTCACAGAAAATCATAAAAATGCAGAAAAAAACACACAAGCTTCCAGATTCTTGCAAACCCCTCCCCAACACCAAGTCCTTGAATTCCAAACACCCCAACCAAAAAACCCAAAAAAAGTTTTAAAAGTTTAACTTACCAAATGGCTGCAAAAGAAGTTTCGGAAAAGCTTCAAAAATCACAAAAGTCTTCAAAAACCTCAAAAAAGGCTACCACACTGTGTGCTATGAGTTGCTCCTCGAAGTCAAGTCGCAACTGCACCTCTTCAAGCAATGCACCCTGGGTATTAATGGTTTTACGAAAAAGGAAACAAACTTGCAAGACGTTTTCGTCTTGCGAAGCAAGCCCATAGGGAAATTCGTCTTGCGAAGCACCTCGAAAAACCCTTTCGTCTAGCGAGTTTTTCGTCTTGCGAGGCATTCGTCTTGCGGGGCACCACTGTATTGTGGGGTGACTGTTAGCTTGTTTGAAACGGCATGATCCCAAACATTTAATGTTTTCAAGCTGTTTTTGGTCTTGCGTATTATTTGCTGGTTTACATTAAGAAGCTTCCTGATACCAGATGGGACCTTTTGTCTGTCAAACTCAGGACTGCCGTCACGGACTGGCAGTGCCCGGGTGGTGGATAGACACAAAGATCCCTTGCTCTGGCAAAGGAGTGAGGTGCTGCTGGAGCTCTCAAGATGGTCTGTCTGGCAGATTAGCATGTGGGAAGCCAGAGGAAAAAAGTACCGTATTTTTCGCTCCATAAGATGCACTTTTCCCCTCCTAAAAAGTAAGGGGAAATGTGTGTGCGTCTTATGGAGCGAATGCAGGGGGGAGGCAGGCAGGAAAAGCCCCCAAGAGCTGCACACAAGCTCCACACGGCTCTTGCGGGCTTTTCAGGAGGGAGAAGGGACCGACGCGACCAGTCAGTCCCCTCTTCCTCCTCGTAGAAAAGCCCGCAGGAGCCGCGCGCTCCTTAAAGGGTGTGCGGCTCCTGTGGGCTTTTGCGGGAGGTGGGGGTATTGCCATAGCCGCACGCAGCCTCTCCCGGCCGGACGGGCTGAGCGCGGCTAAAGAGGAAGCCAAGGCAGCGAGCGCGATCCATCCTGCTCACTGTCTTGGCTTCTGCCTCTCCAGCCGGGAGAGGCTGCATACGGCTTAAGGGGAAGCCAAGACAGCCAGAGGGATGGATCCCGCTCACTGTCTTGGCTTCTTTGCTCTTTGGGGCTGGGGGGGAAACCCAGCTTCCCCTGGCAGCCCCAAGAAGTGCTGGGGCTGGGGGGGAAATAATATTTTTCTTCTTGATTTCCCCCTCTAAAAACTAGGTGCGTCTTGTGGTCTGGTGCGTCCTATAGAGCAAAAAATACGGTAAACAGAGGCTAGCTACGTCTTTCCTTTTCTTTGCTGGGGTTCCTGCTTCATGCCGGTAGCTTGAACGTTCAACCTCCTTGCACTTTGTTTGATACAAAGGCTGCCATGTTGCCCTCCTTCTGCACTTCACAATGCCCCACTATGCCACTAATAGAACACCTGCTTTGAATGCAGAAGGTCTCAGGTTCAACCCCCCTGAAGAGCTGTTGCCAGCCAGTGCAGGCCATATTGAGCAAGATGGCCCAGTCAAATGTCTCTTCCGGTGTTGCTATCTAAGTCCTTCCTTTTTCGGAACCATGGGGACTAGAACCTTTGATTTTGAAGGAAAGAGCTGCGGCTCAGTGGCAGGGCACCCAGTTTGTGCGCAGAAGGTCCTAGGCATCTCCCATTAGGTCCGGGAATGGCTCTTGAGTCTGAAACCCTGGACAGCAGCTGCCGGTCAGAGTGGGCTATACTGAGCTCAATGACCCACTAGATTGATGGTGAGCTTGCCACCACAGCAGCAGCTTCAGGGAGGCAAGATGGAGCCTTGCCGACAAGCCCTTGCCAGCGAAATCTCCCTTTCTCTCTCTCTCCTTTCCCTGTTCCCGGGCCTTTCCAGGGCCTCGTCCGCCTCCGCAAGGCCTGCTTTCCTTTAATGTGATTACAACTGCTTTTACAGAAAAAAGGCCCCAGCTGCCTGCTGGGATAATCTAGCTCTTTCTAATCCCGAAGGCTGGGGAGAGTGCTCTCCATCAGGGACTTAACCCTCCCTAGGCTGCCTGGGGCTTTGTGTGCGCGCAATTTCCTTTGTAAAACAAGGGCAGTGTGGCATAGTGGTTAGAGTGTCAGGCTAAGACCTGGGAGACCAGGCCTCAAATCCTTACTCAACCTTGGACAATCTCTTCCAGCCAAATCTACCCCGCAGGGTCGTTGTGCGAGGGGGGGAGAGAGAGAGAGCCGTGCATCTTTTTATTTCTTTATACGACCCATAGCACATATACAGTGTCCATGTGCTGCGGCATTTGGGGTTCTTGTGGCTAGGATCTGGGGGCGCCAGGCTTCTGATCCTCACCCAAAGGTCGACATCACACCTTTAAAAGCATGGTTATATAATCTTCCCCCCCCAAAAAAAAATATTCATTTTATAACACAAATAAAGAACACACACACAAAAAAAATACACACCAATTCTTGTCATAACCTTATTTTTCTAAACATTGTTAAGTGGGCTTCCCCAGGTCCCACCTATCTGATTTTCATCTTACTTCATCTTTAGCAGTTTACATATATCATAGTTTCTAACCATCTTTTTTTTATCACACTTAAAATAACTTCACATTTTATCACTTGCAAATAATACTGTTTTAAAACACGCTATCTTCTACTTCTAACCCTACAGCCTATATCCACTTCCAAAGCTATTCAACGATTTAAATATTAACATATTTTTTTCAAATATTCCTTAAACCTCTTCCAGTCTTCTTCCACCGTCTCTTCTCTCTGGTCTCGGAGTCTCCCCGTCAGTTCGGCAAGTTCCATATAGTCCGTCATCTTCATCTGCCATTAAAACACAGTTATATAATCTTAAAACAGTCGTGGGAGAATCCCGGGAACTGTAGTTTGAAGGCGCTGAGAGTTGCTAGGAGACCCTCGATTCCCCTCCCGGAGGAACTACAATTCCCAGAGTGGTTTAGCAACCAGCCCCTCTTCCCGGGGAACTGTGGGGAAATTGTAACTCTATGGAGGGGTCTCTCAGCACCCATCGCAAACTGCAGTTCCCAGAACTCCCTGGCTATTTAAAAATGGCATGGCGAAGGTCTGCGAGTGTGACCCCGGGCTCTTAGCCTAAAGCTATCTTGCAAGGTTGTCGCAAGGATGCAATGGGGAGACATAGCTGTCAAATTACAGATTTGAAAATAAGGGACCAGCAGCCTCGAAAATAAGGGATCAGCAGCCAAAATAAGGGGTTAACAATTACTTTGATAAAATACATATTTTGTCGCGTGCCAATGGCTTTAGATACCTATTAGGTCCATAAATTACCATATAGCATATATTCAACACAAAAAAACAGCAACAATTTGTTGTTGACAAAGGACAGCTGGACATAGAAAGGGCCCCATTACCTTCAGTAGCTTATTTAAGGGACATCATCAATAAGGGACAGCAGCGGGACATGGCGCTGGGATAATGGACTGTCCCGCCAAATAAGGGACACTTGACAGCTATGTGGGGAGATTTTTTTGGGGGGGTGATGAATGCCCCCTTGAACTCCTTGCAGGAAAGGAGCGATACAAAAGTGGAATGAAACAGCAATGGTTTTAAAACGCTGTGCTTCTAAGAAACTGGAGTTGCACCTGCCCCAGTATTGCATTTCCTAATTTCTAGCCCCAGGTGTGGGAAGCAGGCAGGAGGGGGACATGTGCAGAAGTTGCCAGCTCTCATCATCACTTTAGCCAGGATGGCAAACACTCAGGGGAGAGGATGGGAGTTGTAGTCTATCAAGGTCCTGTGTGAGTGCCTGGCGGAGATTGCAGGATGGATGGCGGCTAACAGATTGAGGTTGAATCCTGACAAGACAGAAGTACTGTTTTGGGGGGACGGGGGAGGGAGGGTGTGGAGGACTCCCTGGTCCTGAATGGGGTCACTGTGCCCCTGAAGGACCAGGTGTGCAGCCTGGGAGTGATTTTGGACTCACAGCTGTCCAAGGAGGCGCAGGTCAGTTCTGTGTCCAGGGCAGCTGTCTACCAGCTCCATCTGGTACGCAGGATGAGACCCTACCTGCCCACAGACCGTCTCGCCAGAGTGATGCATGCTTTGGTTATCTCCCACTTGGACTACTGCAATGCGCTCTACGTGGGGCTACCTTTGAAGGTGACCTGGAAACTACAACTAATCCAGAATGCGGCAGCTAGACTGGGGACTGGGAGCAGCTGCCGAGACCACATAACACCGGTCTTGAAAGACCTACACTGGCTCCCAGTACATTTCCGAGCACAATTCAAAGTGTTGGTGTTGACATTTAAAGCCCTAAATGGCTTCGGTCCAGTATCCCCGAAGGAGCGTCTCCACCCCCATCGTCCAGCCCGGACACTGAAGTCCATCGCCGAGGGCCTTCTGGAGGTTCCCTCCCTGTGAGAAATGAGGTTACAGGGAACCAGGCAGAGGGCCTTCTCAGTGGTGGCGCCTGCCCTGTGGAACACCCTCCCACCAGATGTCAAGGCAATAAACAACTATTTTACTTTTAAAAGACACCTGAAGGCGGCCCTGTTTAGCTAAGTTTTTAATGTCTGATGCTGTATTGTTTTTTATATTTGGTTGGAAGCCGCCCAGAGTGGCTGGGGAAACCCAGCCAGATGGGCAGGGTATAAATAATAAATGATGATGATGATGATGTTGGCCTTTGCCCCACCTCACACCTCTGGGTCTGGATCCACAGCCTCTGTCTCCTTCTCGTTCCAGATGAACCGACCAATCCAGGTGAAGCCAGCGGACAGCGAAAGCAGAGGAGGTAGAGTCTCCCTCTGGGGTTCTGGGGTGTTGGGCGGTTCAGAGAGCAGCTTGCCTGCTCACCTGGTGTCTTTTGAGGAGCTGGCCTCCAATTTCTGGACAGGTTTGATTCCCTTAATAATACAACGCTACCTCTGGCTGCAAATGGGATCCGTTCCGGAGCCCTGTTCGCAGCCTGAAAGGAATGCAACCTGCAGTGGCACGTCTGCATAAGTCGCAATTCGCCGCTTCTGCACATGCGCGTGACGTCATTTTGCGCATCTGCACATGCGCAAGTGGCGAAACCCGGAAGTAACCCTTTCCGGTACTTCTGGGTCACTGCGGGACGCAACCTGAAAAAAACATATCAAGAGGTATGACTGTACAGCCTTCTCCACCCTGAAACCCCATCCCCCGGATGTTTTGGACTACAACTCTCATCAGCGCCAGCCAGCTGGGAGTCGTAGTTCAAGGCTTCTGGAGGGGTCCATTTTGGCAAAGGTGGTGGAGAGCTAATAAGTTTCACCCCCACACACACTGTTCCAGGGGTTTCCCCCCTTTTTAAAAAAATAATTTTTTATTAATTTTTTCATTAATCTTGCCACATCATATCCAAATTAATAATAAATATATGTGCCATTTATACATTCTGAATTAAATAATTTTTTGGAGATTCCCATGTTCTGGCTGGTCCACAGAAAGTCTTTTATTTTTGTTCCTGCCTTTTCTCTGTTGTTTATTCCCAATATCACAGGTCCAATGTTAACCCCTTCTTATCGTCACAGTCACTGGTATGGACTTTCCCATCGTGCTTAACGAATCCATATTATGTTGGCACGCAAGAGGAAATTTTATTCTTCTTGTTGTTATTCTTCCATTGTTTTTCCGTGCAATCCCCCCAGGTTTTTTTCCCTGGGGGGGGATGTGTGTGTATGTACCGTATTTTTCGCTCTATAGGACGCACTTTTTCCCCTCCAAAAATTAAGGGGAAATGTGTGTGCGTCTTATGGAGCGAATGCAGGCTCCTTGGCTTCAGCGATAGCAACGCGAAGCCTCCGAAGCGCAGAGGGAGCTCTCCCTCCACGCTCCCGAGGCTTCGTGTTGCTTTCGCTGAAGCCTGGAGAGCGAGAGGGTTCGGTGCGCATTGACCCCTCTCGCTCTCCAGGCTTCAGGGATAGACTCTCCTGGCTTCAACGAAAGGAACCTGAAGCCTCCAGAGTGCAGCGGGAGGTCCTGCAGTGCTCCGAAGGCTTCGGGTTGCTTTCGCTGAAGCCAGGAAAGCAAGACGTTCCTGGCTTCAGCAGAGAGGAAGAGCTGCGCAACGCCCCTTCAGCCAAGCGGGAGGAGAAATGGAAGGGGCTCCATTTCTGCTGCCGCTTTGCTTAAGGGGCGCTGAGCAGAGAGGGGGAGATTATTTTTTTCTTGTTCTCCCCCTCTAAAACAAGGTGCGTCCTATGGTCGGGTGCGTCCTATAAAGCAAAATATATGGTATATTATTTATTTTGTGGAATTTACCGTATTTTTCACTCTATAAGATGCACCAGACCATAAGATGCACATAGTTTTGGGGGGAAGAAAACAAGAAAAAAAATATTCTCAGTCCCAGAAGCCAGAACAGCAAGAGGGATCGCTGCGCAGCGAAAGCAGCAATCCCTCTTGTTGTTATGGCTTCTGGGATAGCTGCGCAGCCTGCATTCGCTCCATAAGACGCACACACATTTGCCCTTACTTTTTAGGAGAGAAAAAGTGAGTCTTATAGAGCAAAAAATACGGTATATACTGCTTGATTCTCAAAAAAACCAACCCTAAAAGATGTAATCACCACTAAGAGAAACAGCAACAAGGCGTCCAAAAAGTTAAAATAGATCGGAAACAAATTAAAACTTGTGCCAGCTTTCTGAACGGAGGCGGGCATGTTTATGGTGCAGTCTGGGCTCCCCCAGGACGGCCTTTATCTGATCAACCTCCTTTCTCCTCCTTCCAGAAGACAGGAAGCTCTTTGTGGGAATGTTGGGTAAGCAGCAGACAGACGAGGACGTCCGGAAAATGTTTGAGCCCTTCGGGAACATCGACGAGTGCACGGTACTGCGGGGTCCCGACGGCACCAGCAAAGGTGAGTGGAAAAGGGGGCGGCCGCCCACCGCTGCCATTGGAAGGTTGTCCCTGAGCAGGTGCCCTCGAACTATAACTCCCATCAGCACCAGCTTGGCCAACGGCTAGGGATTTGAGTCGTAGTCCAACAGCATCTGGAGAGAGTTGCAGCTGTGGGAAGTGACTAAGGGCCCCCTATTACGTAAGAACATTTTGTACGCATGCTCAGAGTGGGCGCATCACTTTTTGCCGCCTGATAGATGCCAGACAGGAAGTGCTGCCTTGCTTTGCCGCTTCCACCGCTGGAGAAACCAGCGGCAGATCACTAGTGATTTCCAGCGAGATCTCGCCGGGAATTGGCACTAAAGTTGGCACCACTTCTCTGCCAGTGCCAGAGGTGGAAGAGTGCCCATCCGGTGCTGCCCTGGGGGTTCCTTCCACCCAAGGCAGCTTCTTCCCCTTGCCTCATGGGTGCACCGGGCCTGATTCATACAGGCCTGTTTTAAAAAGCGATGAGGCACAGCGAGCTAACGTTGGCCTGATTTTACGTCCTTACAGAGCATTGATCATCAGACAGGTGTCTCTGTCCAGGGCCGTCTTACTCATAGAGGCTAGTGGCACGGGGCACCAGGGCGCCAAGTTCTGAAGGGTGCCAGGGAAGAGGCGGAGGCTGGAGGCGTCACCTCCCGTCATCAGCTCGCCACCCTTGCCCGCCATGCCGCGCCGAAGCAGCGCTGCCCCCGGAGCCTCTGCCTGCCGTGGCCACCGTGGCATGCAGCAGCCAGCTGAGCTGGGAGGCGCCACGTCCAGCCTCTGCCTCTTCCCCGCCAGAGGAGCTGCCCTCCAGCTGCTGCCCGCCTCCTCCAGCCCCGCCGGCAGTGCTGTCCTCCCTAAAAAAACTCTGGGAAACGGAGGGGTGGGGTTGGCCAGAGGGAGCTTTGCACCACGGCGCCGGATATGCTTAAGACGGCCCTGGCTCTGGCTCCCTCCTGCATCTAGAAGGCAGGCAGCCAACATACCAAACAGCCAATCGGACCCTGTTTCAGCGGGTCCTCCTCCATGCCCCCAGCTCCATGGGCCTTTCAGAGGTTTAAAACGGGTGAGCTGGGTTCATGACGGCACAGGTCCCAGCCAATCGGAGCTAGGCACAGCTCAAAACACACACAGTTGGTTTTGCCATCCTGAGCACAACCCGGGAGAGACAAGGGCGCCTTGCTGGGGAGGGGGTGGCTGGCGAATGGCTACCGTGACAAAATGTAGCGATGGCCAGCGACTCGGGCAGCTTTAGAAGAGAATTTGACCAATTCGTGGAGGAGATGCCTCTGCGGTCAGAGTCAGCGGTGCTTCCGAACACCAGTCACTGGAAACCACAGCAGAGCAGAGGGCTCCTGTGGTCGGTCTCCTGCTTGTGGGCTTCTGTCGGGGGACTGCCACTGGAACAGGGGAGGGAGGCAGGGGGGCCGTTGGGATACAGAGAGCCTCCGAAACTCCTGAGGAGCAGTTCCTCTTCCAGCGGTGGGAAAAGCCACACCTCCAGCGGAGAAGAGAGGGAAGGGGCCAACCAAGCGAGGAAAGGGCTTGAGGATGATGCTGAGAGCCCCAGGGCCTCACCTGGCCAGGCTGGCCAGGAAAGACGCACGCCACTTCCGTCGCCCAGCTTGCGCAGACGGGTGAAACGCAAGGAGGGAAGGAGGAGGCTTGGGGTGCCGAAGTTCTTATGTTGGGGGAGAAGCCGGAAGGGGCCACTCCCGGATTCTGCAAGTGACTGAGACGGACATGAACTTTGTAGATTTGCACTGTAAATATTTTGCACAATAAAACCTGTAAAAGACAGGTCCTGCCTGGTTACTCAAGAGCAACCACCCCCAGCATCTGACAGCTTCCTAGTGATGCATCAGATTGTCCACTGTGAGTACAGGGCGCAGGCCTGATCCAGCGGCCAAGCTCATCCTGTTTCTGTCTCCGAATCTTTCCCTTTCTCTCCCCTCTGCCAGGCTGTGCCTTTGTGAAGTTCCAGACGCACGCAGAAGCACAAGCTGCCATCAATACGTTGCACGGAAGCCGCACGTTACCGGTGAGACCCACAACTTCTGCCTTGGTGGGGGGCAGGGAGAGCCAGGGGCTGTGGGGGGGCAGAGGAGGAGAAGAAGGTTGTCTTGCTAAATCCCTCCTGCCTTCCATTAAGTCCTTTCATTTTGAGGCTCCGCCTTCAGCAAGTGAGCGAGGAGGGAGAGGGGAGAAATCTTCAGTGGGCTCTGCTACCTCCTAGTGGACAAACGTCCTCTGTTCCGCTTTCCCAAAAGAGTACAGTGGTACCTCGGGTTACATACGCTTCCGGTTACAGACTCCACTAACCCAGAAATAGTGCTTCAGGTTAAGAACTTTGCTTCAGGATGAGAACAGAAATCGTGCGGCGGCAGCAGCAGGAGGCCCCGTTAGCTAAAATGGTACCTCAGGTTAAGAACAGTTTCAGGCTAAGTACGGACCTCCGGAACGAATTAAGTACTTAACCCGAGGTACCACTGTAGTCCAAAAGATTTGCCGGCTGTACATTTGTCAACTTTTTAAAAAAAAGATTTGCCGAGGGTGCAGAAAAGAGATCCGGCAATTTGCTTTGTGAATAGCTGTTTGAATCAGGGGGTTGCCAACTTTTCAAGCTACCCTCCGATGCTATGCATTCACGCACGACTTAAGATGGCAATGATCAGGGGGCGGCAAACAGGGCACAAATCAATCCGTTTGGGTTCTTCTCCGTTTCTAATTTTTCCAATCTTCAATTCTCCGCATTTCTGCACCAGTTTGTATTTTTTTTAAAAAAAAATCTTCATTTTGTCTTTAATGTACAAATCTTTGTACACAATTCCCCCTTGTGCACCCATATCTGCAAGCAAATTTCCCTAAGAATAATGCATTTTTAATGTTACTTTCATTAACGTATGCATTTGACACTTTTCCCTAATAATATGCATTTTTGAGAAAACACTATACCTTTCCCCAAGTTGGTGCTGTTCACAAGTTAACATGACTTCCATCATCCCTGGTGGTTGACTATCCTGGCTAAGGGGCTGACATGAGCTTTCGTCTGACAACACGTAGCAAAACAACCACAGTCGTACCTTGGAAGTTGAACAGTCTAGTTTTCGAACGTTTTGGCTCCTGAACGATCGCAACCCGGAAGTGAATCTTTCGGGTTTTGAATGTTCTTTTAGAAGCCGAACGTCTGATGGGGCTTCCGTGGCTTCCAATAGGCTGAAGGAGCTTCCTGCAGCCAATCAGAAGCCGCGATTTGATTTTCAAACATTTTGGAAGTCAAATGGACTTCCGGAACGGATTCTGTTCGACTCCAAGATACGACTGTATATTAAAACACCTGAGATTAAAGTATGCCATGAGCAAATCCCATTAACCAGAGCATAACGGTTAAAAGAAGAATTTGGGGGTTGAAGACAGGAGATCAGGAGAAAACGTTTATCTAAACAGGTGTCTTCAAGTGCCATCAGTATTGGCATTCCACTGACCCTTAATAATAATAATAATAATTTATTATTTATACCCCGCTCATCTGGCTGGGTTTCCCCAGACACTCTGGGCAGCTTCCAACCGAATATTAAAAACAATACAGCATCAGACATTAAAACTTCCCTAAACAGGGCTGCCATCAGTTGTCTTTTAAAAGTAAAATAGTTGTTTATCTCCTTGACATCTGATGGGAGGGCATTCCACAGGGCGGGTGCCAACACCAAGAAGGCCCTCTGCCTGGTTCCCTGTAACCTCACATCTCGCAACCTTGTGGTGTAGGATAGGGTGGGAGAGAGTGACTGGCCCGTGTCTGAGCGTGGATATATCAGGCCTTCTCGGTGGTGGCACCCGCCCTGTGGAACACCCTCCCACCAGACGTCAAAGAGAACAACAACTACCAGACTTTTAGAAGACATCTGAAGGCAGCCCTGTTTAGGGAAGCTTTTAATGTTTAATAGATTATTGTATTTCAATATTCTGTTGGAAGCCGCCCAGAGTGGCTGGGGAAGCCCAGCCAGATGTGCGGGGTAGAAATAATAAATTATTATTATTAACCTGTTATCTCCCAGGTTGTAACCCAGCACGCTAACCATTGCACCACACTGTCTCTCTGGAGGGTGCCAGCTTGGGAAAGTCTGCCTGAGCTTCAGCAAAGTTGCTCTGTTCTGAGACCTCAATCTCTCCCTCTTCCTTCCAGGGCGCCTCATCCAGCCTCGTGGTGAAATTTGCCGACACGGAGAAGGAGAGGGGTCTCCGCCGGATGCAGCAAGTGGCAAACCAGCTGGGCATGTTCAGCCCCATCGCCCTGCAGTTTGGGGTGTACAGTGCCTACACCCAAGCAGTAAGAGGCTCCCCTTCGCTCTAGGAGCCCGGAGTTGTGGGAAGGGGGACGGTGCCGGCTGTGTTTTGGGGAGGGGGGCGTTTCCCGGCTCAGTACACAAACAGGGACACTGATGTGTGCATATGCACACACTTTTCCTTAAGGTCATCTCACCGCATCTAGAAAGCTAGCATGTCAGGGTGTAAGCTAGGCTATGGCCCTTATCCTTCAGACGCTAGCTTTCTAAAAGGAAGGGATTTCCATTAACACCCCCCCAGCGGCGTAGCGTGGGTTGTCAGCACCCGGGGCAAGGCAAGTAATTTGCGCCCCCTAACCCGGGGCAAGGCAAGTAATTTGCGCCCCCTAACCCCTAACCTGCCACCGCTGCCAGCTTCTTCTTGCTGCTGCCTGGGCTGGTCTGGTGTGGTTCTCTCCCGCGCTCAGTGCTGCGCTGGGCAGCCGCTGCACTGTCCCTCCCCAGATAATCCTCGCTCTCTCTGCACCGCACGCCTGGCACCCACCCCCTCCACAGTGGGCGGCGACCCAGCGGCTCAGATCGGATTCGCACAGCCAGCACTGCAGTGAGAGAGAGAGAGTGAGCCAGGTAGGGGCAGAGAGCTGCGAGTGCGAGCGCGCCCCCCCAGATGTTGCGCCCGGTGCGGCCGGCCCCCCCTGCACCCCCAAGCTACGCCACTGCACCCCCCGAAAAAGCTGCATTATAGATAACTGGCACGCCAAGAAGAAGGAAGGACAAGAACTATTCACCCTGAGATGCTAATCTTCTACATGCAGGGGTTTTATTTTATTTTTAAGAGGAGGAGCCTTACCTTATGTGCAGGGGTAAATTTAGAAGTGTGGGTTCCTTTTTGTGAAAGCCACTCCCTGCTGCCTCACAACTGTTGCCCTTCTAAGATTTTGCAACCTTAAAAGCAATGACAAACCTAGACAGCATCTTAAAAAGTAGAGACATCACCTTGTCGACAAAGGTCCGTATAGTTAAAGCTCTGGTTTCCCCAGTAGTGATGGATGGAAGTGAGAGCCAGACCATAAAGATGGCTGATCACCGAAGAATGGATGCTTTTGAATTCTGGTGCTGGAGGAGACTCTGGAGAGTCCCATGGACTGCAAGAAGATCAAACGTATCCATTCTGAAGGAAATCAGCCCTGAGTGCTCCCTGGAAGGACAGATCCTGAAGCTGAGGCTCCAGTACTTTGGCCACCTCATGAGAAGAGAAGACTCCTGGAAAAGACCCTGATGTTGGGAGAGATGGAGGGCACAAGGAGAAGGGGACGACAGAGGACGAGATGGTGGGACAGTGTTCTCGAAGCTGCCAGCATGAGTTTGACCAAACTGCGGGAGGCGGTGGAAGACAGGAGGGCCTGGCGTGCTCTGGTCCAGGGGGTCACGAAGAGTCGGGCACGACTAAACGACTCAACAACAACAAAATGCAATAAAAACGAGCTTTTCGTCTCTTGCTTTGTTGGGAGTCTGCTGAAAACAGGATGAGGGCAGATCTTTTTTGAGGTGGCCATCACCAAAATAATAACGATTTGCCTTCGCACGAAGCCCGTTTCGAGCACTCCTCCAGAGAAAGGGAAGGAGGAAGGAGGAAGCAGAGTTTTCAGATAGCCTAGAGCAGGCATGTCCAACTTACAAGAGACTGTGATCTACTCCCAGTATAAAAAGTCTGGAAGTGAAGGGAGGGGTGGGAAGCTAAAGTTGTTGGCCTTTTGGGGGGGTGAAGCCTTGGCATCTGACGGGAGGACGTTCTACAGGGCGGGCGCCACCACTGAGAAGGCCCTCTGCCTGGTTCCCTGTAACCTCACTTCTCGGAGGGAGGAAACCGCCAGAAGGCCCTCAGAGCTGGACCTCAGTGTCCGGGCAGAACGGTGGGGGTGGAGATGCTCCTTCAGGTATACAGTGGACGCTCGGGTTGCGAACGTGATCCGTGCGGGAGGCACGTTCGCAACCCGCAATGCCACGTCTGCGCACGCACGGGTTGCGATTTTATGCTTCTGCGCATGCGCGAAGCGCAATTTAGTGTTCATGCACTAGTGTTCATAACCCGATTTAGTGTTCATAACCCGTTCCGGTACTTCCATGTTCGGCACGGTGTGCAACCCGAAAACGCGCAACCTGAAGCGTCTGTAACCCAAGGTATGACTGTACTGGGCCGATGCTGTTTAGGGCTCTTAAGGTCAGCACCAACACTTTGAATTGTGCCCAGAAACATCCTGGAAGCCAATGTATTTCTTTCAGGACAGGTGTTATGTGGTCTCTGCAGCCGCTCCCAGTCACCAGTCTAGCTGCCGCGTTCCGGATTAATTGCAGTTTCCAGGTCACCTTCAAAGGCAGCCCCACATAGAGCGCATTGCAGTAGTCCAAGCGAGAGATAACCAGAGCATGCGCCACTCTGGCGAGACAATACTCTGGCCCCTGCTGGGAAGGAGATGTAGGACGGTCACATATCAGGATGCTGATGGGGCTGTAGGGCCAGACTCTGTGGACGTCCATGGTGCTTTATATTTATGTATATCTGAAGGAGCGTCTCCACCCCCATCGTTCTGCCCGGACACTGAAGTCCGGCGCTGAGGGCCTTCTGGCGGTTCCCTCACTGCGAGAAGCAAAGCTACAGGGAACCAGGCAGAGGGCCTTCTCGGTGGTGGCATCCGCCCTGTGGAACGCCCTCCCATCCAGATGTGAAAGAGAACAACAACTACCAGACTTTTAGAAGGCATCTGAAGGCAGCCCTGTTTAGGGAAGCTTTTAATGTTTGATGGACTACTGTATTTTAATATTCTGTTGGAAGCCACGCAGAGTGGCTGGGGAAACCCAGCCAGATGTGTGGGGTATAAATAATAAATTGTTGTTGTTGTTGTTGTTATTGACCCCCCTCTGTCTGTCTCCTGCCCCCTTTCCCCGCTTTTCCGCCCTCAGCTAATGCAGCAACAGGCAGCTCTTGTTGCCACGCACTCCGCCTACCTCAACCCCATGGCGACGATGGCCGCCGTGCAGATGCAGCAGATGGCCACCATCAACCCCAACGGCCTCATTGCCACCCCCATCACCCCCATCACAACCTCCTCAGGTAAGGTTGGGGGGCAAGGAGGCCCAGCCAGGAAATGGAGGGGGGTTCAGCCGTCCTCACGGCGCACACAAACGCACGATTGGCACTGTGACCAACCAGGGTTTACTGGAAGGAGTCTGAGATGTTTCCCACTCCCAATATGTGTGGTTTTTTCCTGGGGGGGGAAGGTAGGGGGGATTCACCAAGAAGTTTGTTTGTTTCCTTGTTTGTTTGTTGCGGTCCAAGTCACAGTGCCACTCCCCCGGGCAGTGGCTAAATTTAAGACGTGATTAATAAACTCAAGCAGACAATGATCTGTATTGGAAATGGCCACAACTTTACCGATTACAGATATAGGTGGAATATTTGGTATAGCCATTCCAGCCCCCCAGACAAAAAAATATATTAATTACCGTATTTTTCGCTCCATAAGACACAACCTGACCATAAGACGCACCTAGTTTTTAGAGGGGGAATGCAAGGAAAAAAATATTCTTTAAAGGGAGCGCTGAGCAGAGCCTATATGCATCCCAGGCTCTGCTCAGCGCTTCTTTCACGAGCCGCGTGGAGCGTGTGTGTGGCGCTTGCAGGCTTTTACCCGACGGGCTGCCCTTCTCCCTCCTCGGGGAAAAGCCCCCAAGAGCTGCACACATGCTCCGTGCGGCTCTTTAAAGGGAGCGCGGCTCTTGCGGGCTTTTCTGGGAGGTGGGGGAAGGGACAGAGGGGCTGCCCTCTGTCCCTTCCCCCACCTCCTGCAAAAGCCAGGGGTAGCCCCGCGAAGCCTCCTCAGGGCAGCGGGATGAAGGCTCCCCGTGGCGTGAAGAGGCTTCGCCCCTAAGCCAGAAGCTAGAACAGTGCAGCGCTCCCTTTCACCGTTCTGGCTTCTGGGATAGCTGCGCAGCCTGCATTCGCTCCATAAGACGCACACACATTCCCCCTTACTTTTTAGGAGGGGGAAAGTGTGTCTTATAGAGCGAAAAATATGGTATTTGATTTTTAAAAGGCAAGGGAATTCAGTTCCCCTGACTTCCTGCTCAAACCTCCCCCATATGCACTCACAACCTTCTTGCTATTAAGAAGGAAAGTTCAAATGGGGGGAAGTCAGAGCTCATCTTAAGATGGGGCTGTGAGAACAGACCTGGGTGCAATTCAGCCAGAGGCCAAAATATGAGGGGCTCCCTGTTTGTTCTTTTTTCAAATCCAACTTCCGGTCCTTATGACACCCTTGAAACTTGGTGAGCAGCGGCGAAATTCTAGCCGGAATAGATGGTGCAAAGCAGCCAAAAATACGCACGATGTATTATGCAAAGCCTGGCACCGTTTATTCCCACTGAGGCTTTTGGCACATGTGTGACTTCAAGAAGGGCAGAGCTATGGGGTTTATGGACACGAGCGGCTCCACCACGGAGGCCTGGTGAGGTTTTTGGTGCCCCGCTAACCTTCCACTGCCTTCTTCCCACAGGGACCAGCACGCCACCTGCCATTGCCGCCACGCCAGTGTCTGCCATCCCGGCCACCCTCAGCGTCAACGGCTACAGCCCCGTTCCCACGCAGAGCACGGGGCAGCCGGCCTCCGAGGCCATTTACACAAATGGCGTCCACCCATACCCAGGTATCTGAGGCTTCCCGGGGTCTCCGTCTCCCTCTGATCACACAAACCCCGGCCCCCGTTTTTCGGTCTTTCTTTCCTGGACACCCAAGTCCTAGAGACCACCTAGATCTCCACACACACACACACACACACAACCCCAAATGCACCACTGTAATCCTATATTAGGGACGCGGGTGGCGCTGTGGGTTAAACCACAGAGCCTAGGGCTTGCCAACCCACAGGTTGAGAACTGCTGCTCTAAGTTGTAGACCTTTCACCTGACTCACCAGGGCTCCTCTGGTACGCTTATTAGCTGTGAGAGTATCTAGTGATGGAGCCTCCATGTACAGGAGCAGGATTCTGCTCTGTGGGCAGACAAGCGAGGAGGGAAATTGCTTCATGTCCTACTTGAGGGTTACCTGGGCTCCAGATCTGATGGCTGCCGGAGCTTGAGGAATCTGAAATAGCATTGGCTGTGTTTACCGTATTTTTCGCCCCATAGGACACACCGGCCCATAGGACGCACCTAGTTTTTTGGGGGGGAAATAAAGGGGGAAAATTATTTTCCCCCCCAGGTGCGCTGCGCTAATCCCGAAGCTTGGGGCGTGCTGAGCTCAGCGCGCCCCAAGCTTCTGGGTGCAGGCAAGCTCTCCGCTAGCCATGGGAGAGCTGGGTCTCCCACGGCTAGCGGATAGCTTCCTGAAGCCTGGAGAGCGAGAGGGGTCGGTGCGCCCCGACCCCCCTCGCTCTCCAGGCTTCAGCGAAAGTCTGCATTCGCCCCATAGGACGCACACACATTTCCCCTTCATTTTTGGAGGGGAAAAAGTGCGTCCTATAGGGCGAAAAATACGGTACACGTAACACTCAGCTGGCGTTTGCTTTAACCATGGTTTGCCTAAGAAGCCTCGAGTTGTGCCCCAGACGGCACTGCTCCCTGCCCCAGATATAGAGCCTGGGACCAGGCAGCCAAAGAAAAGGATGGTTGGATTCCGACGCAACGCTAAACCGCAGCTTTAAAAAACCGTACAATACGATACAATACAATAATCTTTATTGTCAGTGTCCCATACAGAACAATGAAATTGAAAAAAACTACATCAGACATTCAAAAACCAACAAGCCTGCTATCCCAGCTATCCCAGCCTGGTTAGCCCCCTAAAAACTCTGATTACCCCATAATTAAATACAATATACTCCCACAGAGACTACCTTACACTGCGTTTAAAACCAAAATCGCATTTGGATAAACACTGTTTCTCAGGCGGCTAGTCCTGGTCTTTATAATAGTAATAATAATAATTTATTATTTATACCCCAACCCATCTGGCTAGGCTTCCCCGGCCACTCTGGGCTGCTTAGAACAAAATATTAAAATACTGTAATACATCAGACATACTGTAATACATCAAACCCTGTACCTTCTTTCCAGAAGGCAGAAGCTGAAAGAGATCATTTCTAGGGTGTGCACTATCCTGCACTATCTCTGCAGCTTTCTTATGGCACCCAGAAGCATAGATTTGATCCAAGGTGGGAAGAGTGCACCCAGTTATTCAGGACTGGCATGCCGACTTGGAGATTTTGTTTTGCTTTCTGTGTGTGAAGCAGGCCATTATCGTCTCATAAATGCGCACTCTTTCCTCTTCGCCCCCTGACACAGCACAGAGCCCAGCAGCCCCCGTGGACCCATTGCAGCAGGCGTACGCCGGGATGCAGCACTATACAGGTAGGGGGTGGAGAATGGGGATCTATAGGATTCTGGGCCGATAGGTCTCCTTTTGCCAAGGCCTCGTTGCCCAGGCAACACCAGAGACCTGGTCCCTGCTCTACGGCCAAGATGGCGCCAGGGATGTTGGCTCATTGGCTTTCCCAGAATGCCACATCTATTACGTCGGGGATGGGGAATGTCTCTGGCACTCCACAGGCTAGTGGCGCTCAGGAACTGCGGGGTTTGTGGTCCAGCGAGATCTGGGAAGGGTCCAGAGAGGAGGGAGGAATTTGGTTTGGTTCGCGAAGCTCCCTCATGCCTACTTCTTGGACTAATGGTGGGAACTGAAACACAGGTGTCCTTCAAAGTTTGCATCGCTTCAAATTTTACCATGCAGTTCCCCAAACACAAAAAAGCACAATAGAAGAAAGTGCGCGTTTTTAAAAATATATATACTGTATTTACCCATCTATAAGACGCCCCCATGTATAAGATGCCCCCTATTTTGGGGGACTCAGATTTAAGAAAATGGAGGGAGAGATATCTATGTATAAGACGCTCCCCCCTAATTTTTCACATTATTTTTTAGGGGGGAAACCTAGTCTTATACACGGAAAAATACAGTATATGCATGTATTGGTGAAAACCACATGCAGAAATTCTCCCAAGAATGGGGTAAACTGCTGGTTTTTAAAAAATGTGTGTTAAGGATACCTGTATGTAAAAATGTGTACCTTAGGATAAAATGCTGGCAAGCAAAAAAATGGTTCAGAAATGCACAAGATTAGGAACGCTGGTGGTTTTGTCCATTCCTAGAAGGGCACGGTGCCCACTCTGTGCCTTAAGCCTTTCTGTCTGGGCAGTGTCCGCAACGTGTTCTTCCGCGGGTCGGGCAACACTGCAGGCCTGTCGCTCTCTCTCTGCCCGTTGCTCGGCCAATGTGAGGAGCTTAGGCTTCACTCTGACCCGCTTCCCCCCACAGCCGCCTACCCTGCCGCCTATGGACTGGTCAGCCCAGCCTTCCCACAACAGCCAGCCACTATCATCGCCCAGCAGCCGCCTCCACAACAGCAGCAGCAGCAGCAGCGGGAAGGTAGGTGGGTCACCAAGCCCCTTTCCCCACCCACCCCACAGCTGCCGTTGACTTGTAGACATTATTTCCATTGGAACATTCTGGAATCCGGTCCGCCGCTTCCTCAGCGGAGATCCTGAGGCACCGGCAATGTCTCGCTTTCGATACGATAATCTTCATTGTCATTGTCCCATACAGAACAACGAAATTGAAAAAATCTACATCAGACATTCAAAAATCAATAAGCCTGCTATCCCAGCTATCCCAGCCTAGTTAGCCCCCTAAAAACTCTGGTACCCGATAATTAAATACAATATACTCCCATAGAGAGTCCTTAGGTAAAGGTAAAGGGACCCCTGACCATTAGGTCCAGTCGTGGCCAACTCTGGGGTTGCGGCGCTCATCTCGCTTTACTGGCCGAGGGAGCCGGCGTACAGCTTCCGGGTCATGTGGCTAGCAGGACTAAGCTGCTTCTGGCGAACCAGAGCAGCGCACGGAAACGTCGTTTACCTTCCTGCCGGAGTGGTACCTATTTATCTATTTGCACTTTGACGTGCTTTTAAAATGGTAGGTTGGCAGGAGCAGGGACCGAGCAACAGGATTTCACCCTGGCGTGCAGATTCGAACCGCCAACCTTCTGATCAGCAAGTCCTAGGCTCTGTGGTTTAACCCACAGTGCCACCCGTGTCCCAGAGACTCCTTACACTGCCTTTAAAACCAAAATCGCATTTGGATAGAAACTGTTTCTCAGGCGGCTAGTCCTGCTCTTTATAACCCTGTACCTCCTTCCATCTAAATGTTACGGGGGATGGGGATTGCACAGCCAGCTCCCTCTGTGTTCCAGCATGTTCTCAACGAGCAATTCTCTCTCTCTCTCTCCTCCCTCCCTCCCGCCTTCCTTTATCCCGAAACATGGCCGTCCTCTCCCAGGTCCCGAGGGCTGTAACATCTTCATCTACCACCTGCCGCAGGAGTTCACAGACTCTGAGATCTTGCAGATGTTCCTTCCCTTCGGAAACGTCATCTCCGCCAAAGTCTTTGTGGACCGGGCCACCAATCAGAGCAAATGTTTCGGTAGGGATAGCCCAGCGGGGTTCTGGGGGAAGAGAATAGGGTCCCCCTAAATCATGGGGGACCGCAATCCGCAGAGGCTAAAAACCAGCGGCCTTCTCGCACACGGCACGCAGAGAGAGAAACATCCCCCCAGCGTGCCTTCTCCACCTCCCTCATAGGGACTATCAACTTAAACCTTTGCTTTAGAAACCAAACCAAGCAAGGGGTGGGTTCTACGGAGGGGGGGACGGTCTCCGTCTGCATGCTGTGAGGTCATAGCAGGCCCTCGCCCACCCCATCCTCCCTTCTCCTTGTCCATTTTCCCTCCGCCTTTTGCAGGATTCGTAAGTTTTGACAATCCTGCCAGCGCTCAAGCTGCCATCCAGGCCATGAACGGTTTCCAGATTGGGATGAAACGCCTCAAAGTCCAGCTCAAGAGGCCTAAAGACGCCAACCGGCCCTACTGAACCGGCTGCCCATCAGGTGGGTGCCCACCCTTCCAAAGCGAGGGAGCTTAGGATACACCGCTGGGGCAGACAGGTATATCGGGCATCGTTCGTCTGCCGAGGGTTGGAGGGAGGGCACCGCAGCGCCACAACGCCGGACCCCTGCACCCCGGAAGTCCCTCAAAATGCATTGATGGGCTGGTAGCAAGGATCCGAGAGGGAAATCACAGCGTAAAATCTTGTTTTCCTTAACTCCTGGCCCATTGACTCCAACGCCTTCCTGGCAGAGTACTTCTGCCCGTTCTTTGAGGGACATGTTGAATCCAGGCCTTGGTGGTGGGGCCCCGTACAGCACCCGACAGACCCAGAGAGCTCAAAATGCAAAATATCTCTCTTTACACAATTGCGCCAGTTGCTGCAAGCCCAGATTGCAACCCGCTGTCAAGTTTTGGCTGGGGGAGTGGGGGTTTTGCCAGAGTCCGCAGGAGAGCACCAAGGCCTGGGGAGAGGAACCGGCGACCCTCCAGAGACGGCTGGGCTACAACTTCCATCACCATCCCTGCACATTGGGGCCACGCTGGCCGCTGGGGCTGTTGGGAGTTGGAGTCCAGCAACACCTGAAGTTGGGGGCCACAGATTGCCCCTTCGCTGTGCTGTGTGACATTATTCTGCACAGTGTCCTCCCAGCCACTAGGGGGTGACACAGTCCTGGTCATATTTTTTTGGGGGGGTGGAAGATGTTTCAAGGTGGAGGGGGCAGAGAAGGCAATATTTAAATCTGTGCTCAACCCAGTTCTAAATACGATGAGAGTACGGTGACGTTCAGCCAGCCTTAGCAGAGCAGAGTTGGCAAGATCTCAGATTAAGCATTTGTGCTCTTGCATTTGGAAGTGAGGGGGCCAGGACAAGTGTGGGGGCACGGGGGGGGCAGCAGCAGAAACAGCTTACAGCTCTGAGGAGGCTGCCACCAGAGCCATTTTATTTACCCAGAACGCCTCTGGTGATACTTCTTTTCGCCTCGCTGTGGCTGAGCTCTGCACCTTTGCAAAGGTTTGCAATTTTCGGAAAAGAGAATGTCAGCCCAGTCCGCTGAGTCCTCTGAGGCTGCTGGGCCTGTTGCTGCTGCTGTGTTTCTGCACGAGTCCCTGGTCTGGGCATTCAAAGAGACATAGGCACCAGGTCTAGGGGTCCGAGGGTGACAGGGCACCCACACACACAAAAGAATCGTGGGTGCTTAGCACCCACAGTGCAGGGCTGTGACGCGACCTCTGGTTTCTACCAGACAACGTCAGAGACCCTGCCAGGCCCCGGAAGTGCCGTGATGCCATGATGTCACGTTGCGTCACGTTATATCACCATTGGGCAGCCATAACCTAGAGCTCAAGTCAGCGCCCCAACAGAGAGACCATGTGCAGCCTCCTCTAAATGCATCAAGAGCAATTGGACAGTCGGATCCCAGCCGTTGTGGCTGTGTATTTTAGGTCGGAGGCTCAATGGAGACCTGCATGTGAGGAGGGATGGGGGAGAGAGGACAGGATTCACTAGTGTCTAGGTGTGGTATGACATCCATCCCCATCGTTCTGCCTGGACGCTGAGGTCCAGCTCCGAGGGTCTTCTGGCGGCTCCCTCATTGCAAGAAGCCAAGTTACAGGGAACCAGGCAGAGGGCCTTCTCGGTGGTGGCGCCCACCCTGTGGAATACCCTCCCATCAGATGTCAAGGAAATAAACAACTACCTGACATTTAGAAGACATCTGAAGGCAGCCTTGTTCAGGGAAGTTTTTAATGTGTGACATTTTAATGTATTTTTAATCTTTGTTGGAAGCCGCCCAGAGTGGCTGGGGAAACCCAGCCAGATGGGCGGGGTACAAATAAAAAATTATTATTATTATAACCTGTCACACCATGCCTTTGCTTTCGTTCACATTTCCCCACCTACAGATAAATCTCTCCGGGTGTGGCGCTTCTTTGTCAGGTGTGGTGGGGGTTGCCCTCTTGTGTAGGGCATCACCCTAGGTGACCCTTCTGGGTGGCTGTTTTCAAATCAAGGAAATCTTGTGAGCGCGTGTGTTTTCTCCTCCTGGTATGTTTAAATTTCAGGAGTCAGTTCTGGGATGTTGTCTCCTCCAACCTCCCACCCTCCATCAGTTATGGCCCCCTTTCCATTCTGGAGTGTTACAAATTCATTCTTTTTAATCCAAGAAGTTGGCAAAAAGTTCAGCAGAGGCTTTGGTAAACTGGATTGCAAACCATGTCGGTCTAGTTGCCCAGGGCAAGTAAGGAGCATCTCCAGCTGATCAGCCGGAAAAGCATTTTATATATATATATTTATATATATATTTATATATATATATGGTTTCACCATCTCAGCCCTGCCTTTTGGGGAGAAGATGTGGTTGAGTTTCAGAATACTGTCAGAAATGAGTTTGGACAGGTGGGGATCATTTTTTCGTTTTGTTTGTTTTAAGGGAACAAACGAAGATTAAAAACATTTGTAGATCTGTTTGCCAGGCAGCTTGATGAAATTGGGAAAGGTGGAATGGAGATGAACGTTATTTTTTAAATAGTGGATCTGTATAATTTGTCATATCAGATTGTGCCTCGCCACCAGTCTCACTTAAGGACCGTTGTCAGTTGTGGGTTGTGCTTTGGGGGTTTTTTAAGCCAAGGGGGGGGGAGTCTAATCTCCCTTGCAGTGACTGGGACTGGTTCCCCCACACCTGTCCTAAAAGAATCAAGGGACATTTTTTTCTTAAAAAAGGAAAGTTGTGACAACGCAATCCGTCCATTTTCTTCCCAATGCATGCTGGGAGTTTACAAGTGACCAGAGTCGAAAACCCCCCTGTCTCGTGTCTTCTTTCCATGTGTCAGTAAGCAGTGTCGTTTGACTAAGTGTCCTTTTTATTTTATTTTTTAGAAAACCCTTTTCTTATCGGTGAAGTTGCGAAAAAAATACAAATTTAAAGAACCGTTCGTTTTTCCACGCGCGCACGCACACACACAAAAACAAACAAAAAGAAAACCAAACTCCCGTTTTTTTTCTTTGCTGCTCGAAACCACGCCCACCCCCTCCCTCCCCCCTCCCTCCCTCCGACAGGGTGTTGCAATCATATCTTGAGACGACTCTGTTGCTAAGCCAACCCCTTCGCCTGTCGCGAGAGACGTAGCTCCGCCCCCCCTTGTAAGTTGCATCCTCTGGAATGAACAAAAAGAAAAGTGATTGTTATATCTTTATTATTATTTATTATTTGGAAAGAACAAACAAACAAAAACGTCATGTGATCCGAGCTGCACTCTTTTTGCATGACGTCTGCGTGGTTTAGCGTTTACTGGATGTGCCGTGAGTTTCTGGAACGTAGTTTTCGTTTGGTGAACTTATCTCCCCCTCCCTCCTTTCCCCCCCTTCCCATGCCTCCCCCTGCACAGCAAGCCCCCCCTCCACCACACACACACACACACGTCCCCCCGTCTCTGCCCCCAAACTCCAAAAAGAGAGTCTCAATTCGATTTTGAACTGGGCGCCACCTCTGCCCCTTCCATCCCTTAATACTCCAAGCTGCCCCACCTGAGAACACTGCCTCACCCTCCAATTTACCTGTATTTGGTTTCGGTCACCTTTTCTACCGCTGTTGTCACCATATCGCTGTGGCCTGTTCTTTTCTATGATTTTCTTGCCTGTGCTGTGTGTTGTTCCTTTTTTTTTTTTTTTTTTTTTTTGCCTGTCTGTACGGTTGTTTCTTAATCTCTCAGACGCATTTGGCTGGTGGCTCTGTGCAATTGGTTTGTGCTTTTTGTTCTGTGGGCGAATGTTAAAAAAAGTATTTAAAAGTTTTCCTTTCCTCTCCCACCCACTCCCTGATCCTGTCTCTCTCTCTCTGCCCCCCCCCACCTTCCACCTTTGCTACATGGGGTCTCAGGCACACTCGACACACGTTTTGTACCTGTAAACTGGTCCGCCGGACCAGATCCCAATCTTCCCACCCCGGGGCGTGTAAATTGGAAAGGAAGGTGGAGCCACACAGCTGTCAATCGCAGTGACATTCAAGGCAACAGGGTGACCAAATACGACGATACGATATCAATATACACCCTTTATATAATATGAAATATATGAAATCCATTAAGAGTGCATATTTAGTGACTTTCAGAGATTCGTAAGTTTTCTGTTTATGTGATTTCATATATTTCATACTATATAAAGAGTGTATATTGATATCGTATCATTGTATTTGGTCATCGTGTTCCCTTGGATATTACTGACTCTTGTTTGCAACACAGGGGTTAAATTGTTTGGTTAATTGCAGTGACATTACAAGACGCTGCATTTTGAAGCGTTATGTTGGGACTGTGAAGAATAGCACAGAGCTACGTGGAAGCAAAGAAACTGCACACTGTATTTTGGCCGCCTGCAAACTGAACAGGAACATTCTGCTCACCAACTGGCAAACAGGGTCCAATCCTGCCAGCTGCAGGGATCTGATTTGCCAGCGTATTGCCCACAGTGACATCAGCTGGATGGCAGACAGGTGTGGTCTGAAGAAAACCACTTTGGAGACCAACTCGGGTGCATACACCCAAGGCAGGCCAAGACTGGATTCCCTTGCCCACCCGTTTAGGTACATAGTGCTGATTTGATGACCGTATTTTTTGCGACATAAGACACACCTGACCATAAGACGCACCTATTTTTTAGAGGGGGAATGCAAGGGGGAAAAACTTCTTTAAAGGGAGCGCTGAGCAGAGCCGCGTGGAACGTGTGTGCGGCACTTTCAAGCTTTTCCCCAAGAGCCGCACTCACACTCCACGCGGCTCTTTAAAGGGAGCGCGGCTCTTGGGGGCTTTTCCGGGAGGTGGGGGAAGGGACTGAGGGGCTAAGCCAGAAGCTAGAACAGCGAGAGGGAGCGCTGCGCAGCGATCCCTCTTGCTGTTCTGGCTTCTGGGATAGCCGCACAGCCTGCATTCGCTCCATAAGACGCACACACAATTCCCCTTACTTTTCAGGAGGGGGGGAAATGCGTCTTATAGAGCGAACAATACGGTGCCTGGTGAAACGGGTCAGGAGCTGTTCCCATCACAAACAAGGGTATTGAAAGCAGGGCTTCCAACCTACCTTAGTGATTTGGAGCACAGGACTGAGAACAGCAGGAAAAGGGGGGTTGCGTCATATTCCACGAGTTCGTGCCACCCCCCAAATTGCATACATTAGTTTGGGGCAAAGGGAACAGACACAAGTCAACGCTCTTGTTTGGCAAAGGTGATTCTCTCCCCCATCCCTTCCCCCCCCAAAAAAAACACCCTGTGGGCTGTGCTCACAATTCACCCACCCCCTCAACACTCATGGTTCTCTTCCCCATCCTGACCCCCATTGGACTGCCTTGCCTGCCTGACCCACCGCCCTACACCGTCTCCATCTCTTTGACCTGCTGCATGAACCTCTTTCTCTCCCCCCCAATCCCCTATTTTTCATCACTCCCTTCTGCAAACCTATTGGGTACCACTGCCATCCATCCATCCATCCCGGAGATTCCCGATTGGCTGTTACACGGCAACCGTTGCTGCCCACGGAATCTCTCATCCCGATGTGTTGTTGTGCTTGGCCGGCCGGGCTGTTTTTGTCCATGAGAATCCCCAGCTTCCAAAAAAAGGCCTCTACCTTTTCTTTTCTCGTCGTCGTTCTTTATTGTCGTCGTGGGTTCTTCCTGTGTGTTTGCTTTCTTTCTTTTTGTCGTCGTCGTTGGTGCGTGCGTGTGTGTGTGTCTCTGTATTTCTAGTTGCTAAAAAATAAAGCATCGTGGGGTGGGGCTCGTGGCCAAGGCCGTGTGGAGGCCGGACCCCCCCAGTGATGGGCTCCACAGGGCGGCTTCTCGACGGGGGTGGCGAGCGAGGACGATCATCCCGGTCATTTCAAACCACCAGACACAACAGACCCACCCACCCAAAAAAGGAGGGTCGTTTTCTGCTTCCACCGCTCCCGTGACTGCAACATTCTTTAAAGAACTTTCTTGAGTGGATTATCGTGGCTACAACCCGGGGTTTATGATGGGGGGAAGCCAAAGAGAGTCAAAGCCCCCGTAATATTTAATGCTGTATTGTTTTTAATACTTGATTGGGAGCCCCCCAGAGTGGCTGGGGAAACTCAGCCAGATGGGCGGGGTATAAATATTATTATTATTATTATTATTATTATTATTATTATTATTATTATTATTTTAAAGCCCAAGGCAGGGGGAAAGGTAGAATAACACGAGGGTTATCTTTAAGACCAAAACAGAGTTCGGGGCAGAGGTTAAGAAAAGGGGGGAATCTTCCCTGACCACAATTTATAGGAGCCAACTGCCTCCTCCAGAGAGGCAGGAGGGGTGGAATATGACAACCTGAGAGCAGGGTTCGGCCCACCACTCTCCATAAAAAGCCAAAATTCCGGAAAGTCCCCTAATGGGATCAAGGTTCCTCGTCGGCTGCCATCTTGCCGTTCTCCGTGGCCTTTGGAGACACGGCAAAATGGCAGAACAAAGCTAATTGGATGGTCCTAAGCGGGTGTCTTGTGCTAGAGGGGACTCTGTCTGCTGGAATCTTGGGACGGTGTTGGTGGGGAACAGAGGGAAATTTGCCCTGCTTTGTGGGGTGGAGGCAGAGAGACAGAAAGGAGTAAGATTAAGATCTGACTCACTATCAGCGCCATTGCCTCGTCCTGCAAATCTAACCACAGGCGTTTTTCTGTGGCTATTCCTAAAAGGTTCTTATTACTATTATTAATGTAAGTTTACGGAGCGCAGACCAGCTGCCTTCACCCTGGGGGTTTCGCTGGCATTTTTTGAATGCAAATCCACCCAATTCGCACAGTCCAAAATGAGACGTGAACCGAATCGCAGCAATCCTACAAAAATTCGTGCTTCTCCAAACTTTGCAGTGCAAAATTCTTACTAGATAGAAGTCTGCACCAAGATGCAAACTTTAGTGTGAATCACACACAAACAAATGCATCCGATTCGTGGAAATCGCTTGCAAAGATGTGCCCATTTTTAGTCCAAACCTTGTACAACAATGTGTACGCAATGAAAAATTCACTCCTAACACGAATTTTTGCAAGGTTTACTCTAAAAGAAATAAAGAATTTGCAAATTGCTGAGGAACACGTGGAAAACTGAATTTAAGACTGGGGGAAATGAGAAAGTGATGGAGCATAAATGGTCGGATCCATCCATCCTTACTTGACCGCTCAAAATTTACTAGCCTGATGTTTTAATCGTGGCTGTGTTGTTCGGCCAGGGAAGGAATCGCAACACACCCTCAAAACGAGATTCATTGACATACTGTACACCCTATGGCGCAGTCGGGGGGGCGAGGACTCCAGAGGCCGGGGGAGCCTCTTCTGCAGCCCCCCAAGTGGGAAGGAGCTGCAAAAGACGCAGCCTATTCAAACATGGCCGCCTCAGCCAGGTTGGGCAGAAATCAAGGGGAAGATTTCGATCCCAGGACTCCACGCAAACCACCCTCCTCTGTCTGCATGTCCTAGGCTTCCGGGCACCTCAGATTCTCTGTGACCCAGTGGCTTTAGCTGGAAAGAAAGACGTTTAATATATATATCTCTGTTCTTTTTCTGTTGTTTGTTTCCCCTTCTCTCTCTCTTTTTCTAGGTCTGGAGCTTACTGGAGGAACAATGCCCCCTTGATGTCTCCCCATTCCCTCCTGCCCCCTTCCTCTCTTCCTCTGCTCTTCTTCCTCCTCGTAGATAATAGGAAAGCCACTTGCTCTCTGAGCTTGAGGGGCACCAATTTCCTCAGTGGCCGGAGACCCAGAAGAACCCCCTTCAGCTGCGCCAACCAAGCCCCTCTTTGAGGACGGGATGAGCGATGAGACGGGCTCACTATATATCTCTATATACATATATCTCTCCCCTTCTGCCAGCCACAGGGCTTTCCCCACTCCCCACTCCGTACACTCCAATTCTTGCCCCCTCCCTCCCCCCAACCCAGCCAAGAAGCACTGCATTGTGGGAACTGGAGTCACCAAGACATGCAGCTCATGAAAGCCCTGCTTAGAATAATAATTTAAAAAGCAAGATTCAAGGCGGAAGGAAATTTAGGACAAGGCAAGCTTGGACAGAAGACACGCCAAGAAAGATGGACTCAGGACCAAACCGGAGAGGAACCCAGCCTCACCTTTGGGGTCCTCAGCCCTTTTGCTCTTGCACTGTTAGGGTGCAGCAACCTAGGGACTTGGGGGGGCTAAGGAATGGGCCAATATAGGGGTTTGCGGGCAGCTTGTGGGCCTCTGATAATCCACTCTCCACCCAATTTCTTACACCAATCCAGGCAACCTCTCAGGAGGTGAGAGAAAGCTTTGCTAAAACAGAAAGGTTGATTTTGGGACCACGCAGGCCAGTGTAAAACAACCCAACCCCAAAGGAGCTCTGCATGAGTCACTGCCCTGAGAGGGCCTCCTCAGGAAATCTCAGACCAGGGCCTCATACAGGGGTGCAACAAGGCAGCCTCCCCTGCAAGTAGCTTTTTTGGGAGAGGTGGGGGGCGTGCTGTTGGATACTTGCCGCTGCAAATATCAGCAACCTGCCCACCATTTAGGAGTGGAAACCTTTAATCATACAATGCAGATTAAATGGGTCAGTGTCGGTATTTTGCAGATACGCTGCTGTTTAAAGCCACAGGAGCACTGGTGGAAATGCAGCCGTCCTCACCCTAAAAAAACAGCCTGTCCAGACCCTCTCTCCCCTTCGGGCTTTGAAAGAGCATGTCATTATATTCCCCCACCCCCGGAAACAGCAACCCCAAAACCGCTCTCCCTGTTCTCTTCTCCTGGAAACTTTATCGCCACCCGTCGTATCGGCGTTTGGGGTGGATGGATCAGAGCGGAAACTTATATTTTTTCATATCAAAGGGAAATGTGCCTCTCCTCCACCCCACCCCCCCAAGTATCTTGGTATTGCCATTCAGGGATCCAGAAATGCTTCGAGGATGGAGGAAACCTCAAAGAGGAAGGAGGGGGTCAAAATAACCCAACAACTGGACGAGCAAACTTTTTGTTTTGAGCCTAAGATGGCATGTGAGGCTCCGGGGACCCCAGATGAAGTGATTAAGACAGAGAAACAAAAACTTGAAGGCTTTTCTGGTTGTGTTAGGAGAGGGCCTCTCTGGAGGAAAAGCCACATGCAAACCTGAAATTAAACCCGAACTCTTTTGGCCACCGTTTCCTGCCAGCTTCCCTTTGGGCAACACAGTCTGGCTGATGTAGGCGAGCAGGACACCAAAAACCACCCGGGGGGGAAATGGAAACACCTGGACTTTGAGTATCCGGCCAGCCAGAACTGGAGGGCAATGAAAATGCGATACTCCTTCCCATTGTCATTCAGCATATCCCTCACAAGATGAGCAGAGACAGACTGGATGCAGCCTGTGCCCCATAAAGAGGCCGGCTGCAAGATCTCTGAGTCGCCCACCTCTCCAAATCAGCCGCGAGGTTGCCGCCCAAACTTCCCAGCATTCCTGAAGCCACCTGCATCCATTTTGGCCAAGAGACCTTTTGGATTAACCACATTTTCTGCCAGCTGTTTCACAGCTAATCTTTCCGCTCATCCCCCTCCCGCCAGGCGAATCCGTTCTTTGGTTTTTCGGAGAGGGCGAGAGAAAGGCAAATAAAAAATCTCAAGAGAAACCAGACCTTAGCCTTCGTATCTCCATATCCGAACACGTCAGGAGGGCCAACTACTCTCTCGCAAGCAGTTTTATACACCCGGTTGTCCTGCAGGGCCGTAACACAGAGCTGCTGTCCAGAACTTGTTTACGTTTGGGTGGCGATCCGGGGACACGGAATGGACTCAGCGCTCACCGGAGAGGGCAAGTCAAAGGATTCTCACCAAAGCTGGATCTTCAAACACAGGGTGTCCCTTCCTAAGTTAAGCTCCTTGCTTACCAGAAATTCCCCATTTTCGGTACTGACTGAATGACCCATTCCTTATCTTTCTGCTCTGTCAGACCCCAGACCCAAAATACTTCTCTTCCCTTTCTGCTTAAACACACCCCATGCTCACTCTCCCCTCTTGAGTAGTTTGGTGTGTGTAAAGTTAACCCAACAAGCCCAGAGACCAAAACCTACTTCTTCCGCTTGCCCCTACTGCAAAACAGAAGGTCTTTGTCCTTCCTTGTATTTATTTTTACCTATGTCTCCCCTAAGGATGGAGGGCTGGGGATATCAAACCATAATCTCTCTCTCTCCCTCCGTGCTCAGAAACCTCTCATGCTCACAAGCGCTCTGAAATCAAGGTTATATACCATGAGGAGGGAAAGAGAAGAAAAAAGAAATATATGTTTACAAGTCTCTTTTGCTGATCCAGTAATTGTAAATAATTCCATTGCGATTAGCTGCAATTAAATTTTAAAAAAGGGTTTCCTATCCATCACCATGTTAACTTTTCTGATTTTAGAGGATTTTTTAATCTTTCTCTTTCTTTCTTTCTTTCTTTCTTTCTCTTTCTCTCTCTGTCCCTCTCTCTTTTTCTTTTCTTTTTCCCTTCTAGGGTGGGAGGTGGGTTTACTACTTGGACATTTTATTTAGAAGGAGAAAAGGGAAAAAATGAGAAAAAAAATAAAGAAGGGGGGGACCCCCAAAATCAGAAGAACTTTTAGTGATGAGGAATTTTAAGAAAAAACGAAGAGTTGGATTATATGTTTCAGACAATATCAATGCTTAAGTTATTGATTATTTATTGCCACTTTTAATAATTTAATTTTTTCTGTCTAAATAAAATTAAATGAAAAGCAAATCCAGTCTATGCTGCCGTCACTTAGAGGTACTGTAGTGGTTACAAAAAGTTGTGAAAAGGAGAGAAAATATGTACTTGATTTGGCTAACATCTGTCCTCCTGGGAAGGCAAGTGTTAAAAAAATTACATTTATATTTATGCCACCATAAATGGTAACACACTATACCAGGGGGGCGGGAATCAGAAAGATCACAAACAAACCATCAAAATGGAAAGATACCCCCTCTTCCTTTTGGCACGACATTCAGCAATGTCTTGTTAACATACACAAAACTGTGAACATGCAAATGTTCATAGCATTGCCTTTTGAAGCGAGAAGATTGGTACTGTGTGACACAATAAAAACATTCCCACATTCAGTGAATCTGAACCTCATCAGTTGCAAAAACGCTTTCATAAACTTCATTGCATCCTTTGACTTCATAGCAGACCCCGGCAAGAGGGTAGCTTGGGCTGTTCCCATTTTACAGCCTAGGAAAACTGAGGCAGAGAGAGTGGCCGTGTGGCCTTGGCTCAAGGCTGCTGGGGCAGGGCTTGAATCCCTGGCCACAATCCAGCGCAGGATGTGTACACACAAAGACATGTGAATCGATTTAGTTTCCTTTGCTATAAAAGGGTCTCCACGAAAACCTCCTCCGGGGTTTATAAAGCAGGTCAGGGCTCCCAAACTGATTTAGGAGTTCCAGGACTATGGCGGGGAAGTGGACCATGTTCGCTTGGTCATCCCAAGAGTGGAAGGGGAATTGAGACAGCAAATGCAATCGGTATTTGCTGCTGCTGCTGCTGGTCTGTAAATGACACAAGACCGATTAACACACCATTTACTCTGTGTTTCATCTTCACCGAAATGCACAGGGCCCAGCGTAACATAACGCCGGGGTAATTCATTACATATATTATGTAATTTCGCCACAGCGGGCAGCGAGACAGATAACCTATTCTTTGGCGGAAGATGAACTGCAGCAGAAGGGAAATGGCTCTGCGTGCTGCAGCGACGGGGCAGGACGGAAAATGAGGCCTTCTTGACATCCGTGGCATTCAGGCTCAAATAGGCCCCTCTCAGAAAAACAATGAGTGGTAAATTCTAGAGGAAGTTTGAATCCGAAACATAGCTGTCAACCGTCCCTTATTTGGCGGGAAAGCCCCTTATCCCAGCACCGTGTCCCGCTGCTGTCCCTTATTGATGATGTCCCTTAAATTTCCCGGGTTTCAGAGGAAGCAGCTCCTCTCCCTCCCTCCCTGCCAGCCACGGAGGAGGGAGGCTCCAACTGTGTTGCTTGGCTGCGTTGCTCACCCAATAAGGAGTCTAAGAACGACTGGGGGGTGGAGCTTGCATGCCTTGTGCCGATCAAATCGGCCGCGTTGCCTGGGGACTCGCCTTTGCTCAGCGCTTCCCAGCGGAGAGGTGACGGTGGTTTTCCTTGCTGCATCCCCTTTGCCGGGTTGCTGCGCTGTGGGAACCACCGCTTGAGGCTTCGTTTGGCTGCTGGCAGGGCTTTCTGCCTTTGGCTTGGAGGGGCTCAGAAGTCGAACATACCTGTGCCCGGAAAATCCCTTATTCTGGCTGCTGATCCCTTATTTTCAAGGCTGCTGGCCCCTTATTTTCAAATCTGTAAGTTGACAGCTATGATCTGAAATCCTTCAGGGCGAGTGTTACGGACTTGGCGTGCGGGACAGGGGTGTCAGTATGGTGTCCGTTTGGTCCTCCTGATGAGCACACAGAACTTGGCAGGACAGCGTTCACAAGTGGGACAGTTGTCCTCAATTGTCCCGGATACTCCTCGCCGGAAGCCCCTAGCAACATCCTGCCGCTAGGGAGGGAAGCCATGTTGGAAAGGCCTAACCTGCCGCGAGAGGAAGACGCCAAAACCTAGGCGTCGGGGAAACCTGCTGTTTTGCGGGCTTAGCGTCACAGGAAGTCCTTTGTGATGGCCTCGGGGAAGTTGGGCGCGGCCATGAGGATGCCGATGGAACAGACGATGTGGACCAGAGCAAAGGTGACCAGGCACAGACGGTCCAGGATGGCCGCCGCAAACTTCCACTGGCTGCAGGCGGCCTGGGCGGCGTCGCGGCCCCGGAAACACTGAGCCACATAGTGCAGTTCCTCCAGGATGCGGCCCAGCTCAGGCACGGCAAGCAGTTCCTCGGGGCTGGAGGACGGCAGCTCCGGGGACGGGAGGAACGGGCGCGGCACGTCGGGGGGCTTGGCCGGGAGCAGCGCCGCGGGGTAGGCGAGGTTGCCGTTGGGCAGCGCCACGGGGAGACGGGCCTGCCGGGACGGCGAGCCACCGCCGTCGCTGCTGTCCGAGCTGCAACTCAGCAGGCTGGGGGCGCAGTGCGGCCGCCCCACCGGGTCCTCGCCGGGTTGGCGCATGCGCAGAAGCCAGGCTCCCCACTGCAACACCACCACCTGGACCTGCGTGGAAACAGCAAGACGATAAGGGAGAGGGAATGGAGTTTACGGGCAAGGGGAAACGGGGACCCCGTTTATTACAGGACCAAGAAAGGAAGGGGGTCCGCAAGGGAAGAGGGAGCGGATCGTCAGGGGAAGGTCAACAACAACTCAGAAACCAATAAATGCTCTTGGGCCAAGTTTCCACCATACATCTGATACCATTTTGGCTTCTCCCAAAGAATTCTGGGAGCTGTCATTTGTTAATGGTGTTGTGGGTTGGTAGGATGAGCTACAATTCCCAGAATCCCCTGGAAAGAGGGGTGGGTGGTTTCATTTTTTGTAATAAATTGAGATTAAATTTTCAAAAATTTGACATTCAGGCTTCCATACGTAAGACATTTTTCCAGCTTCCCATCCCATATTCCATGGTGTTTTTATTTCTCACCTTCTGCCGCACAAAACATTTTCTCTTTTATACCATCCCATCCATACTGCATTCTCCAATTCCTCCCGTTGCTCATATTTTAAATCCTGCTTGTGAAGTTTGTCACGAGTTAAATACAGTCATATCTCGGGTTGAAGTTGCTACAGGTTGAGCGTTTTCGGGTTGCGCTCCGCGGCGACCCGGTAGTAACGAAACGCGTTACTTCTGGGTTTCACCGCTCGCGCATGCGCAGACACTCAAAATGACGTCCCACGCATGCGCAGAAGCGGCGAATTGGGACTTGCGCATGCACAGACGTGGGTTGCGTTCGCTTCAGGATGCACAGCTCTGGAACGGATCCCGTTCGTATCCAGAGGTACCACTGTAGTCCAAAAAGTGTTTCCGGCCTTCCGCAAAGTAATCATCGCTAGATTCTCTTAATCTGGTTGTTAACTTGACCAGTTCTACATCATCCATCGCCTCACTTCCCCATTCTTTGGTGGGATCTTCCATTTTTTGTGCGTAGAGAATCCTAGCCTCTGTTGTTACATATGTGAAAAAGAGGGATGGATTCCTCTCTTGAAATTGTAACTCTGTGAGGGGAATAGTGTCTCCTAGCAACCAGTCTCAGCACCCATCACAAACTACAGCTCCCATGATTCTCTGGGGAAAGCCATGACAGTGTTTATGGTGGGATCCTAGTGCTTTAAAAGGAATGCCGCAGAGCCAGAGACGGAGAAGTTTAAAGCGTTAAAATCGAGATGTGGAAAACAACGAGGAGAGGCAGGATTGAAATTTGGAGATATGCTTCAAAGGTCCAGACTATGGGAAGCCCCGAAAAATTAATAATTATAATTTGGGTGATAATTTGGTCTTTTTTATTTTAGTTCTTTATTTTCATTGGATTATGGTTTGATATGTTAACTGGATGTTTTTTATTGGGAAACTAATAAAAAAGATTTAAGAAAAATAAAAGGAATGCCATGAATGTCGCCTACGTTGGATACAAGGCGCCATGTGATAAACAAAGCAGCGATTCTGAAAACGGATTTTTAAAAGCTCTTACCCATCTGGGCATGCAGCCGCCGTCCGGGTCGTGGTGGTGGTACTGGAGCACAAAGACTGTCGCGACCACAGAGAGGCTCACCATGCCCATCGTACTGGCAAAGTATTGTCCTAGAGGCAGAGAGAAAGGACTCAGAGGATTCTGAAGTACACATCAGGGCAAGGCAGGTGGGGGGCAGATCTTAGAGGATCACACCCTGCCTGATTCACACTTCCTGAATCAAAACGCTAACCAACAAATCCTCCGAAACTTCTTGCAACCAAAATATGTACGAAAATGCATGTGTTAGGAGGAAAGTTGCAGGGAAATGAATACATTTTCCTTAGAACAGCATACAAAAATGCAATGGGTTGGGGGAATTGGCTTGCAAAATTTTGTATGCTCGAAGATGTGCAGTAAAACAATTGTGAAATGTTGTGTTTGCTTTTTAAAAACCAAAAACGACACAGCGGCAAACTGGAAAATGAGAAACTAGAACTGACAGATTTGTTCATCCCTACCTAGCAATGATATCCTAATTATTGTTTCTATAACATTTGCCTGCCTTCTGCTGGCATGCAACTAAGAATGAATAAGTCCATGTATTGACAGATGTGAGGCTTAAATGGAACTTCCAAGTACAGGAGCAGTATATCTCAGGAATCAGGGGGTTTTTTGAATTGCAAGGGGGTAGACTCAACCCTCACGGTCCCTTGCAACTATATAGTTTGACGATTCTATGATCTCTAAACCTGTACAAAGTGACCATGGCAACCCGTCTCCCATCACATTTAGGAGCAGTAGTAATCAGTAATATCCAAGGCAAAACGATGACCAAGTACCACAATGCAATATCAATATAAACTCTTTATATAACCTATATGAAACATCAATATGAAAAACCAAATCAACAGAATCTCATTAATCTCTGAAAGTAAGTCTTATAAGTCTCTGAAAGTCTTTGTAGACTATGCAGGTCTCTGAGAGAAGCAATGGGTCAGATTCTTATCTGGTGAAAAACAAGCCGTTAAAGCTTTGTTTTATGACGTCCAACGCTGCCGAAGTGGTCCGCAAACAGACGCAGTGAATAGTGATTCCAGATATACCAACTGTTTCATAGAATTCTTCTTCAGCACAGCAGAAGGATACAGAAATGCTTCATAAACCCATCTATATATGGTGAATGGAATTGTGTAACAACAATATCTATGGAGCAGTGGTCATACAGTTATGTAACATAACAAGACTTGTAAGACTTACTTTCGGAGATTTATGAGATTCTGTTTATTTGGTTTTTCATATTGTTATATGTTCCGCATAGATTATATAAAGAGTTTATATTGACATCGCATTGTTGTACTTCGTCATCGTGTTGCCTTGGGTATTACTGATAATTGTTTGCAACACAGGGGTTTAATTGTCTGGCTCCATCACATTTAGGAGCAGAGAGCACAATTAAGGTCTGCCCATCCCTGAGGAAACCAATCCATCTCCAGATCTCCCTCCCGTACATACCTATGAGCGGAATGGAGTCAGAGGTGGCCGGCATAACCTCCGCCACAAGCAGCATGAAGACAGTGAGCGAGAGGAGAACGGTGATGCCTGTCGGGGGGAAACAGGCTGTTATTCCACTGGGTTTGAAGGAGCGTCTAAGTGAGAGAGGCAAAAACCAACAACGACCCAAGGAAAATCTGCCAGGAGGCTCAGCTACCTCGTCCGCACTCCTCTGCCTCAGTCCTTCCTTCTGCAATATGGGTATAACAAATAGCAACCTTCATCGTGGGGCTGTTGTGAGAATCCACTCAGATAATATCTGCAAAGGGCTTCGAACGCCGGGGCTTCTGCTAGGTCAGACACCCCCAAACTCAGCCCTCCAGCTGTTTTGGGACTACAACTCCCGTCATCCCTAGCTAATAGGACCAGTGGTCAGGGGTGGTGGGAACTGTAGTCCCAAAACAGCTGGAGGGCCGAGTTTGAGGGTGCCTGGCCACTGGTCCCATCACCTCCTGGCAGATAGAAGGGGAAGAAATGGAGGCAGTGAGAGATTTTACCTTCTTGGGCTCCATGATCACTGCAGATGGTGACAGCAGTCATGAAATTAAAAGACGCCTGCTTCTTGGGAGAAAAGCAATGACAAACCTAGACAGCATCTTAAAAAGCAGAAACATCACCTTGCCAACAAAGGCCCGTATAGTTCAAGCTCTGGTTTTCCCAGTAGTGATGTATGGAAATGAGAGCTGGACCATAAAGAAGGCTGATCGCCGAAGAATTGGCGCTTTTGAATTCTGGTGTTGGAGGAGACTCTTGAGAGTCCCATGGACTGCAAGAAGATCAAACCTCTCCATTCTGAAAGAAATCAGCCCTGAGTGCTCATTGGAAGGACAGATCCTGAAGCTGAGGCTCCAAGACTTTGGCCAACACATGAGAATAGAAGACTCCCTGGAAAAGACCCTGATGTTGGGAAAGATGGAGGGCACAAGGAGAAGGGGGTGACAGAGGACAAGATGGTGGGACAGTGTTCTTGAAGCTACCAGCATGAGTTTGACCAAACTGCGGGAGGCAGAGGAAGACAGGATTGCCTGGCGTGCTCTGGTCCAGGGGGTCACGAAGAGGAGGACACGACTCAACGACTAAACAACAACAAAAGTGCTAGGTAGTGGAAGGGGGAACCACGCAGGCAATAGTTAGCATAATTGTTCGGCTTGAATTGTTCTGCTTACCCAGGGAAATCTTCTCTCCGGAATCGGCTGGCAGGAGAAAGACCAGGAAGGTCATGGCCGAGAGGAGGAGGCAAGGGACCAGCATGTTGAGGGCATAATAAAGTGTTCGGCGCCGCATGGTGACCGCAAAGGTGACGTCCAGGTAGGGCTCCCGGCAGCATTCGTAGAACACTTTGTTCTGACTGCCAGGCACACCTGTAGCAGGTGAGGAGGAAGAGGGAGTCAGCGTACGCCAGAGAATCAATCCGTTTCAGTTTCTTCCTGTTTCTCATGGGGGGGGGGGTTTGCCCCCCAACCTGAGGTTCAGTTCTCCTCCACATGCCCACATCAGTTTGCAAACTTGCATTTTAAAAAGTCCTGCCGCACACCATTTTTGCAAAGCGATTTCCTAATACTTTTTTTTTGCACATTATATGCGTTTCTACGCACGCTTCACCGCAGTATATGCATAAATATCATAAATATCGCTCAGCTGGAGAAGCGCATTGCAAAATTCGGAGAAGTGTGAATTTGGGAGGGTGGCTTTGTTTAATTCATGTATTGGCTTGTAAAGTGTGGATTTGGTCAGTTTGGGTTTAAATGAGTACTCAGTTGAATTTCTCCCCCCATTCCGGAGTTGCTGAGCAACAGCAGATGGTTTAACGGCATTCCAGAGATTTCTGTGTGCAGGATGAGGTCAATTGGCCTCTGGTACCTTTTACAGGGAATTTTCACAAGTTTGATTTGGTCACGCCAGTCTAAGAAATCTGTCCCAACTGATGCCCCTCACATTTACCCAAGTCTGCAAGGCCCAGGACTTTCTTTGCACCGGGCTTCATATATAGGCATTTATGTGCATGTTTTACCCGGGCAGATGCAATTTTGTACTCCCGACTTGACTGTAAAACTGCCCTGCTAAGTGCAAATTAAGAAGGCTAATAATATTAATAATAGTAAATAATAATAATAAATTTTATTTATACCCCGCCCTCCCCGGCCAAGACCGGGCTCAGAATGGCTAACACCAAATATAAAAGCAATTGATTGAAATACAGCTTTAAAAACAAGATTAAAATACAACATTAAAACATTAAAATGCAGCCTCATTTCAGTGGAAACTCAATCAAAAACTTTTGGGGGGATAAAAACGTTAAGTCTTCACCAAGGCTAACTATCCAGACTGGTCCTACATGGGCCAGAAAAAAGCCAGGGAAGTCCCCAAATAGGAGTTCCATCACAGAAGGAGAAAGGAAAAAAGAAAGAGGGGAAGGGGATCAAGTGGATTCCAAGCCAAAGGCCAGGCGGAACAACTGTGTTCCAGTTTGCACTGTTTTTCAAAAAGCGTGAACAAGGCAGGTTTGCCTTTAAATGAGAACAAAGCTGAATTCCTTCCCCCAGCCCTGGCCGCAGGAGCCCTATTGTCTAAAATAATAATAAGCCCAACCTCATGAGGGCTAGGAGCTTGGCGCTGGGTTTGCTGGAGGTTCCCCCTTACCCATGAGGTCCCACTCGCCATTGGCCACGTAGCCAGAGGTGTCCGTCTCCAGCATGCGCAGGTCAAGCAGCCAGCCGTCGTACGTCCAGGAGCCAAACTTCAGGTCACACTTCTGGGTGTCGAAGGGGAACCAGCGGACGTCGATTCGACAGGTGCTTTTCAAGATGCCTGGGGCAGGGGGAACGGGCCAAATGAGCCACACCAAGGTGGTGGTTGTTGTTGTTGTTGTTTTGTTATGAACAGAAATTATACACGTAGCCAAAATGCAACGGAAAAGACAGGCTGAAACAAGGACCTATGACAGGGTGCCCAAACTTTTTCCAAAGAGGGCCAGATTTGATGAAGTGAACATGCATGAGGGCCGGCCAAAACTTTTTTAGGATTTTTTTTATATATATAAATAATTTTTATTTAAGTTTTGAACAACAAAGAAAGAAAAGAAAAACATACACAATACATATCTCAAAAAAAAAAAAGATAACAAGAACACTCAAAAAAAAAGCACAATTCAATAATAATAAAAAAAAACATAACAATTAAAAACAATATCTCTTTTCCATTTCCGTTTTTTTAGTTTACTTATTTTCTGGACTTCCTCATACCTCCCTCTTTTGTATTCCAATCCAAATTGTTTGTCCAGCAATTTCTTTTCAACTTTTTTTAATCCCAATCTTTAACTTTAATATAATATTGTAATATATAACTTCAACTTCTTTAAACCTGATCTTTAATCTTAGTATAGTATAACATTAAAATTTTCCCTCTTAATTGTCAAATTTCCATTTCTTTAAACATCTTTAATCCTAATCTTAATCTTAGTCTATCATTAACTTTAACCTGTACAGCTGGAAACCGCTTATTTTCAGTCCAACATCACTCTAACATTCTTTAATTTTGCAATGTTTCTGAAGATAGTCTTTGAATTTCTTCCAATCTTCCTCCCCCGACTCTTCTCCCTGGTCACGGATTCTACCAGTCATTTCCGCCAGTTCCACAAAACTTTTTTAGGATTGAAGTTGTTGAGCTTTTTATTATGAAGCCTTAAAATCGAGATGTGGGAAATATGGAAACAACAAGGAGAAGCAGGACTAAGATGTGGAGATCTGCTCCAGAGATCCAGACCGTGGGGAGCCCCGAGAAATTAATAAATACCATTTGGACTAAACTTTTATCTTTTTTATTTTAGTTTTTTTTAGTTTAATTGAAGTTTTATGATTGGATATTTAATTGGATGTTTTCTATTGGAAAATCAATTTTACCCAAAAGTTGTTGAACTTTTTTTAGGATTTTACGCCATGACATATACTGCCACGGGGGCTGGATTAAATTGACCGGTGGGCCGGATTAGGCCCCCAAAACGGACTTTTGACATGCCTGATTTATGATCATTATGCTGCTTTTGACCTGCTACCAAAAAAAATTCTTTTTAGAAGTCGTCAGCAGGGGGAGCTCTAATTTAACATTTAACTGTTGTAATCGGTGACATATATGCTTCAAAGCGCCCCAGTATTTTGGAGATTTCCGAATAGGGATTCAGACCCTCGGGAATGGGGAGGGGCTGGATGTACATTTCCAAAATATAAGTTAAGAAACAAATAAACTAAAACCTACATACAGCAACAGTGTTTTGTGTTGCGTAGGCTCCTACAATGTAAGTCATGTGCCCCCAATCATTTTATGTTAGAGCTTAATAATTATTTCACTATTAATATACTTCTTAATTGTATTTCGGTTCAATAATTGCCATATTTCCCCCCTCTATAAGACGCCCCCATGTATAAGATGCCCCCTATTTTAGGGGGAATCCCATTTAAGAAAATGGATGGAGATACTATCCGTGTATAAGACGAGCCCAGATTTTGAACATTAGAGTAAAAAAACGTAGTCTTATACACAGAAAAGTACGGTGCTTTGATAAAATACATATTTTGTGATGTGCAAATGGCTCTAGATACCTATTAGGACCTTAAATTACCATATAGCATATGTTCAACACAAAAAAACAGTGACAATTTGTTGTTGACAAAGGACAGCTGGACATATAAAGGACCCCATTACCTTCAGAAGCTGAGGGCCTCATCCAGCCTAAATCCGGCCCGGGATGTTCTGCATGTAGCCAGTCAGGAAAGGGCTGGCTAGCTATAAGTTGGATAGTTGTGGGAAGAGGTTATTTGAAGTTCCTGCACGGACTGATCGACCACAAACTGAGGCTACATTTTGCTGCTTTTTTAGGGCTTCTGAGTGGCAGATTAAAGCGCTCGCTTGGTATGTACCATATTTTTCACTCCATAAGACGCACTTTTTCCCTCCTAAAAAGTAAGGGGAAATGTGTGTGCGTCTTATGGAGCGGATGCAGGGGGGAGGCAGGCAGGAAAAGCCCCCAAGAGCCGCATACAAGTTCCGTGCAGCTCTTGCGGGCTTTTCCCCAGGAGGGAGAAGGGACTGACGCGGCCAGTCAGTCCCCTCTTCTTCCTCCTCGTAGAAAAGCCCACAGGAGCCGCACACTCCTTAAAGGGTGCGTGGCTCCTGTGGGCTTTTGCGGGAGGTGGGGGTATTGCCATAGCCGCGCACAGCCTCTCCCGGCCAGAGGGGCTGCGCGCGGCTAAAGAGGAAGCCAAGACAGCGAGCGGGATCCATTGCTGTCTTGGCTTCTTCAGCTGCGTGCAGCCCCTCTGGCCAGATAGGCTGCGCGCAGCTATGGCACAAGCCAAGGCAGCCAGCGGGATGGATCCTGCTCGCTGTCTTGGCTTCTTTGCTCTTTGGGGCTGGGGGGGGACACCCGGGCTTCCCCTGGCAGCCCCAAGAAGCTCTGGGAGAAGCAGACAATATTTTTTCCCCCTTGATTTCCCCCTCTAAAAACCAGGTGCGCCTTATGGTCCGGTGTGCCTTATGGAGCGAAAAATACGGTATATATTGCTTGCTGTTTAGAATAAAATCTTTCATCTTCTCACTCCCTTGTGTTTCGTATTACTTCTGAATCTCATTTTAAAAGAACCACCTTGCCTTTGGCAAAAGACACCACTTTCCCGCTATGTGACACCAAATCTGCCTCTGGATCTCTCCGCCCGCCTCTCACCTGGGGGCAGCCACTGGCAGTAGCCGCTGGAGTTGACCAAGACGTTGGTGTGGAACGTGGAGTCAAACTCTTCATTGGCACTGGGGAGGGGAAGGAGAAGGGGAGGGGAAGAGTTGAAGAAGCTCAGTGAAATCAGATTTTGTTCCTTTATATATCACCCCAAATGGGACGTGGGTGGCGCTGTGGGTTAAACCACAGAGCCTAGGGCTTGCCGATCAGAAGGTTGGCGGTTCGAATCCTCACAACGGGGTGAGCTCCCGTTGCTCAGTCCCTGCTCCTGCCAACCTATCAGTTTGAAAGCACATCAAAGTGCAAGTAAATAAATAGGTACCGCTCTGGCAGGAAGGTAAACGGCGTTTCTGTGCGCTGCTCTGGTTCGCCAGAAGCGGCTTAGTCATGCTGGCCACATGACCCAGAAGCTGTATGCCGGCTCTCGCCAATAAAGCGAGATGAGCGCCGCAACCCGAGTCAGTCACGACTGGACCTAGTGGTCAGGAGTCCCTTTACCTTTACATTGTCCCAAACCCCTTAGCTACTCTACACGTCCAACAACATATGATAAAATGTACCTTCACATTTTTACATTTCCCTGTACATTTCCAGCACGTACCTGACTCTGACATACATTTTTGCTAGTTTACTTGGCGTCAAGTACCATCTAGAGATCATCTTCATGTAGTTTTCCTTCAATTTCCTATGTTAAATCAGATTTCTTTCCGGTTGCTTCAGCTGACCCATCAGAGCACGTAAAGCATGGGTAGGCAAACTAAGGCCCGGGGGCCGGATCCGGCCCAATCACCTTCTCAATCTGACCCGTGGGAATCAGCATGTTTTTACATGAGTAGAATGTGTCCTTTTATTTAAAATGCATCTCCGGGTTATTTGTGGGGTACAGGAATTCGTTCATTTCACCCCCAAAAAAACATAGTCCGGCCCCCCACAAGGTCTGAGGGACAGTGGACCGGCCCCCTGCGGAAAAAGTTTGCTGACCCCTGACGTAAAGGCTTGTGTGACAGTCCTGTGCTAGGACCTGGGGAACCACTCTGGGGAGCTCTGAAGTCTAGGCGCAAAGCCTCTAGAGGAATAAAATTCTCTTCCTCTCCTTCCAGGGATAAGCTGGTACCAGACGGGCTTCACTGGGGAGAGCGTTCTGCAAGTCTGGAGCCAACACCAAAAAGGCCCTGCTGCCTTGGTGCCACTCTCTGGACCTCCCTCAGAAGGGGGCATCCACCTGAGTCCAGAGAGGTTTGTATTGGTGGAAGCGCTCCAAAAAGAGATTGCTCCTTACAAGTCCTTGCAAAGGTTTCATTCTCTAGCTCAGGGGTCGCCAACGTGGTGCTCTCCAAATGCTGAACTGCAGCTCCCAGCGGCCCTAGCAAGCCCAGCCAGGGATGGTCAGAGCTGTGGTCCAGCTGCCTTTCTGAGTTCCTTGACCACTGGTTGACTTGACCACCTGGCTCTTGTAGAAGCCCAACTTATTACCCACCCAGCGAACACCACCAAATATCCCAGCTACAAGCTTCTCCCACCTGTTGTACAAAAGGATGTCAGGCTTCCAGACTTGGTTAGCTGCGAACCGCAGAGTCTTCACGCCGGGGTATTCCGATTCATTCCACTGCAAGTAATGGTCGTACCAGTACTGAGGGGGGATAGATAGATAGATAGATAGATAGATAGATAGATAGATAGATGATAGATAATTTATTACAGTCGGAGACCAGCTTATAAAACACAGTTGGGGGTACAATCCCCGAAGGAAAACAAACATTTAAAATAATGTACAACAATAAATTTAAAATTTATAAATGCGATAAGCGTATAGACACTTAAAACTTTCAAGATAAGCTACGGCAGATTGATGACCCAGAGTCACCCATGGAACCGAGTTTGGGGATTTTCTTAACGAACTAGTTTGGGTTGGGGGATGGTCTGCGCCTACAGATCTGTACACAGAATCTGGCGACCATCCAGGTCGTCTTATGATCTTTGCCTAACAGGAGAAGGTCAATTTTTTGCTTTTCCGGGAGGTCAGCGAGCCTCACCAGCAGGGGATCAATGGTCTCACTACGTGCCTCTTCATAAAAGGGACATCTAAAAAACAAGTGCTCTGGGCTTCCTATATCCCCCAATGAACAGGCGCAAAGTCTCTGGGACTTTTTTAAAGGATCCTTCCAGGACCGGCGAGGGCAGAGCCGAACTTCTGGCGAGTGTAAAAGCCCTTCTTGCATTTTTGGATACGAGAAAGAAGAGATATGCTGCTGGTGAGGCTATATATCTCTCGATTTCTCCAATTTTATAGCAGGGGCACCTTAAGCAGCCCTGTTGTCTCTCGGTGTCTATGATTCTTTGCCTGACCGTAGCCTTTGCCTGGCCCAAGCCCAGACTTAGAAGGGCTTGAGGGGCAAAACCCAGTTTCTGAAGGGTTTTGCCCCTCAAGAGGATCAGTGGGGCTATTCCTCAGGGGAGCAGATTCACTGACAGCCATTTATAGATTGATGTTAGGTGGATATAAGCCTCCACTCTCACCATCCTACGGAGGGGTAAGAAAAAGCAGCGTTCAAGGGACACTGCCAATGTTTCGTTCGGTTAGGGATAGGGTTAGGGTGTTGCTGCTGTTGTTTAAGGCGAAGTTGCCAATATTTAAGGGCCCCTTTGTGCTCCCACCCCAGGTGAGCTTCATCTGAAGCAACACGATGCATTGCAATAGTTACCACTACTTGGCGGGGAAGCAAGGTAAGCTTTGCAAGAGCTCAGCTGCAACAAACAAATAAAAGTAGCAAGCAAGGTAAGCTTTGCAAGAGCTCAGCTGCAACAAACAAATAAAAGTAGCAAGCAAAGTGAGCTTTGCAAGAGGTAAGCTGCTAAGATCAGAAGGGCTACTGATACAACGCAGTCGATGCCGCAGTACAACAGGTACATCTGGTTTCTCTGCCCCCCGTAAGCCATGACCTTACCATCTGCAGCCAGACGTTGGTGGTCAAAACTTGGTTTTTCTCATCCTGCAAAAAAAAGGGGGAGGGAAATGTTAAAAGCTCAGGAGTGAGGCATTAAGGAACTTCAGGTGGCAAATAAGGAGGGAAAGATCTCTAGTGCATAATGTACAGGTCCCCAAGGAAAACCCCAAGGTGGACAGGGGAGGGGAAGGGGAAAGTGATATATTCGATGTGCGTTGTTTCCATATAAGCCGGTCCAGGCTCAGGATCTTACCACATCCATGATCTGCATGAGGCTCAGGGTGAAGTGGACGGTTATGGGCTGTGCGTCATCCCCCACCGGCCTTTCCAGGGGGGTATAATTCTCCATCAAGGCTTTCAGCAGCTGCCGCTGGTAGACGCCTCCTTGAGAGCCTGAAAAATCACACAGGGGCATGAGATAATAATAATAATAATAATAATAATAATAATAATAATAATAATTTATACCCCGCCCATCTGGCTGGGCCTCCCCAGCCACTCTGGGTGGCTTCCAACTGAATATTAAAAATACAGCGTCAGACATTAAAAACTTCCCTAAACAGGGCTGCCTTCAGATGTCTTTTAAAAGTAAAATAGTTGTTTATTGCCTTGACATCTGCTGGGAGGACGTTCCATAGGGTGGGCGCCACCACCGAGAAGGCCCTCTGCCTGGTTCCCTGTAACCTCACTTCTCACAGTGAGGGAACCACCAGAAGGCCCTCGGTGCTGGACCTCAGTGTCCAGGCTGAACGATGGTGGTGGAGACACTCCTTCAGGTATACTGGGCCTTTGAGGCCGTTTAGGGCTTTCAAGGTCAGCACCAACACTTTGAATTGTGCTCGGAAACGTACTGAGAGCCAATGTAGGTCTTTCAGGCCCGCCTAGTCCAGCATCCTGTTCTCACAGCGGCCGACCAGATTGCCTGTGGGAAACCAGCAAGCAGGATTCGAACACAAGACCCACTCTCCCTTCCTGAGGTTTCCAGCATCTGGTCTTCAGAAACATCGCTGCCTCATTTCCGACAAAGAGCTAAGCCATGGTGGCTGTTAGGCATCGACATTCCTCTCCAATTCCCAGAGTGGTTTGCCAATCCCTCCTTCCCAGGGAACTCTGGGAACTAGAAGTCTCTTAATAACTCTCGGCACCTTTAAACTACAAATCCCAGTATCCTTTGGGGGAAAGCCATGACTATTTAAAGGGGTACGGTTGTGGTTTTAAATTCATGGCGCAGATGGGGACCTGGTAAATCTTCAACCAAAGAGAATAAAGAGGATCCCTTTCACTGTTCGTTCATAGGACAGGCTGTTGAAAAATGTACTGTAATAAACGAAAATTCTGCCCTTATTCCCTTATGGGGGACACAAGAGCCCTTATAGAATCCTTTGTAGGTTCTCCATCGGTCGGAGAAAAGAACAGAGGCCAGCCAGAGAATAGAATCATAGAATCCTAGAGTTGGAAGAGACCACAAGGGCCATCGAGTCCAACCCCCTGCCAAGCAGGAAACACCATCAGAGCACTCCTGACATATGGTTGTCAAGCCTCTGCTTAAAGACCTCCAAAGAAGGAGACTCCACCACACTCCTTGGCAGCAAATTCCACTGTCGAACAGCTCTTACTGTCAGGAAGTTCTTCCTAATGTTTAGGTGGAATCTTCTTTCTTGTAGTTTGGATCCATTGCTCCGTGTCCGCTTCTCTGGAGCAGCAGAAAACAACCTTTCTCCCTCCTCTATGTGACATCCTTTTATATATTTGAACATGGCTATCATATCACCCCTTAACCTCCTCTTCTCCAGGCTAAACATGCCCAGCTCCCTTAGCCGTTCCTCATAAGGCATCGTTTCCAGGCCTTTGACCATTTTGGTTGCCCTCCTCTGGACACGTTCCAGTTTGTCAGTGTCCTTCTTGAACTGTGGTGCCCAGAACTGGACACAGTACTCCAGGTGAGGTCTGACCAGAGCAGAATACAGTGGCACTATTACTTCCCTTGATCTAGATGCTATACTCCTATTGATGCAGCCCAGAATTGCATTGGCTTTTTAGCTGCCGCGTCACACTGTTGGCTCATGTCAAGTTTGTGGTCAACCAAGACTCCTAGATCCTTTTCACATGTACTGCTCTCAAGCCAGGTGTCACCCATCTTGTATTTGTGCCTCTCATTTTTTTGCCCAAGTGCAATACTTGACATTTCTCCCTGTTAAAATTCATCTTGTTTGTTTTGGCCCAGTTCTCTAATCTGTCAAGGTCGTTTTGAAGTGTGATCCTGTCCTCTGGGGTGTTAGCCACCCCTCCCAGTTTGGTGTCATCTGCAAATTTGATCAGGATGCCCTTGAGTCCATCATCCAAGTCGTTGATAAAGATGTTGAATAAGACCGGGCCCAAAACCGAACCCTGTGGCACCCCACTAGTCACTCTTCTCCAGGATGAAGAGGAACCATTGATGAGCACCCTTTGGGTTCGGTCAGTCAGCCAGTTACAAATCCACTGAGTGGTAGCATAGTCAAGACCGCATTTTACCAGCTTCTTTACAAGAATATCATGGGGCACCTTGTCAAATGCCTTGCTGAAATCAAGGTAGGCTACATCCACTGCGTTCCCTTCATCTACCAGGCTTGTAATTCTGTCAAAAAACGAGATCAGGTTAGTCTGACATGACTTATTTTTCATAAATCCATGCTGACTATTGGTGATCACAGCATTCCTTTCTAGGTGCTCACAGACTGTTTGCTTAATGATCTGCTCCAGAATCTTCCCTGGTATTGATGTCAGACTGACTGGGCGGTAATTATTTGGGTCCTCTCTTTTCCCCTTTTTGAAAATAGGGACAACATTTGCCCTCCTCCAGTCTGCCGGGACTTCGCCTGTTCCCCAGGAATTCTCAAAGATGACTGCCAGTGGTTCTGAGATCACATCTGCCAGTTCTTTTAATACTCTTGGATGCAGTTCATCCGGCCCTGGAGACTTGAATACATCTAGACTAGCCAAGTATTCTTGTACTATCTCCTTAGTTATTCTGGGCTGTGTTTCCTTTGCTGAATCATTTGCTCCAAATTCTTCAGGTCGGGCATTGTTTTCTTTATCGGAGAAGACTGAGGCAAAGAAGGCATTGAGGAGTTCAGCCCTTTCTGTGTCCCCTGTTTGCATTTCACCATCTTCTCCTCTGAGTGACCCCACTGTTTCTTTGTTCTTCCTTTTGCTACGAACATACCCATAAAAGCCTTTTTTGTTGCTTTTAACCTCTCTAGCAAGCCTGAGTTCATTCTGTGCTTTAGCTTTTCTGACTTTGTGTCTACACGTGCTGGCTTTTTATTGAGAAGCAAAGCAGCTCGTAAGCTGATCTTTATTGAACTCTTGCAACAGGGTGCTCCCCTCAAACGCAGGAGGAGGAGGACCCAGAACCAAGGTGTGCCCGCCCTTATATAGACATTTTAAATTCCCTGCCCTAGAGCTCAAGACCACCCCTCAGATACATCACACCTACATAACAGAAAAGGCGGTCTACAGCAGAAATCTGAGTGCATTGTTTATCTCCTGTCTGGCAGGTTACCTCTTATTGCTTACTTGATTGGATACCCTGGGGAGCCTGGCCAGTCCTTTGTAATGATAAATACTTAGTTCCTGAGCCAGGTCACAGGCTCACCCTATTCATATACAGACATACCCTTAAGACAGGATTTGTGAAGGAAAAGGCTTTTCCATTTTCCTTTGACTTTGCAGAGAAAACATTTGGTCAGTTTGGGAGTCAAAATGGTTCCAGGGCTGTTTCCCTGTGCTGCTTCAGACATGCGGTTTATATATTTATGTACGTGTTTGCTTGGTACATTTATGAACATTTATTATATATATAAGACCTTCATTTTTTTATTTCAGTACCAAACGCAGCAGAGTGAGCATTTATGCTGAGACAGCGACCCTCGTGAAAACAGGAGTGTTTCAAATGTACGAGTCTGCTCCTGTTTCCACCTCTCGTGTGCGTCTGGTTAAGTCGTTTTGTCCATTTTACTGGTTCACGGTTTTTCTTCCTTCCTTGGGGCGACAGGGGTGTTGTGAGTCCTGTCTCCCGGGGCTGCTTCTTCCATCTCCGCCTGGCTCCAAATTTTCACTGCCTTGGGCGATGGCTGCAGGGCATCCGTGAGCTTCTCTGCTTGTCATTCGCTGCAAGCAGAGTCTTGAAGCTGCCGCAGCGGCGAACAAACCTCTTTGGGCCTGAGGCTTTAAACGAAGCCGAAGATTGGAGGCTGCGAAAACCGTGGAGCTGAAAGCCTGGATCGCTGCTTCGTTTAGAACAGGCGATGAGCTCGTAAGCTCAGGAAGACCCCGGTTTGAAACTCGCCTTTGATCCCATCGTTGTAGCCACTGTTATAGTTTTGTTTCTAATTTAACTATTTTTTTCACTTTCCAAAAGCCGTGACCCCTCTACACATGGTTACCTGGAATAAGCGGAGATTACTCTCACATGTGATACGCGGGTGACGCTGTGGGTTAAACCACAGAGCCTAGGACTTGCCGATCAGAAGGTCAGCGGTTCGAATCCCTACAACGGGGTGAGCTCCCATTGCTCGGTTCCTGCTCCTGGTCATCTAGCAGTTCGAAAGCACATCAAAGTGCAAGTAGATAAAGAGGTACCGCTCCGGCGGGAAGGTAAACGGTGTTTCCGTGCGCTGCTCTGGTTTGCCAGAAGTGGCTTAGTCACGCTGGCCACATGACCCAGAAAAACTGCGGACAAACGCTGGCTCCCTTGGCCAGTAATGCAAGATGAGTGCCGTAACCCCAGAGTCAATCATGAATACAATATGCTCACATAAAGACTACCTTATACTGCGTTTAAAACCAAAATCGCATTTGGATAGAAATTGTTTCTCAGGCGGCTAGTCCTAGTCTTTATAACCCTATACCTAGCAGTTTGAAAGCACATCAAAGTGCAAGTAGATAAATAGGTACCGCTCCGGCGGGAAGGTAAACGGCGTTTCCGTGTGCTGCTCTGGTTCACCAGAAGCGGCTTAGTCATGCTGGCCACATGACCCGGAAGCTGTATGCTGGCTCCCTCGACCAGTAAAGCGAGATGAGCGCTGCAACCCCAGAGTCGTCTGAGACTGGACCTAATGGTCAGGGGTCCCTTTACCTTTTACTTACTCTCAAATGTGTGCAAAATCAGAATTTACTGGTAGAAAGCATGTTACAGACGCACACCTTTGCTACACAGGCCTGCTTCTGCCTATATATTTTTCTCATCGCTTGGTGCAATCATGGCATGGGGATTTTTCACAGGGGATGATGCGAGCCAGCAGGTACCCTGGGAAGGGAATCCCATAGCTCAGTATTAGAACAGAATGGGATTCGTTCAACCCCTGACATCTCCAGGTAAGAACTTAAGAGCCTGCAGGATGAGGCCAGGGGCCCACCTAGTCCAGCATCCTGTCTCACAGTGGCCAAGCAGATGTCCCAATGGGAAACCAACCAAAGCAGGATTCGAACCCATGAACCACTCTCCCCCTTTGCAATTCCCGACAATCGGCAGCCAGAGACAATCCTATGTCTGCCCGTCGAGGAAGAGTCTGATCCTCCATGAATATATTGAATTTTCCTTCAAAGCCATCCAAACTAAAAAGCCTCAATGGTATTTATGTTTGTGGCTACAGCGGCAAGGATTCTCTGTGCACAGAAATGGAAGGAGGAGGAAAAACAGCCTCGAAGGAAGAACAGTTGATGGAAATCTCGGAATACACAGCGACACAAATTTAGAAGCCTTTGAAGAAGACTGGAAAAACTTTTCTAGACTATATAAAAAGTTATATCCCCTATGCGAAGGCCACAGCAGGCTTTGAAGTATAAGAAAATAGCAGAATATATTAAGAAACATGACAAAGAGGGTGAAATTAAGTAAGACGGAAGCTTTAAACGCAGTTGTATGTAATTTGGGTTGTAAACATCGACGTCGGGTGAGCGGGGAGCCACTAGTTTTGTTGAACCGGAATATAACTGTTGAGTAACAAGTGTAACTTTAAAGATGGATAAAGAATAAAATATTATTATAAAAAAGCCGTCCAAACTGGTGCCTTGGAGATTTCCCTTGATGCAAGGCAGCAGATTATCAGTCACAGTAGATGATCCTGACTCAGACAGACCAGCTTCCTAGCTCCGTGTAAGGCGACTTGAACTTCCTATGTTCATCTGTGACTTCATGAAGAATCACAAAGGCAGTTTTGCTTTGCATGGATTAGAGTCTCCTTCATCAAATACAGGGAAAGTTCCCCCCTGTTGATAATGGGTGATGGGTGTTTTTTTTAAGTAGATTGCCAAGAATTTCTGGATCCCCATTGTTCAACCGTAGCCAGGGCCATCTTAAACATATCCGGTGCTGTGGTGCAAAAATCCCTCCGGCACCGCCCCCTTTCCCAGAGTTGTCGACCTTTTTTTAGGGCTGGAGGGGCGGAGGCTGTACGCGGCACCTCCCAGCCCAGCTGGCCGCTTTGTGCCGCGACGGCCAGCCGGGCACACCAAGTGAGCAGGCCTGCGCCAAGTGAGCGAGGGCCCGTGCGCCGCTCCTGCTGAGCATTGGCTTGGTTTTTTCCCTTTTAGCCTTCTAGCGCCCCACAGAATTCAGTGCCTGCAGGCTAAAAGGGGAAAAACCAAGCCAGCGCTCAGCGGGAGTGGCACACGGGCCCTCGCTCACTCAGCATGCTCCTTCGGTGTTCCCCAGACTCTCGCCTGGTGCCCTCCACAAATTGGCACCCTGGCGCCCGGCGCCACTAGTCTCTATGGGTAAGACGGGCCTGACTGTAGCAGCATCAAAAGGGAATCTCCCTGTCCGCAACCTCCCTAAATTAGGTTGCTGTGATGAAAAAAGCTTAGGAGGAAAACCAGAAATGGATCAGTGTACTGATCTATGTACTGGGTTGTTGCTTTTTAATGTAAACTGCTCAGAGATTCAGGTAGGTAGCCGTGTTGGTCTGACGTAGTCGAAATATATAAAAAAATTATCCAGTAGCACCTTAGTCACATGGAAGAAGGAACAAGCTTGTTTTCTCCTGCTCTGGAGGGCAGAACTCAGACCAATGGATTCAAGTTACAAGGAAGGAGATTCTGACTAAACATCAGGAAGAACTTTCTGACAGTAAGAGCTGTTTGACAGTGGAATAATAATAATTTATTATTTGTACCCTGCCCATCTGGCTGGGTTTCCCCAGCCACTCTGGGCGGCTTCCAACAGAATATTAAAATACAATAGCCTATTAAACATTAAAAGCTTCCCTAAACAGGGCTGCTTTAGATGTCTTCTAAAAGTTTGGTAGTTGTTCTTCTCTTTGACATCTGATGGGAGGGCGTTCCAAAGGGCAGGTGCCACCACCGAGAAGGCCTTCTGCCTGGTTTCCTGTAACTTCACTTCTCGCAAGGAGGGAACACAGATCATCCCAGTGTCCCTATTTTCCAGGGACGCCCCTGATTTAGAGAAGCCGTCCCAGTTTCTGATTTGATCCCAGAATGTCCCGCTTTTGCTTAGGACGTCCCTATTTTCATTGGAGAAATATTGGAGGGTATGGAGTTATCTGACCACGGAGCCGTCCGAAGGCAATCCTGTATGGGGAAGTTTTAAAAAAATGTTTAATGTTTTATTATGTTTTTCAATATATTGGAAGCTGCCCAGAGTGGCTGGGGCAACCCAATAAGATGTGTGGGGTATAAAAACAGTAAAATGATCGTTATGGAGTGGAACGTCCCTATTTTCATCAGAGAAATATTGGAGGGTATGGGAACGGTTTCCTTTGGGTAGCTGCAGACTCCTTCCTTGGAAGTTTTAAACAGAGATTGGACGGTCGTCTGTCACGAACGCAATACTTGAGATTCCTGTGTTGATCATCATCATCATCATGTGTTGAAGGGGGGTTGGACTAGATGACCCTCGAGGGCCCTTCCAACTTTTTAGTTTAGAGAAAATGTTAAGAGGCGGCACGATAGAAGCGTATAAAATTACACATGGCACAGAGAAAGGGTACAGTTTTGTAGAAAGGTTATTCCAAAAAAAAAAATGTTTGGAATAACCTTTCTAAAAAGACCAGAGGCATTTCTGTTAAGTATTGTTGGCAGGGACATTCTGAATGACTTTAGGGAGGTATTTTTATACGCAACGGCTGCAGCTCGGACTTTGGTGGCAAAGGGATGGAAGGAAGAAGAAGCCCCGACAATAACGGATTAGTATAACAAGCTACAAGAATTTGCTGAAATGGTGCAGTTGACAAATAGCCTGAGAGGCAATTCAAAACAAAAATTTATGGAAAAGTGGAATAGATATAAGATATATGTTCAAAAATGCAGTAAAGGTTCGCTATCTACGCTAGCATTTGATTGACGTTGGAGAGAGACTGAGTTGAGAAAGAAGACCCAGGGTACATATTGATACAGGAATGTATTAGATAAAATGTAAAGAAATATGCAATAATAAGAGTACATTCATTTGAAAAAAAGGAATATACAACGGGATAGACAGGAAGTCCAAAGTGTTGGTATAGATATGATTTTGGAATAGTTTTTTGCCCTTTTTTCCTTTCTTTTAGTATATAAACTTTGTATACATGTTGATAATTATAGTATAATAAGCCTTGTGATGTAATATGATGATGTTTACCGATGTAACGTAAGAACTTTAGTAAATAAATAAAATTCAAAATAAATAAATCAAAGAGAAAGTGGGTAAAGCTTTTCACCTTCCCTCACAGCCCCACGGACACCCAAGGAAGCGGGACACAGAAGGAAGCTTGCGATGCGCTTATGATCCCAGGAAGGGGACCGTCTGCCCCCTGTGGATTGCCTCCAGCCCCCCTGGGAGTCAGAGGGTGCACTGCCTCTGAACATGGATGCTCCAGGGATAAAGAGGTGTTGACAGGCCCCTTTCCTCTTCATACGCCTTTCCCTGATCCCTTCTGAAAGGCGTCTCAGCCCCTCGGCCGCCAGAACCTGCAAATCCCATAAATAAATTAAGCACCGCTGAAGCTGAAGCAATCGCCATTCCTCCTGTGTTCGGAATCTACTGTCCTGCCAATTTCAGAAAACGCAAACCTCCAGTACAGTGGTACCTCGGGTTAAGAACTGAATTTGTTCTGGAGGTCCGTTCTTAAGCTGGAACTGTTCTTAACCTGAAGCACCAATTTAGCTAATGGGGCCTCCTGCTGCCGCTGCTACGAGATTTCTGTTCTCATCCTGAAGCAAAGTTCTTAACCCGAGGTACTATTTCTGGGTTAGCGGAGTCTGTAACCTGAAGCGTATGTAACCTGAGGTACCACTGTATCTTGTATTCTGGAAATGTACATCCAGGTGTTTTTTTTCGTTCTGGAGGTCCGTTCTTAACCTGAAGCTGTTCTTAACCTGAGGTACCACTTTAGCTAATGGGGCCTCCTGCTGCCGCTGCGCCACCAGAGCACAATTTCTGTTCTCATCCTGAAGCAAAGTTCTTAACCCAAGGTAATATTTCTGGGTTCGCAGAGTCTGTAACCTGAAGAGTCTGTAACCTGAGGTACCACTGTATTGTGAGAGGTTGGGATGGAAGAAACAGCCTTGCTGTGCAGTTTCCCACACACCCACTATTGACACAACAACACACACACACACACACCGGGCAGATCCATCCTGGAACAAGACTGAGGGAGGCGGGTGGAAAAGGATGAGGAGACGGACCCCCTTTTAACTTGAGACCCTAAACGAAACTGACAAGGCAACCTGCCCATTCTCCCACCTTCCGAAGAAACGGAGGCTATGTATGAAATTAAACTCAGCAAGCATGAAATAAGCTAGGCAGTGGTAGTGGGGGTACAGTGGAAAGGGGGGGGAGTCGGGAAAGCTGGACAACCTAGTCAAATTTGCTTTTATTCCTGCAAAGCGTAAAAGCCGAGGAGAGAAAGGGGGGAAAAGAGGTTTTATAGGAGGGGGAAAACCAATCCAGGCCCCAATTCTTCTCCTTCTGTAAGGACAGGAAACAGCGAGGGGTTTCGTCCTGACTCCGGCTTGAAATCATAGGGCAGAAAGTGGGTTTTTCCTGACATCTTGGGAGATCATCTAGTCCTAAAACGCTAAAAGATCTCGCTGTTTATAGGGGGAAAGACAAAAGCTTTCCTTTTAGAAAAACACCAGACCTGTTTCAAAGCCCTGGGAGATTTGAAAATGTTCCAGGCTTGCTTTTTATCTCTCATCCAATCCACCCTGGAAAATCCTTCTTGAAAAAACGAAAACAGCTGGAGATCTGCTTCCCTCTGCCTTTTTTGAGGTTTTCGGTTTCTTGTGTTTCACAGCAGGGAAAAGAAATATTTTTTGCATACCTGGTCAGGGGAGTGGTGGAGGGGGAAGAGAAATGGGGGCACAGATAATAAAGAGAGGAAGTTACCTTGGAAGAGAAGGAAGATGCTCAGGGCACAAATCCGGGCAGAGGGTTCCATGTCCGCAACTGGATAGCGAAAAGGAAAGGGGGCAACTGGAGATCCCCCCCCCAAGCTGGTGCCAACTAGTCTGCTTTCCTCATCGCGCTCTGTACTGGCTCAGCGGAGGACGCACAGCTCACTCACCGAGGGAAACAGCGAGAATCTTTATTTAGAAGAGGCTGGGGAGGGGATGGAGAGAGGAGAATGAAACATCATCATTGCCCACTGGACGCTTTTCAGCTCTCATTAATTCAATCATTTCAGTGCTGTTTTGGCTGGAGAGATTTTAAGAGCCACATGAGCTCTTTAGAAGGTCAGCGTTAATGGGACTTAGAAGGGGCATTAATTTCATGGCATCTCTCTCTCTCTCTCTCTCTCTCTCACACACACACACACACACACACACACACATATTAAAAGACCATTAGAGATTAGGCAAACAGGAGATGAAGGAGAGATTGGAAGAGAGAGGCAGGTACAGTAAATTGCAGTGCAGTCGTGTAGATGTGTATGCCAAAGGAAGTTCAGAAAGGAGCCGATCTCCCCGCAATAATTGTGAACTTAAATCAGCAGAATCTTACAGATGGGTATCAGGGATGAATGAATCTGTCCATTTCGGTTTCTCCGGCGTTGCTCGTTGTTTTTTTTTCTTCCAATCTCAAGTTCGTTTCTCCACATTTTCACACGGTCTCCTGGTTTTATTCCTCGCAAAAAGACATCAACATTTCAGGGCTCATTTATCCATATGTGCATTTGCCGATACTCATCTTCTCCTATTAGGGACATTTTTTTTTTTGCAAATCAACTTCCAGGGATTTGCTGCACTTCTGCATGTTATCTTCACCAATATACACGTTTTTATGCACACTTTGTCCCAGTTGGTGCATTTTTAAATCACAGCACTTGGCTGGACAGCTGCGCTGCAAAAATTCGCGGAGGTACGAATTTCGAGGGACGGCAGTGTTTCGGTTCGTGCATTGTTTCATAAAGTGCAAAATCAGGCAGTTTCGCCTTTAAGCACGAACTGAATTCAATTTATCCCCCTTGTCACTAATAGATACGCAAGGTAGCCAGATTGATGAGAAGATACCCTGGAGAGATAAACCAGATTAGACACCGTGAGAAAGATTTGGACCAGCACATGACAGCGACCGCACCCTAGGTCATGGCTTTGACTGAGGGAGTCAAAGATTGAGCTGACAAGAGCAATACAGTGGTACCTCGGGTTAAGAACTTAATTCGTTCTGGAGGTCCGTTCTTAAC